GGGCACGATGACAAATCTTTACTCAAGCAGCCCAGCCAAAGGGAAGGCTTTGCAACTCCCAGTAGCTTTTTCAGTTTTGAAAAGACCTTTGCAGAAGCACAAATTGGATCAGCACAACAGAAGAATGGAGTTGTTATAGCAGACCACAGGAAGAGAAGAGACAATCATTCCCATTGTGATGTGATGAAGGTAGGACTGAAGGAGAAACCTTCTAAACACAACCACAAACCCCTGAGATCCAACGAACTGTCTCAGAGGCAGTTAGAAAACAAAAGGGCTGTGAACCACCCGAGTGGCAGGTCAGCGCCCGGAACCCGGAGGGATATAGTGCCTAAATGCAATGGATCTTTTTTCAAAATAAACTATAATCCAACTCCGGTTAAAGTGCCTACGACACCCAGAAGCCCTGTGAAAAACTGGGGAGGATTTCGAATTCCAAAGAAAGGAGAAAGACAACAGCAGGGAGAAGGGCAAGAAGAGATGTGCCGCCAAAACTCTAACTATCCTTACTCGGGCCTGGGTCGAGTTTCCCCTAAAGATAGGGCCAAAAGCAACCTAAAGGTGGACAGCGAGAATGACGGGTACGCCCCTGATGCTGAGATGAGCGATTCAGAAACTGAGATGGCTGAGAAGAAATGCAGGCAACAAAGGCTCAGTTCAAATAGCACTATTCCTAGGAGGACAGACATCATTAGGAGAAGCATCCTTGCCTCCTGACTAGAGAGTGAGACACAATAGCAGCACTGGAGTCAGTGAAGCCCCAGCCTGGAAAAATTATCCACTCTGCATTATTTATTGGTGTGACAAGGAGGGGGGCGGTCCTTACACATGGCTACAATATAAGCCAACAGTGAGCCTGTTTTTTCCGGGCTGTAGAAATATGTTTACGTGCACTTGACTAAGAGTTTGTCCTCCACCCATCATGTCCGTGAGATTACAACCTTCTTTATTTGCAACTTTCCTGAAGAAATCACCTGAGAAGATGACCTTGCTATGCCAATTGCTCAATAAGATGAATACAAATTAAAAGATGAAATAAATGGGGGGTAGATTCGGATGGGGAAACCGATTTAGGTGGATAGCACTGAGGATTTTCCTCTGTCTCTGAAAAGCACAAGCTGTTAGTACACAAGGATAATTTACAATGGTGGTTATAATCACCCTGCACCGCATCGTCCACTCTAAATTGTCACTTTCGTGATGCTGTGCTAGGACAACCCTAGTAGTCTGCAATTTTTGTTGTTTTAGAATTCAGGGTGGTGGTGGGTTTTTTTGGCAGCTTTAAGAACCCTGGAAGAGTTTTCACAAAAGCCCATCAAGCAGGTAAGAGGAATTTACCATGACTACTAAGATACCTGAAGGGATAGAACCAAGCTGACCAATTGTGAAAACAGTAGCAGCACAGTGCTATTCTGAAGGGACTCCGACTAAGAGTATGAAAACTACTCAGCTCCTCAAATTTGGAGAGTATGTCTTAAAAGTACTTTTTATCTTGTTCTGAGAAGGAAGGCAGATTTGTAGGCTGCTATATTCTGCTGGCACTGCCCATCCAAAATATGATGACAATTCAAGTGGGAAAGACTCAGTGCGTCTACACTGCAAATAGTATATAGTTTTTGCTGTCATGGTTCCCCTCCTTCCTTGTCTGCTCCCCACCCCACCCTGAGAATTATAACTCTCTGATGGGCAACAGATTTTTCAATAACTCATTCTCAGCATCTCATCACACAATTCCCAGGTTTTGGGGGAGAAGCCATGACAGGTAAACAGGCTGAAAATTTGCTATGAAGATATGCCCATGTTTCTAAAGGCACTAGTCAGCAGCCTTTCCCAATGTGCACTAATGGTATGTGTTGGGATATGCAATTTTCTGACACACAAGGGTTACTTTAAATAAAAAGAGAAGGATGTAATAAATATATATATATTTTGAATACAATGGAAAGGCAATAAGATGTGAGTAGCGCTTTACATTCAAGCCAATTTAACAACATGATTTTATGATAAGGATTAGATTTGACCATGGAGGGGCTTGTGTTCTGATTACATCATTTTAAGAATTGCAATAACTAATGAGAGTAAGCCATCAGCAATAAGATGAACAGATCGTTCAGAGTCTCTCTTTTTTTTCCTTTTTTTTGCACCCATAGAGTGTGTGTCTCTATCGCGAGTGCATCTATAATACACATAACGTAGTTTTAGGCTGCAGTAACTTTGGGGACTGAACTTTGATGTAAAATCAGACATAACCTAGTTATAGGAAAGTTTAAGCAGCTGTAGGTGTTTTTAATAAAATAAAAATGGACAGCCCTCCCCCTAGTCCATCAGCAGCGGTATTTAGCTACTTCACTTGCAAGAAGTGGGTTTACAACTATGAAAGAAATATTGAAGCCTTGCAATTTGACTTGAGTCTTCCAGGGGTTTCAACAGAGAACTGGATTGCTGCTGTTCCATCTTGCTATGCAAGTCACTGAATGATCAAAAAACTGCTTGGGGGGGTTGACACAGTACATGTTCCTTACATGCAAGCAGCCCTGGCCTTCTCCACTTGGAAAAATGTAATGTGTGTACCTGTGAATCAGATATATTTAGTAGGAGTTTGCATGATGTATTTTGGGAACCAGCCCTCAGAATTCATTCCTATTTGCTTCTGGAACAGAGGTCACAATCCTAAAATAAACTAAAAGAAATAAACTCTTAAGATTTAGAAATTAGTTGTGGGCTCATATCTCCATTTACTCTTGGCTCCTCTCAGTTTCTTGTTTGGCACTGCCCATATTTACAATATTGCTTGTACTAGAATCAGAAACCACACTTGCAAGTGGGGCTTCCAAATCCAGTTCGGAGGGCAAATTTCAGGTGTTACAGCAAACTGGTTTGTGCTTAAACAGGCAGCTGAAAGGGGATCCATGTGTGGGAGGGAAGGGAAATGTGCAACTTTGTGGTTTGTACATGATTTTACAAACAAATGTTTGGAGGCACATCTGAAGTGAGCCTTAATGTAAGAGCCCTAAACTAGCAGCTGCTGTTTGCACGCTGGAGTTTTAGCACATGCACAGAACTTCACACAGGTAGGGGCTGTTGCAAGTGCTTAACCAGAGGAATTCTCCAGAAGTGAAGTAAATAGAACAAGTCCCTCCTGCACACCTCTATTCTCAGTGTACTCCATGCCTAGCTTTGGATCAGAATAAGATTAAGACACTGAGGCCTTGATTCTTAACATGATCAAGATAGTGACAACAGTTTAGGATATTGGAAATGAAAAAATAGTGATATGAAAGATGTAGTTTTATAAGGCTTTATTGCTTCTGATTAAACTACTCATATCTTATAGGTATGTTGACCAGGTTTGCTGCTTTAAAAGCAGACATGTTGTTCTTGTTAAAATATGGGAAAAGAGGGACGTGATTAATTTACTTTTCAATACAGTAAGTGTTTTGGGTGAGGGTTGAGTGAAATATTATCAGTTAGCCTGCCCTGTAAGGGTGTTGTTCATCAAGCCATAGAAGGAATAAAATAAATTTGATTATAAGTAAACATTATTCAATGTTATGACTTATTTTGAAAGAAATATCATAACATTTGCACTATTAGGAATGATAGCATTTGTGCAGAACAATGCCTTACCTGTTTTGCTCCCCACCATGTTTAGGTTAATAAGCTTTCTGATTTTGAATAATGCTGAACCAAAAATTAAGAAAAACAAGAGAGAAAAATAAATTGTGCTTTCCCCCATAGCTGCAGAAATATGGGAAAACATCAGTATGACCAACTGCACAAGTTCCATGCTACTCTAAGCACTCAGTAAAATAAAAATAAAATAAAATAAAAAGCAGTAATCTTTACCTACTACTGCATTCATTTTGTTAATATGGAAACAGCTGTTATTTCTTGTTAGGTTTCACCTTTTTCCTTATGCAGAATGCCCAAGACATTTCTTGATTTTGATTGGTGTACTACATTGAAATGTAGGCTTAATAAACCCTTCTGTAATGACGTGGAATGCTATCTGATAGGTTTTGGGGATGGACACACACACACACTCCCTAAATGAATGGAACGTTATACATGTCTCATGTGTACAAATATTATTTAAAAAAACTTTTAAAAACTTTCATTACTACATTTGTAAACCCTGTACAGAGGATTTTTCACTATGTGCCTAGCTTTGGTGTCCATTTTGCTCAAATTTGAAAACAGGTGCATGATGACAAAAAAAGATAGAATCAGAAATAAAGTATATGTAGAGATGACTATTTTATATTACATGGCCCAATCCTGTATTTATTTTCCTCCCTTTTTGAAGTATTTATAAAGACCTAGTTGAAGATGGCTGTATTTTTTTGTTAAAATATTTAGTAGAATTGTGCCTTTGTCTGTATGTGAATAAATGCTGTACATTTTGCAATACACGTCAAGTGTTATGATTTGACATCTATGCTGCTACTTCCACAAGATTCCAGAAGCAGAAAAGCTTTTCAGCTAGACTTACTCTTGCAACTGGTGCCACTTTCCATCCCTACTTGGTGGAAATGCTAGGAGTCTGGATTTTCTCTTTGCTCCTGGATCTAATCTGCTACTGAGGATTCCACCTTCTCTGTTCATCTCAGTAGACTAAGGATGTACAATAACATCTCGTTCCTTGTCTTCTTCCTACAGTTCTTTTTTCTCCAACCTATCTCAGTGAAGCTAGCCTTGGCTCGCTGCCACCTCTTTGCTCTCTTGTCTCACATTCCTTCCTACTCTCACTTCAGTGACTCATGCTTACTCCATACATTTTACAAGGCAATCTCTCCCCTTTTATTGTATTGTAAGAAGCTTTCTTTCTCAATGAAATTGTGAAATTTAACCATTCTTTTCCCCTCCTTTAAGTACCCACCATGGTACTCCACTATATAGACCCAAAGTCTTGTGCTGCACTTGCAAGCTCTTGCCTTTTTGGCTAAGGTGCCAGTTTTCTGAGGCAGCTCTACCAGATAACAGCCTCCACTCCAGCAGAAATAGAGCTCAAGGTTGCAGAAGGCCAAAGTTTCCCTGTCATGATGCTAAATTCCTTCCCATTCACTCATTTCTGAGAGGCTAATTCCAAGCCAAGTTACTCATATGTGTGTGCATTGGAAACACATGTCTCAAGCCATAATGCTAAAAGCCCTTTTGATTCTTTGGTGGTTCCTACATTATACAACATGGAAATGCAATAGTATTCCGAATCCTGTAAATAACATCTTTGAAGTATTCATCTGTAATAGGAACAGTTTGTATATCCACAAGAATTTGGGGAACCAGAAGAGTAGTCTTACTGGTGTAAATTAACATCTAAGGAATAAAAGTAAAAAATAAATACAATAGCAATTTTACAAAGGCCAATTTGTTTTCAAATTCAACACCTTACACAGGGAAAAAATAGTTTTAAAATGTTGAGTTTATTAACACAACATTAGGTACTGTCAGTTGTAAAAAACCTTAAAATTCAGCAATTGTGTATTTCAAACTTTTCTACCATAAAACAAAACATGTTATATAAGGCAATCTACCTTTCCACCTAGCTTTAATTCACTTCAATATGTATTTGCAGTTACCTGCTTAATGTTTATTGTGAAGAAGCCAGAGTGGTTCTCTTCTCGGGTAACAGTGATGCACATTTTTATAGAAGTCACTCTCTGCATGATATATCCTAATGCTGCCCTTCAGCAGCCTCAACTTACATGTTGCATGGAAGAACAATATATTACTTTCAAGTATTTTCCAACTCTATCAAGGAGGCAGCCTTTTTCCTCTGCATTGTAATTGCACTGAGCTGTAATTAAAACAAAACAAAACAATAATTTGTTTCTTCAGTAGGAATCTTTAAACTAATTGGATTATAATGCAAGCTGAAGTACAGATAAAGTGAGGGAATTATTTTATTCTGCTTCTACAATATACTTAAGGGGTGTGTGTGTGTGTGTGTGTGTGTGTGTGTGTGTGTGTGTATATATATATATATATTCAAATGATTCCTAAGTTTTTTTCTGAATAGTTTATCGAGTGAATACATAGAGGAATTGCACAGTTGCCAGTTTTAAGAGTTGCATACCACACTTCATAGATCTTGGGATAAAAATCACCGCATAAAAATAAAAGATAAAAGCACAAAATGCATAATACAAATAAGAACAAACCAATAACTTCCCATCCTGTCCCCACGTACAGCTGAACTTTCTTATATGCAGATGTTTTGACTTTCATCCCAACAGAGAAAACTGAAACACTAATTTGGTTAAGACTCTGATTCAGCTCTTCATTAAATGATCCAGTTTGAAGGCTGCCCAGTTCAAAGTGTTGGTGCTGACCTCTAAAACCCTAAGTTGCCTCGGCCCATTATACCTGAAGGAGCGTCTCCACCCCCATCGTTCAGCCCAGACACTGAGGTCCAGCTCCGAGGGCCCGCGGGTGGTTCCCTCACTGTGAGAAGTAAAGTTACAGGGAACGAGGCAAAGAGCATTTTGGTAGTGGTGCCCGCCCTGAGGAACATCTACCCATCAGATGTCAAGGAGATAAACAACTATCTGACTTTTAGAAGACATCTGAGGGCAGCCCTGTATAGGGAAGTTTTTAATGGTTGATATTTTATTGTGTTTTAAATATTTTGTTGAGAACTGCCCAGAGTGGCTGGGGCAAACCAGTCAGATGGGTGGCATATAAATAATAAAATTATTATATTTAAATGTTTTTGGTTATGCAGCTGTAATAAGGATGCTGTTGTGATTCATTTCTAGATACCTGTTGAGATGCTGTGGTTGCCCTTTCTTCTGCCTGGCTTAGTCGCCTTTGAAGTCTGTTGACTTTCTCTTGATGTTCCATCCTTAATTTTTCATTCTGTATAAATGAAATAGCTCATTACAAATTTACGTTTCTGTTATCAGATCATACATATTTCAGGAAACAAGGTTTAAGGAAGAGAAACTTGGTGAATGGCAAAGCCAGGAACCGACTAACAAAGGCAAACAAGGCAGGTTGCTCCTATGCATTGTGTCTAACCTTGACAGGGATTTCCAGTCTTTGGAATCTCATGACACAACACTTATATTTAAAACATAATTTTAAGGAAGTTACAAGGACAAATTTCAACAGGGAAGGGGTGGTGCTGGACTCCTGAGATGCTTCAATCAGTTGGCCTTCAAAGGAAAGTAAGGACAGATGATAGGCTGTCCAGAGAGGCAGAACTATGAAGATCAGTACTTAGGAGGGCTAATCAGTACTTAGGAGGGCTAATTTTTTTTTAGTTGTTACAAAAATTGAACCAGCCATTGCAGAAAAAAATGACAAGCTAAAGATCACAGAAAGGAACCATTACCTAGTAAAAAAAATAAACAGCGCAAAATTAGCTATGAACGAAGCTGTATGTTTTAATAATAGTAAAATAAATGTTTCTAGCATTTTCCCCAGTGTGTATGATCACAAATAGGACAGAGTTTTCCAGCTGAAAACTACTCTAAGCAAACAAATGATGTGTACCAAGAGAGTTCAAGTTAGACAAGATGTACATCTAGTTAAAGCACAGCATTTGGATGAGGATCATTCTCTTACCTCAATGACCTTTTCATTTGTTCTTTCCAGCTGACAAAGTACCTCCTGGGTGTAAATTTTTTGACGGCTCAGCTCACTTCTATGAAACAAGATCAAAGAAACTCATTAATGAAAATCAACATATATGTTGACCTAACTCATTTCCAGAGGTATAGGGGACAATCATATATTCTTCCCTCTTTCAAATTCCTTCTTTCCAATGAAGTAGGAAAAGGATAGTACTTTAAGATACCAATAATGGCCATCTTTAGTATTGTGACAGTACTGTGATAGGACAGATTCACAAAGAAGAGCAAAACAACAACAATTCCAAAACCTTACTTTTAACAAAAATCTAAAATGTCATTCATTCACAAAAATAAAAACTTTTCATTAAGGACAGGGGACTTGTGGATTTCCAGGTGTTGGACTATAGCTCTAATCATCCCTGACCACTGGCCATGCTGGCTGGGCTAATGGGTATTGGAATCCAACAGCTGGAATGCCACATCCCTGCTTAATGTGATAAAATAAGCAGTATAATCCTATGGACGGTGTCCATCAAGTATTAACCTAGATACCACTTATGTCATGGTCTCCCTACAGGGACACATGGGATCCTGGGCAAAGCTGTACCTTCCAGAGCTAAAAAAATGGGAGCAAACAGTCCACTAAACTCAAGGAAGATGTCTGTTGACTGTGCAAGGTTCTAGAGTGCACATGCCTTCCCACTCAGTTTTCTTCTCATCAAAGTCTGAGTAGCAACTCAGTTTTTGTTGTACAGCTAGTTTGGAGGCATTTTAATTTTCATAATTAGCTATGGTTGGTTGTCTTATTCTTCGTATTGAGCAAAGTAGCTCCTGCAAGAAGATGCACACTGTGTACAGGAAATCTTTACCTCTGGCTCTGGCATCTTGTACCACTGAGCAAATGCCGAAAGTCCTGCCTACTACCTCAAATTTATTAAAGAAGCTTGTGGAAATAGAACACACTATCTCTGTGAACAGGCTTGCAAGCTTGAGAATGAGGCACCCCAAGCCCTTCTCCTGCAATGGATCTTGTCCCAAATGCTGGTTTGTCTGACACAGGGTTTCAACTGCCCTACAAATGGGAGGATGTGCAGCTTTTGATGAATAATGCATTTTTCACACCCATGGAATACTGAAAGGAACAATGTGTTATAGGAGTGCAGGAAAAATCTACGAAGGCACACCTCATGTGTTATTTTCTATTTGTTTCCAAGATCCACAAACGGGGGAATCCTAGAAACCACACTGTCTTGGGCTCTAGGACTCTCATAGCATTGTTGTCTGTATTGGCAAAACCTGTTGGTGTTTCGCAACTTTCTGACTAGTTGCAGGACCTCAGCCAGACTTAGCAGAGTAAACGCAGAGTTCACAAAAGCAATTGGCAACTTGGCTGCAGACAGGATGGACGAAGCAGGAACCAGGAACTTGTAGTTAGGTGTTTATTATATACAGTGGACTATTTACAGGAACAGAACACGGATCTTTTGCTAGCTCTCTCACAACTCTCAACCTCCACACTGACACGCTGAGCTACTGAACTAACACATTCCAGTTAGTAGGCCATTAACCATTACTCCCTTGAGAGAGCTTGACCAATCATGGAGCTGTCTCCATGCCTCTCTATCACCAGGCAGACTTACTCTTCCACATTGCCTTGGCTGTCTGCCAAACCTTAATTGACTCTGTGTGAGTAGCTGCACATACAGTGGTACCTCGGGTTAAGTATTTAATTCGTTCCAGAGGTCCGTTCTTAACCTGAAACTGTTGTTAACATAAAGCACCACTTTAGCTAATGGGGCCTCCTGCTACTGCCGCACCACCAGAGCACGATTTCTGTTCTCAACCTGAAGCAAAGTTCTTAACCCGAGGTAATATTTCTGGGTTAGCAGAGTCCGTAACCTGAAGCGTATGTAACCCGAGGTACCACTGTACTCAGATTCCCAACAGTCTGGCTATGAGAACTCTTTCCTCTCAGGCTCTTAGGGCCAAACTAGATGTTCACATTACATAGCAGGCAGCTACATACCCTGGCTTTTCTTAAATAATTCTCACTGTGAAGGCTGCGCATTATAGCTCTCCAATCTCCCACCAAGATCAGAATGGAGATCACTGCCACCTCTCTGCAGTGCCAGGAACCTAAGGGAAAGACCCCCCCCATTGGTACCATTTCCTAAGTCTCCAAGCCATTCTGATCTCTGTGGGGAAGTGGAGAGAAGAGCCTCAGGTTCTCACATGTTGTCTTTACAATGAGAATCAGCTCCCCCAAGCCCAAGTAGTTAGTTTGTGTAATCTGAAGGACTATGAGGAAACTATAGTCCACTACTCATCTTCCAGTGGCTCAAAAACTGGGGTACCCTGTACACATACAAGCTTCTGCAACAAACAGCAGTCGTGTTACCAAAAGCTTGCTCATCTTCACACCTTCTACGCTTTATCTTCTTTGCCAATTAATCAACAGTTGACAGTTCACCACACACAACCGGACTGAAACAATCCTTTTCATTAAATGCTGTTTTGCACTAAACACTATTTTGCATTACTATTTCCCCAGTAAATGGACACCTATCATTTGCATTGATTGCTCAGTTTCCTAACCCCACTCTACAACAACATCCCCACCTTGTAACCATCTGTATATATGTCAAATAACACTTCATGCACCTAACAATTGAACACAAAACCTGTGGAATGAGAATGATTTATGGCTTGTAAATAAACGCTTTTAGAGATAGCAACAAATTGTCTCTGGACTTGATTTATCCCTCTATCTCACACGGACGGCAGGACTGCTGCGACTCTGTTTTCCTGCCCACGTCAGCCCCAAGCAGAGCTACGCAGCGGAAGCGCTGACTGGACGGCAGGATTTAATGGCCAAAAAACCCTATGCCACGATACATTTGTTAGACGCGGGTGGCGCTGTGGTCTAAACCACTGAGCCTAGGGCTTGCCGATCGGATGGTCGGTGATTCGAATCTCCATGATGGGGTGAGCTCCTGTTGTTCAGTCCCAGCTCCTGCCCACCTAGCAGTTTGAAAGCACATCAAATGCAAGTAGATAAATAGGTACCACTCCAGGAAGGTAAATGGTGTTTCTGTGCGCTGCTCTGATTCGCCAGAAGCAGCTTTTTCATGCTGGCCACATGACCCGGAAGCTGTCTGTGGACAAACACCAGCTCTCTTGGCCTACAGAGTGAGATGAGTGCGCAACCCCAGAGACATTCGCGTCTGGACCTAACGGTCAGGGGTACCTTTACCTTTAACATAGCTACCCTTTTGCGTTTGGTAATTCTAAAATACTAAGCTAGTGAGCAGTCGTCCCCCTCCACCAGAAAGATGACATAGTATAAAACTATCAGAGCGATAATCAGTCCCAATTGTTCCTACATATTCCAGAGAATTTGCCTCATTAAAATTTTGCAGAAAATTGCTGAAGTGTCTACCACAAAGGCTTATGTGTGGAAAACAAAGGTGAGCTGTTTAGTAGTAGAGCAGAAAAGATAATAAATCTGCCAGCTGTGGGAAGTGTTTAATGCAAAATTCTCATGTGACACATACAGCACATTCCAGATGTTTTTCTGTTGACTTATGCCGTAATATGCTTCAGTTATTCTTAGTAATTATATATTTTGCAGACTGCCAGTATCTGCAGCTGTTTCTCATCCTGTTAACATTTTTAATCAATATCTTAAAATAAACAGATATGGCTGCCAAGTATTACAGAATTCCAGCCAAAAATAACGTGGTAGAAATGAAGGGGTGGGGGACTCAAAGGTCCCTAAATATGATGTAATTTATTTAATAGACTAGATGGTATGTCAAAAGAACACTGCTCTAGCTAATACCTAATAATGAACAACTATACTATCCCAGAAGGATCAGTCTTGGAAATCATGAGAAAGCTGTACAACCAAAAGCTTAAAGATACAAAGATACATCTATGATTCAGAAAGAACGCCTATGAAACTCAAAACTGATTTATTCAAAATAGTGTTAATTTAAGGGGATCCAAACAGCTGCACAGGAAGCTTTTGTCTGCCCCCTCTCCCATGCTGTATCATTCACTGCCTGAAATACTACTCTGAGAAGTTGGAGAATCCTGCAGGGAAACATCTGATGTGGTACAATGAGCTCCTGTCAGAGGAAGAAACTGCAGGCACTCCAGTGTGCACAAGGTGACTGGCATCCTGGCCTTAACCTGTTAGTCTGTGCCTAGCCTCAAACACCTAAGTCTCAGTGGATTCAATAGGAATTACATTTCCCCAGCTGAAGGAATGTTTATAACTAAAGTGTAAGATTAACAGCTATTCTTACTTGATTTTGAGAGAGGAAGGATAGTATAGAAATGCTGGTGATAATGTTATTACGATTAATAATAGGTTGGCTCATACCACCACGACCCCAAACTCCTCTGTGATTTCACAGTACAGTTTGTAACTGCAGTAATGAGCAAAATGGACTGTAGGATTACAGGTCATTATGATAGAAATAATGCCACTGAAGATACTGGGGAATCTTTGAAGAGCAACACAAACAATTTAAGTGACCCATTTTCATTTATTCCTGATTTTTATAGCCTGCTTTTCAGCCAATTAACTTTCAGAGTGGCTCTCAACATGATAGGGCTCCTTAGTAAGGTGAAAGAATTTTAATAAATGAAAGGCACTGAGGTCACTTTTCAACATTAGGAGCATGCACAATTAGCATATGCTGAATCTGCATTATCAAGATCTGAGTATCTTAAGACACTTCAAGGAACTCCCTTGGAGACTTGTTAAAACTGAACCTGGAAATTCTAAAAGACCTTCCCTTAATGCCTGCGGCCACATGACTCTATGTACTTTAATGCGTATTTTATGTAGGATTTACCTGTTTGTTTCAAGTATCTCAAACTTTGGGAATGGGTGTTGTAAACTGGAATGCGTGTGAACACACACACACACACACACACACACACACACACACACACACACTATCTCTCAGTCCTATCCTGAACAAGAATAGGATTGCTACTCAATCCTTTAAACCTACGTAACCTTAAGTGATGATGTAAGTATAACTGCCATGATAGTGTAAGGGAGTCCAAGAAACAGGTGGAGTTCAGGGTGTGGTGGAGAAAAAAAAGATGAAGTTGCTATCTTAATGTCAGGGAACTGACATCGGAGCTAGAGGCGGAGGGAAGGCTCTCAAATGATGCTGGAGAAGGGCCCAGCAGGGAGAGAGGCAGCTCAGCAGATGGGGAAGCAATTCAGCGCAACACCAGGAATAAAGAGGGGCAGATGGGGGAATCGGCGAGAGGGCTCCCAGACTCTTCACCGGACGCCAGCGGGAGAGCACGGGTCCTCCGCTACCCACGCCCTCCCTGCGCAGAAGACTTCCGCGCAGAGAGAGTAGGAGGAGACTGGGTGTCAAACAACTTTTATGTTGGAAAAGGTTTAAGAAACGCCCACTGACGGATTCTGCTAGCGACTGAGGCAGCCACGAAGTGAAGGGCTGTCCAGACTGAAAGGTTTAACAAGGCAACAAAGCCAGGAGAGGCGGCAACTTACGCACGAGCAACCCATACTCTTTACACTTAGTTAGAATTTTATCCTCCACTGGGAACTATGAAAGCAACTATCTACCCCATAGGAGCCCACAGAAACCCCAAATGATCTCAAATATGCACCACAGGGTCACAGTGCAGATGGGGCTCCTTACTGGCCAAACTACCCGCACTCCATGAACCTGTGAAAACAATGCCAAATGCAGTAACCAAATAGTATATAACATATAGCCACTATTGCTACTGTTTGGCAAACACTTATGACTTTATATTACCTTAAAAGTTTAGAGCTAATGAAGGTGTGACAGAGGCAGGGCCAGAGTGGTATGTAGCTCTGTAATAGTAAGAAACAGTGCCAGATTTAGGGTGGTACGGAAGGTTCCCCTGCACAGGGCACTGAGCCGAGGGGGCACAAAATTAAGAAGATCCATTTGGGGGCACCACATTTTGGCCTCTCACAGAGTGCCGTATTACAAAAGATAACCAAATCCATCCTGTAAGAGGACAGGTGCAGAACTCTCCTTGCATCTGCTGCTTACCTCCCCATGAGTTGTGGTATGGGAATTCAGTTGAGAAAAAAAACTGCCTAGGGAGGAGAGAAGGCACAGGTGCATCTTTTCTTGTTAAATCAGACTATGCTACAATTTCCAGGTTCTGACTGCAAATGGGACTTCCTAGTTTGAAGCGCTAACTACAAAGAACATTCAATAAGCTTCTTCTAAGCCACCTTTGAAACTCACCGGCACTGTTTCAGAAAGAAGCCAATTAAAGTTATTATGAACAGCTTACTGATTTTTTTGTGCACACCACCATGTTTCCCCCCCCCTTTTGAGTTGAAGATTTAGAAATACCTGCATACCATCATCAGAGCTCCATGTTGCAACAGAATCTGGGGTTTTCACAGCTAAACACTTATTCAGATTCGGCAAATACTGACTCGGTTGCTATTGCCTGACCTCAGTGACCACTTTGGGTGCTAATACCCATCTCCTGCAGCTTGACTGCATGAGGCACTGACATTGCTCTTCCGCTGCTCTACCACCTCCTTGAGCAGCACTGTTGATTTTTGGAATCACTTCAAAAGTTAATGAGAACATGCCATGTTCTAGCCACTGTTGAGAAGAGGCAATAAGGCAAGGTTTCTTTCCTTCCAGAAGCAGGGCAGGGTTGAACAATAGCTTCACTTTCCAAGAATAGGATAGATTTTATAGTTTATCCTGCTGCATCTTAAGCTGATTCAGAGGACCAGGCTCTATTAATAAACCTTTCTGAACTGCAGCGGGGAAAGAGTTTTCCCCGCAGCAATGCTTATCTATTGGAAGCTTTACATCTACCTTCTCAAAGATTTGCTCTGTTGGCAACTATTATTTCTGGAGAATCACAAAACAGAGGAATGTTAATTAAAATCTAAACAAGAACAGTATCACATCTATATTTCCTGTCTGAATTATGGTCCCAGCAGATCCACTCCCAGCTGCCTGCATTTGTTAAAAATGCCAAACAAAATTGTATTACTTACTTTAAACTATTTATTCTGGTTTCTGTAGCTTCCGTTAGTTTCTTTGTTTCCTCCTTCCACCGGTTTGTTGCTTTCTGTTGAGCTATCAAGAGGCGTCTCAGCTCAGCAGTAGACTTTCGATGCACATCTTCCATCTCTTTCAAACGAACTTCAGACCCATGCTCTTTTATTATATGCTCATTCTCCATTATGCTTATCTATAGTAAAAAAAAAAAAAGTAAAATAAGTTTAAAGCCTCACAATAGTTTACGGTAGCTTTTGTCTTTTGACTAAAGGACTGAAGTTTGTTCGTTTGTTTGTGTGTGTGCATATACTGACAATCAGGCTATATCTATCTGCAAAAGATTACTGGACTTTTAATTGTGGATATAAGATGAAAGAATTCGTTTCAGAATGAATAACTAATTTGATTGAAAAGAGAATGCAGATTGTCACGCTTGGATCACCCATGATGAGTAATAATTGTTTCTAGGTATGCAGATCTTTCATCCTTTACTCATTTCATCACTGAATGCTTGAATCCCTGCAGTAAAAATTCTGTATGAAGCCCTGATTTATCTTTTAGGTATCAGAGCAAAAACTTGAGGCTGTCCCCAAGTCTCCATCCAACAACAGCTAATTAGTTCAGCCAACTATTATGCGAACTCCACGTGTAAAGTGCCAAAGTGAGCAACTGAAGGGCGATAACCAACTATGGAAGGAAGAAGACAAGTTTATGTGTAACTTCGCTGCAAAGAAGAGAAAACGGAAGAGAAAGTTAAGGAATTAGAGGCAGATGATAAGAAACAAAAAACAGGAATCTTCTCTTACAAGCACAGCATATAAGAGAAGTAGGAAGAAAATGAAAGGGATAAGCAATAGTGGATCTGAATCATATCAAAATTGAGGTTGGTAGAGTTGCATGTACAAAATGCTCCTTATCCCTTTTTTAAAAGTGATGTCAATAGGCTTTAGGCCAAAAATCCCCTTGCATTATATTGTGTTGTGCATTTTCTAGACATTTAGGCTGTATATCTCTCGTTATAAAAGAAGACTAACATGTTAGTCTGTTTGCATTATGTATGATTTTTTAAAAGGTTTTTGCTGTCTGAAAGAAAATTACTTGATTGAGAAAAGAACCAAGTGGCACGTAGTTATCCAGTCCTCCTAACTACTGCCTCCAGACACTGGAACATTAATGGAAAAATCAGTTGTGTCCATATCTTACATAGTTGGGTTGACATGTGGATAAGAAACATTATTATAATTGCGAAAGGTAATTTTAGTATATTTTGAAAAACACCAAAGGAGCGAATGGAACACAAAGTTAAGGAATATTAAACTATGGTGATAGAGCTGTCGTGAGAAATTTGACACCCTGTCTGCTTCCTTGTACACAGATTTCTCCTTTCATTGAATCTTCAAAGATGTGACGTCAAAAATAAAATACTATATAAACGCAAGTACCTTTAATTTTGCAGCTTGTTGTGCCTCCACAGCCAGCTTTCTCAATTCTTCCATTTCTTTTTGAAACTGCTCGTTCTCTTGCTGGAGTTTTAAGCGCTCTTCACTGACAGAGCCACAGTTCTTTCTTTCGGATTCCAGAATACTTTGCAACTTGTAAATCATTTCCTGACCGCTGTTTCTCTGTTCCTCATAGCTTGAAGTCGAGGAAGGGAAGAGAAATTCACAAACAATACTTGGTAATCCATTATTGAATGGAAAGGTAGGATACAAATATGTTAAATGAATGCACAGAAATTAATATATTAATTAAGGTGAATGCATAATACATACAATGTTCAGTAGTGTGGAATTTGAATGATCAAAAGGCTTGACAACTAAAAAGCGAAGTATTCCCCACTAAGTTTCATTTCTTTTGGTATGGAGCCTCTCTGCTTAGAAGGACTTCCCTGTCTATTTCAGTTATATGGGAAGCTCTGGACATGCCTTGAAACATTCTCAGGGCTTTGAATGAGAGCAAATATGAAACACAGCTAGACAATTTTGGGGCAGGTTACATGAATAACTTTTCCACCAAATAAGCATACAGCTGAGATCATTCGTGTTGACCTTTCAAGGTTTCATAAGGTGGCAACAGCAATGAGTGTCTCTTCCATTTCAGCCCCCTTCTTCTGGAAATCACCTGCTCCAATATTGGTTCAAATATTGCTTTAAAGCTGCAGTCTTAGAGACACTTTCCTGGGAATAACTCCCACTGAGCACAGTATGACTTACTTCTGTGTAAACATTCAGAGGGTTGCACTGCACATTATTTAGCTTCATAACATTTCAGAAGACTATGGGAGGGTATTGAACTTCATGGTGTACTATTTTAAATATGAGCCGTTTCATCTTCACTGTGATGTGTTTTTTGAATGCTATTACAGTAAGTGATAGTATTTTTTGAATGGATGTACTGTGCTATGATATAGGGAGGATAATTTGATTAAACTTGATATTAGTAGAAGAAACTCAAACTGTGTAGGCTAATAAAATTATTCCTGCAGTTTTGCAGCTACAGCAAAAGTTATCCTAGTTAGCTTCAAGCCTAGCCTAAGGGATATGAATATATTACCCTGAAAAAAGCCTTTACCAAGTTACAAGTAAAAGGAGGACCTTCTGTTTTCTATAGTCACAGTGCTGCAGGGCCTCCCTCACAGAGCCTAAGTTATAGTGAAACCCCTGTAACAATGTGACTCTTTTCTATTCAGTTGCAATGGGGGGAAATGCTTTGCAATTCCTTCCTTCCTAGCTGATCTGAAGCATGATGCTGTCAGCAGCAATAACATTCTAAGCGAAATGTACTCTTCTTATAAGCATTCAACACTTGTACATACACAACGTGGCAGGTTCTGTGTGGCCAGAAATAGGTTGGCTTCAACAGCATCCATGACAGCGATATATGTATTTCCTTAAATTTGTGTCTTGGAGAAAGTTTATCTAAGGCTTCTGTTTCTGACAGATTATACACGGCTGGTTCTACCTGCTGTATGAAGCCATACAACATGACTGGCTTCAAACTTTTGAGTATTTCCTTTTGTTGCTTTCATTTACTAGCACCACTTTTATATTGCATACTCATTATCGTTTTCAGAAAAAGTCAAAATTAAAAGAATCCTTACTTGTTCAAAAAGCACACGCTATAATGATAGGTAGTGATCTGAACTCTTATATTGTTTCATAGCTGACTTTAATGCCTCCATGAACTTTACTAACAATAAGTACGCACTTGTGTAACTGTTATACAGTCAGACTCATAAGTTACGTGTTTCATGTTACTAAGCAACTGGGCCTAGATAGTAAAATCTGTTTTTATTTTAAAAATTGGAAAGAGGCTGAGTGCCCACAGATTATGAGACCCTGGGCTGCAGTCTGCTCAGCCTGTATGTAAATCTGGCACTGATGAGCAGGAAGAAATCAATGTGAGCATCATGTTTCTTAGGGTGGCCATACGTCCGGGAAAACCCAGACCTGTCCTTTTGCGGGGGCCAACATGCCCATCTGTGCGGATTTTTACATTTTAAAGGAAATATCTGGGTTTTGGGGCTTAGACTGCTCTGTATGCTCCAGTCACTGCCAGCCCAAGTTGGGGAAAGAGATGCATGGGAGCTGCGGTGGCGGTCCTGTGTGCTTATTTCCATGGCTCAGGCTGTCCTCTTTTTTGCTCTTCAAGATATGGCAACCCTATCTAAGTTTCTGCTCTTCCTTCTTCCCCTCCAGTATGACAGAGATTAGTTGCACTTTCCACAAAACCTGACTTGTTATGCATGAGACAGAGATCATAGTTTAAAATGAACTCTAGTTCAGTTTCATAACCCATGGTTTGCAGCTGGTTTGTTTAGAAACTGGCCAAAACTTTCTTGAAACCACAAATTCTTGTTTGCACATGATAAGCCAGGTTTCATGGAAAGTGAAATTGTGCCAAAATCCTCTTCCTGGCTGCCTGAGAGAAAGGGTAGAGCATGCAACCCCAAGATTCCCAGCAGCTCATTCATGCTTGTGCATGTGATGTTAAACCAGGGTTTACCATAACATGAAAACATGGACAATGGATATAAAAACAAATGACAAAAGTTTCAATTCAAGGGACTTTCCAGTGAAGTATTACTGAATGAACGTCAGTACTTGTTTATAAGTAAATAGTGATTACTTACTTCATTTCAAGTTGCTTAATTTTGTTTTGTGCTGTTTGTAGACTTCGTTGCAAATCATCTTTGGCTAGTTCAGCAATGAGACACCTTTGGTAAAGCTCTTCTAGTTTTCTAGAATCACCTTCATTTCCTCTACCTTCACGGTACACCTGATTGAAGTGTTTAAAAAAGAAAATTCAGATAGACCCTTGTAACAACAACCACGCCACTGGTGTTACACAATCAACCACTTTATAGTTCATAGTTTAAATTTCAAGATAATGGAATTTCATTTCTACAAACGACTATCCTTTTCCAATGGAAATCATCCCAATACCTATTTTGTTATCTTTCTGGCTTCAGACAAGAGGATTACAGTGGTACCTCGGGTTACATACGCTTCAAGTTACATATGCTTCAGGTTATAGACTCCGCTAACCCAGAAATAGTACCTCGGATTAAGAACTTTGCTTCAGGATGAGAACAGAAATCGTGCTCTGGCGGTGCAGCGGCAGCGGGAGGCCCCATTAGCTAAAGTGGTGCTTCAGGTTAAGAACAATTTCAGTTAAGAACGGACCTCCGGAACGAATTAAGTACTTAACCCGAGGTGCCACTGTACTTTACCCAAGCTTTTCATAGACTATTTAATGTATTAATTTTATTATAATTATTAGTATGGTTGACTCAGTTAGGATATGTGAACTGCTTTTGCTGCTTTTGATTGCTTTTAGCCCATTTTTAGCCCATTATTTGCTGCTGTTGGTTTTGTACTGATATTTATTTCTTACAATTTATTATATTCCACCTTTTAGGATACAAATCCTTGTAAGGTGGCTTACAAGAAACTTTAAAACAAATAAAGCTCTTCAGCAAATATCAATATACAATATATATATTATATATTGGCTGGGGAAAGCCAGCCAGATTGGGCAGGGTATTATTGTTTTTATTATTACTGAAAGGCATGAGGATCCTTTGCCCAGGGAAGCTGGTGGTACGACGTGGTGGGGAGTAGATACCTCAGCTGGAACAGACTGAGGTGGTTTCCTGCTTCCCTCTCTCTCCTGGAATTATATTTTTGTTAAAGTGGATTTTACCTTCTTGTGATCTGCCTTGAATACTACTGTACAGCAGAAAGGCAGCATAACAGACTTTAAATAAATTGTGTGAACTGCTTACCTGTAACCCTCATCTCAGCAATCTGAATAATTTTTGGCTCATACTCCTTTAAGTTTAGTTGCATTTTTCACCTAGTCTTTTAAATGGGGTTTTTCTAGAAGACAAATTATAGAGAAATGCTCTTTCACAGAAAACAGCTTCTGTGGTCAGAGTAATTAGTTTCCTTACAGAAACAGCTTATTGCAAGAAACAGGATGATGAATCCATGGAATCTGCTCTGCATATAGAAATCTTATATCACATAGCTAAATCTTGCACTTAGGCCTTGCACATGGAAATTCATGTGGCATTTTTCTTTCATTCACTGCCCTCTGGACTGTTGTCATTTTTATTTTTGTAATTCACTGTTAAGTTAATCTTAAAAATGCTTTATGAAAGTTGCAGCAAGAAAAACAGAGCTTGGATAAAAGTGATTTTTCGTAACAGATTACACCCATCTTCTAATTCTTCAATACTTTTTTCACCATTTCATTGGGTTTTTAGTTCAACAAAGGATACTGTCACTGGATGGTTCATGGAACTGTTGTTTTACTATGAGTAATGACATATAAAAGGTACTGGTATCTCATCTATTTGCTCATCAACTCTAGTCTGAGTTTCCAAGTGATGGTATACTGCTGAGGCTAATGTGGGGTTGAACGTTCCCAATTCAAAACTGAGCTCTGCCTTGAATTCACAATTTCTAAGCCCCAGCACCCCACTCTGTATCTGAGATATAGGAATAATATAACATACTAAAGCAACAACACTTAAGTGGAGCAATTCTTATTGAACTCAATGGGGCTTACTTCAGATACATAGGGTAAGGATTGTGCTCTGGGTTGTTGTAAGGATTCTATGATGATGGGCCAGTTCAGACATCATAAAACATGGTTTATCATGATGGGAATGAGCCATATTAAGCCTCTATGCATTCCACCCTTCCCTTTCCTCCTCCACTTTGAGAAGGAGGTAAGTTTTCACTTCCATTATCGACTAACCACATTTCTAAAGTAGACTCTAATCTGTAATGAAACTTAAATATTGTTTCTGAAAACAAATCAGCTTCTTAACCCATGATTTCAAGTTGTTTAGATTAACAAATCACAGTTATGATTCTTCACAGTTTGTAGTATATGGACGAAATGAAACTATTTCTTATAAACAACAGATGTGCATGGTTCTGATATCCCAATAGAAATGCCAGAAGAACAGAAACGAAGAAGCAGGAGCCCAGAGCTTGCTATGGCTTGATGCTGTCATTTTAAACCATGGTTCATCATGACTGAATCTCAACACTTATTTCCATGGATCTAACTCACTTCCCCAATACAGAACAGTGCCCTGAACATTTCTGCAGTTCAAATGAAATCCAACATAAGCAAGAAAGTAACTGGGGGCAGGGATAATGCTTGATACTAAGACACATGTTCTGTATTCTCTACAGAATGCATTCTTGTTGTACTTTACTCCTACCAATTATATTCCCTAATTCTGTTACGCATTCCAGGCACACAATAAATTCCATGATGAAACCTTGATCAAATTTGCTCTGCATTCTTGAGATACACATTCTATATTGTGCAGCCTCATAACATCAAGCCACATAAAACAATCCAAATTCTGGAGAAAATCTGTTTCCAATCACTGGACTGGCACAACTTACAACTCCTCCCAATTTCTCAGGGATATCTGGAGAATCCTTTTCTGACAGACAATGGCCTACACATTAACTTATTATCTCCAGGGACAGCTGACCTATATCTTTATAAACTAACCAAAGAACTATGCTATGGGTCAGCCAATGTAGATGCAGCAGACTAGACATTCCTACCTCAACAATAACTTCGTATTTACCTCAAAAAGGTTCCAATGTTTTGTCCTCTGTCTATTGTATCCCACATGCAAATATTAGAATTTTCAAGACGTATAATCTTAGGTATTGGCATACAGATAATCATAGTACATACTAATACATGAGAACTACTATGGTAACAGTTTTTCACCTTCTCTAGCTCTTCTTCCACAGTTTGCCTTTCTCTAGCACTCCGCTCAATTTGGATCTGCTTCTCTTCACATTCCTACCAAAGAAGCAAAAGGCAAGTATTAGGGAGAAAAAGGAGCAAACCATATGCAAGTGTAACTCTACTTGGCAAACAATGCCAGGGTTGAGTCATCTAGCACCTGGTATGTGAAGTAAGCACAAACATCACTCATTTTAAGCTTCCTTTAAGTCTTCTCTGGCTTGCATTTTCTCAACCTATAAAACAAGTCACATATATATACTAGTAGTTTAATCAGGTTGTTCTGTTGGGACAATAGTTTTTGAAATATTTATAGCACTTGTAGCAAATTAACATAGAAGTAGCTTGTCATATAATTGATTATACACATGGTTTTGTTTTCTCTAACACACACTCAGAAAGTCATGATTGGAACTCACAACGTATCATTGCTTCCAAAAGAGGAAGGAAGAGTTCAGAACCACAATCACAGTGTAGTATTTTGACATCCTCAATGATTTCCCTTTTTAAAATGTAAGTATGCCATATAACATACTTGCATATAACCCCTTGCAGAGAAGAATGACAGGTGCACAAGACTGCTTTCACAAATTATGAAAAGTTTATTTTTTGCATTTCTTATATTTGTAGATTGAAAGAGTAAGCTACATTGTCTATTGTATATGTACAACTTTAAAATGCTTCCTTCATTTCCATTGCTCTTCATCTGAAACTTTGACCATTAATAACCACCACTCCTGTATAATATCAATGGGCAGGGAGTTCCAAAGTGCAGGGGTTGCCATGTCAAAGGATTAATTCCTTGCAAGTGTGGAAAGAATGTTATATGGCACTGTAAAAGTGCCAGTTCCACAGACTGAAGCAGTCTAGTGAGCATGTACCTATATGATATTCTGGAACACTTTAAAATATGTGAGAACTGCTGTTGTAAGTTTTTATTATAATGGTTTCATCTTTTCCTGTTGGCTTTATTTTTTTATGGTTTACTAGAAGCAATCTAGAGAATACTTTATTATCAGGTGTCATACTAATGTAATGTAATGTAATGTAGCTAAGTAGGTAAGAAAATAAGCAAAATAAAAATACAATGCTAGAACAAAAAAATTGAAAGGGATGGGGGGATATTCCACAAAAAATTGCAAAGTTGGAGGGAGGATGGGGGCAAAGGGAGAATTAAGCATTTTCCCTCACTCCTTTATCTCTTTTTATCCCTTAAATGACTCTTTCTGTCGTGTTCCCCTGCTGAACCCCTAATCCCTGTTTACCTCAGAATCCCCAGTCGGGGAGACACCTATATTTTAACATGACCTTGCATCCAAGTACAGATACAGTTTCTCTGCCCCCGCCACAAACAACACTCCTTTTATCTTTTTCATCTTCTGCTGAACCTCCTCAAAAGCACAAGCAGAAGCTCTGATGAGCAGAGAGAACCTTCATTTTTAGCTTTTTCCTCAAAAATCTTTACTACCATGTGAATAAAGAGAGCTTGCATGAAAACTTGATAACAAAATAAAATGTTCACATATGTAGTACTTTGATAAGAATACACCAAAATCCTCAAATATTGTTGAGACTTTAAGACTTGTTCTAGCATTTTGAAAAAGATAAAAGTTCTGCACCATTTAGTCAGATTCAGAAACAAAAGGATGAATGGTGATCAACTACTACCACCCAGGAACAGCCATTGCTGAATTTTTTTAATGAAGACTCTGATGCTTCATTTTAATAATAATTTGACAGCAATCCAGTTAAAAACAAAAGCACTTTTAAGCTTAATTTATTTCAGTGGGATCTGAGCTGCTTTCCCATCACTATTGATGAAATCCATGGGACATATGCTATGCACAACTGTGGCTGAATTTTGCTTTTAGAATTTTCCTTCTCCCAATGTACATGACACAGCAGAAAGATTGAATTCATGATACAATTTACGTTTCCCCCAAAAAAACTTAAAGACAAAGAACAAGCAATTCCAGTACAACCTAAGACATACCTTCTGGAGTGCATCAATTTCTTCTGCTAATCGGGATATCTGAATATTGCACCTTTTCTTTTCATTTTCTACCTTTTAAAATATATATATATATTTGTATTGTTTAGTATGCAATGGTTAGTTTTTCCAGTCATACAATGCACCATTAGAATAAACAAGAAGAATTAAATTAAATTTAATTAAATTGCTGCTTGCTCATTTTGTCAATTGATCCCTGGCCTGATTACAATAACATAAATATAAATAAACAAGCTAGAACAATACAGTTAATAAAACATCCAGAGAAGATAAAATATATCACAATTAACATGCAAGATAGGCCCTGAACAGCTTGGGTCCATTCTATTTGAGAGCAAATCTCCTTTTGCACACTCCCACCTATTTACTGCCAACTCAAGGAAAATCCTCTGCACTTGCCCGCATGACATGGAACAACATTCCCCTAGAGATTACTGCAGGCAGCCACCTGGAGTATTGATGTTCCACTGTTTGGTTACAACACACCAATTTGTGGGGGTATGTCTGAGCACTGATTTTGAGTACTGGGTTTGTTTGAAATTCCGGACATATTATTTGTGTATTTTAGCATTTTATTGTTTGTCTTTTGTTGTTTTATTGTATTGATTACTGTTTTGGGGAGGGTTATTGTTTTGTTTGTTGTTATGCTATGTATTTTTTAAAAATGCTATGTGATCCTCAGATGAAGGATGGCATATAAATTAAATTTAATTAAATAAATTATTCCCGTTAATTGATTTGCTGTTTTATATGGAAAACTTTCTATAAATGTTTTCTCCAATAAATAAAGTTTTAAGCACAACTCACTTCCTTTCTAGTACTTGAAGCAGCATCTTGAAGCAGATGAGAAAATGCTTCCTTCATATTTTCAATCTCCTCTTCTTTTTGTTTTGCACATATCATTGCCTAAATGGGAAACAAAATGAATAGTCCTTAAAAAACTAAGTGTATTCCTGTTGAGGACAACCAGGTAACAATTCAAAAAATTAAACAGTTGCAAGACCATGGTGTTCTAGTGAACAGAAAACTAACGAACTCTAAAATGCACTTTTCCAATTTCATATATATATATAATTTCATATTTCTACTTGTGTGTCACTCCTAAGTTAACTGTATACTATGGATTTTTTACACCATGAGCTAACTTTTGGATTTCTCATATAGTGACAACACAAAGAGAGAGTTCCACTCTTTTTTAAGATGTAGACATCTTAAAAAATTGTCCAGTAGCAGCTTAGAGAGCAACTAAGTATGTTCTGGGTATAAGCTTTCATGTGCAGAACATAGTTGGTCTCTAAGGTGCTACTGGACAATTTTTTTATATATTTCAACTGCATCAGACCAACACAGCTACCTACCAGAATCTAGAATCTAGATACAGTATCTGTTTCTCAACCAACCTTCTTCTGAGTTTAAACAACTGCATTCTCAAGAGACCTTTCATTTTAACATTCCCATAGCTGAGAGATCCAATCTAAAAGTCCTTCCTTCCATTGGTGGAGCACAATAGCAATATGTATATGATCCAGTTCTTCATCACATTTTCCCCTTGTCCTCCATGCCCTTTCTTTGTGCATAATTCTCCCATTGACAGCTCCCTTCTTCTGGTAGCCTTCCTCTTGCATGCAGAGGACAGACTGGATCACCCCCCTTTTCCATGTCAGAGAACATTATGTTTGGCTTTTATTGTCAAAATACAAGTATAGTACTTCAAAGTTATAAGAAATTGGTTTCCCTCCCAAAATGAAATGGACTTTAAAAAATCTATTTTTAAAAAAAGAGTATTACAGGCTATATTTAAAAGTTGTTTGTCTCTAGAGTGCTACACTTTAGAGTTCTATTTACTACTGTACATCATACTAGCAAGATGGTTCAGAATTGACAGAAAAAATTACACTAGCTTTATACAGATTATGCTACCTGAACTGCCTTAGTGGCAAACATATATGCCCTAAGATTCAAATTTTTAAAATGCTAACTATGTGATGTCACAGGCTTAAAATACATGACCCAAAGGATGATCCCTAAAATGGGAGCCCCAATGAAACATCCCAAGTTTTATTTAATGTTCAAGTAAGACCATTGCTCCAAGAGAATTCAGGCACTTCTGAAATGTGTACTGTGTCTGGTGGAAGTCACTTTTCCTGAAAGTGCATGATGAAGACTGTAAAAAATGATAGTATTACACAAGACACAATTTGCATTATAATGCTTAAAGTGTGCAACTACTGGTCAGAAATACTTACATTATTCAGACATAATTGAACGTGTGAGGTGGCTTTAAGAAGGCCCCTTTTTGAAGAGGCTGTTCAAAATTGTAACCTCTCACTCATGTTCTGGATTATTCCAGCTATTTCAGAAAAAGAACCAGAGTGAATATTCAGATATGCAGAATTGGTCCCTTGGTGCTTTGTTTACCTGACTCTTTTGCAGATTAGCTTCTTCTAAGAGTTGGATGTTCTTACAAGCTTCTTCCATAGCATCATTCTTCTCCCTTTCTATAACAGTGCACTTCACAGTCAGCTCTTGGATTTGTTTTTCTAGGTTTGTTTTTTCTGTTCTTAGCTCTTTTAAATCTTCGGCAGCTACACAAAGCCTGCATATCAGAACAAGGACCACTTAACTGATTGAAGCTAAATCTAGGATTGAAACTACATTCAATTGTCAGCTCTTGTAATCTAGAGAGGACAAGGTTTGCCACATTTCACTATCTTGAAGTGATTCTGAAGGTTAGTTTTCAGAAGTTCAACAATTTTTCCTGGCAAAGTGACAAGCTCTTTCAGATTCAGATCTCATGACTGATATTTACATCTGTGCAACCTTAACTATTGCTATGACACCATGTGGAACTGCCCTTGATAATTCTTTCAAAGGATCAACAAGTCGAAGAAAGCTGTCTATGGACAAACACTGGCTCCCTTGGTCTGAAAGCAAGATGAGTGTCGCACCCCATAGCCACTTTTGACTGGACTTAACCATCCAGGGGCCCTTTACCCTTTAGTGGCCACAGAATTCTGACTGACTTGGGAGATGGGGCAGGGAATCCAGAAACTTAGGATGGGAGAGAGAATAGAACAGAGTATCCTGGAAATGGGAGTACTCCAAATTACAACATTTTGATGCACATCCCAGTTGTGGTTTTGTATTCTGGTTTGCTCACTGATCACATACAATCATTTGTTAATTTGAACTCATTTCAAATAATCCTCCAAACTATGGCCTAGAGGTTCTTTTCTGGTGGTTTGGAAGGTTACCTGAATTAAGACTTAACACCAAGCTTCCTGTGGTGTCTTATATATAATGTAAGAAAGGCTTTATTCAGGAGTTCCACCAACTCACTAATAAGCATACTACTCAATTCTAAATGGATGATATTCCAAACCTAACACTCAGTGCCTGGTATAAATTGGTCCCACTCCTGAGGACCCAAGCCTGTACATGGAGATGCACTTATTAAGATCATTCTGCTTTTATTGACAGTAATTTTCAGCACATAAACCCTTTTCACACATTCAAATGGAAAAAGCAATTTGTCAACTTGTATGATGGAGCCAGCTAAGAGATGGCAACAACAAAAAAAATGAAGGACAAAGCTCTAAGAAACTATTAAGAATGACCTCCCAAGATCTGTATTATGTTGCTCTAGGATTAAAAACTATTCTCTTGATTTAAATTCAACTTATTTCCACGTAAGCGTGCCTAGAAACACACCCACAACACCAGCTTAACACTCCCCTACAGTGACAAGCATCAGATTAAAAATTAAAATTTAGCATGTGGATTGCTTTGTGGATACAATCAGTGCATGCAAAAAGATAATACCTGGTATAAAATCTTGCATTTAGCAACCAGGGGTGCATGCATAGTGAACTTTCTAGACTGGATCAGGATTTAACATTGATTGCCTCTTTCAGTATGGACTGGAGCAATGCCATCTTCTCCTTTAGCAACTGGTGGTGAGTTTCTGTCAAATTCAACAGAACCAGCAATCTGGTTGGCAGGTATGCATGAATTTGTGGATTGGATCTATAGTTTTTGCAATATAGCTTAAACCTTTCCAATACCTCTCTTTAACGCATCAAGTAGAAACAGAGATTAACTTCAGAGGCAATGTTCAAACATACACTTGCCACCAAGGAATGGAAGGAAAATAATCACAGGTGTCCATGCATGTTAAGAAGCATGTTCTACAGCAGTTCCCAAACGTTTGCAAGAATATCTTTGGATGTAGTTTTATATTACCTACTCTAATACTCACACACAGCCTTCCTCAATTTTGTGGCCTCCCAGTTGTTTTGGACTACATCTCCCATCAGCCCGTCAACAGTGAGGGATGATAGAAATTGAAGTCCAGAACACCAGAAGGCACTGGTTAGGAAAGGAGAAGGAGTGAGAAGAAGACGCCGTATACCAATGGAAGTGTACTTTTATATCCAATACATAGAAAAGTCCAGTTAGTAACAAGCCTAGTTATAAGTCTAATAAGCTATATTCGATGAAAGAACATATCTGTAATGGCTTAAGCAACAACAACAAAAAGAATTTGAATTTCTCAATGCTCCTCCTTATGGTGCCAGAGAATCAAACAAAAACACACTCCTTATATCAATTAATGTTCTACCTTTTCTCCAGTTCTTTTACACTAGATTGCAACTGATGCAAGCGTTTGTCTGATGCTTCCTCTCTTTCCTGAGCAGCAAGCACCTCTTCTTCCTGGAAGCCACAGAAGTCATTCAGAAGTTATTATCAGAGCTTCTATTGGATTTTTTTAAAAAGAGGAGCCAACCAACCAAAGTCTGATTAATGCCTTGTGTTTGAAATCAGAAGTAGCATGACATACCTTTCTATCTACCTGGGCCTGAAGATTCTCAATCAGTCTGGTCATTTCATCAACCTTAGCAGCTGCTGTTCTCAAGTCCAACTTGGATTGTCTACACGTAAAAATAAACACTCTTAATTTTTTTTACTTTATTGTAAAAAAGCAGATTAGAGTTACTAATCACAATTACTTATTTCATCTTAACTAAACTGTATAATCAAACAATATTTTCCCATACTGAAAACATTTACACTGGACCAATAAAAATGCATGTTTGTCTATTTTGTATCTCCTCCATCTGCTTTATCTGTGAATCAGTGGCAAGATTACTGCTAAAACTGCTTTCATGCAGCCAGGTCTCTATGTGGGTGCCAAACTGTCTGAAAGGAACTGACCTCAGTATCTCAACGAAAGCAGCATGGATCCAAAGATAACGTGGTATGCGTATGGAGATTTCTCAGATACTGAGCCCATACACGTTATAACAGCTGCAGTGCACAGAACGTACTCAAACTATGGCATTCACTTTCACAAATGTGGCCACCAACTCTGATGGCTTTACAAGGGGATTAGACAAATTAATGAAGGATAAATCTATCAGTGAAAGCTAGTCATGAGAGCTGTATACCACCCCAGGACCAAAATTCTTATGCCTCTTTTAAGAAGTCATTGGGGAACAGCAAAAAAGAACTACTGCCCTCCAAGTCCTGCTTGTGGGCTTCCAAAAACCATCTGACTGGTCACTGTGGGAAAGGGTCAGATAAACCAGATAAAGCTTTGATCTGATCCAACAGGGCCCTTCTTATTTTCTTATGAAACTTCTGTGAAGCACTTTTCAGCAATAACACCATCTCTATATGAAATAGGACATACGCTCTAACAAAACTGTACAGGGAATTACAAAGTGAAGTAGCAGTTTCCATCAGCAGGTGCTACTGCAATCTGTGGCTTTCAACAGATATTTATTGTTCACACCTGAATAATTAAAATATTTTCTCTACATATTTTACTCTGCGTTCAGGCCCAGCCCTGAGACTAAGCCAATCTTAGTCACCATGATAAACACCCCTTTCTAAGAGCAAGAGAATGGTACTGCAGCCGTGTTCCTGCTTCTCTGTTGGAGGCTTTAGATACAATCTTTGTGGCTTTCAAGACCTGGGCTAGCTGCTGATTCATTACTGGGCCAAATTTAAGGTGTTCCTATTAGCATATAAAGTCTTTAACAGCTCTGGACCAGATTACTTCAAGTATCATCTTATCCATATATACCCATTGACTCCGTTGATCTGTGGAACTGGCACTTTAAAAAGTATTCCACACTTGTAAGGAACTGATATTTTAGTGTGGCAGCACCTACTCTCTGGAACTCCATGCCCATTGATATTAGGCAAGCATTTTCATATCTCCACAGGCCTTAACAGAATCTGGTATGTAGGTACAGTGGTGCCCCGCAAGACGAACGCCTCGCAAGACGAAAAACTCGCAAGACGAAAGGTTTTTTCGTTTTCGAGTTGCTTCGCAAGACGAATTTCCCTATGGGCTTGCTTCGCAAGACGAAAACGTCTTGCAAGTTTGTTTCCTTTTTCGTAAAACCGTTAATACCCAGGGTGCATTGCTGGAAGAGGTGCAGTTGCGACTTGACTTCAAGGAGCAACACATTGCACGTGGTGTGGTGGCCTTTTTGAGCTTTTTAAAGAGTTTGCTGAATTTTTGAAGCTTTTCCAAAACTTCTTTTGCAGCTGTTTGGTAAGTTAAACTTTTAAAACTTTTTGGGGTTTTTGGATTTTGGGTTGGGGTGTTTAGAATTCAAGGACTTGGTGTTGGGGAGAGGTTTGCAAGAATCTGGGAGCTTGTGTGGTTTTTTTCTGCATTTTTATGATTTTCTGTGACCATTGGACCATTTTTTTTTTTTTGAAAAAAAAAATCTGGGTTTGAATTTCTGTGTGCTGGGTGGATGAGGGAACAGTTGAGGAGGGGTTTGCAAGAATCTGGGAGCTTGTGTGGTTTTTTCTGCATTTTTCTGATTTTCTGTGACCATTGGGCCATGTTGGTTTTTTTAAAAAAAAAATTCTGGGTTTTGAATTTCTGTGTGCTGGGTGGCTGGGGGAACAGCTGGGGAGGGGTTTGCAAGAATCTGGGAGCTTGTGTGGTTTTTTTTGAATTTTTATGGTTTTCTGTGACCATTGGGTCATGTTGGGTTTTTTTTTTTGAAAAAATTTTCTGGGTTTTGAATTTCTGTGTGCTGGGTGGCTGGGGGAACAGCTGGGGAGGGGTTTGCAAGAATCTGGGAGCTTGTGTGGGTTTTTTTGAATTTTTATGGTTTTCTGTGACCATTGGGCCATGTTGTTGTTTTTTGAAAAAAATTCTGGGTTTGAATTTCTGTGTGCTGGGTGGCTGGGGGAACAGCTGGGGAGGGGTTTGCAAGAATCTGGGAGCTTGTGTGGGTTTTTTTGAATTTTTATGGTTTTCTGTGACCATTGGGCCATGTTGGTTTTTTTTGAAAAAAATTCTGGGTTTGAATTTCTGTGTGCTGGGTGGCTGGGGGAACAGCTGGGGAGGGGTTTGCAAGAATCTGGGAGCTTGTGTGGTTTTTTTTGAATTTTTATGGTTTTCTGTGACCATTGGGCCATCTTGGATTTTTTTTCAAAAAAATTCTGGGTTTTGAATTTCTGTGTGCTGGGTGGCTGGGGGAACAGCTGGGGAGGGGTTTGCAAGAATCTGGGAGCTTGTGTGTTTTTTTTTGAATTTTTATGGTTTTCTGTGACCATTGGGCCATGTTGGTTTTTTTTTGAAAAAAATTCTGGGTTTGAATTTCTGTGTGCTGGGTGGCTGGGGGAACAGCTGGGGAGGGGTTTGCAAGAATATGGGAGCTTGTGTGGTTTTTTTTTTAAATTTTTATGGTTTTCTGTGACCATTGGGCCATGTTGTTGTTTTTTGAAAAAAAATTCTGGGTTTGAATTTCTGTGTGCAGTTGAGGAGGGGTTTGCAACAGTTGGGGAGGGGATGGGGGAACAGTTGAGGTTTTTGAAGACTTTGGTGATTTTTAAAGCTTTCCCAAAACTTCTTTTGCAGCCATTTGAGGATTTTGAAGACTTTGGTGATTTGCAGCCATTTCGTAAGTTAAACTTTTAAAACTTTTTGGGGGGTTTTTTTATTTTGGGTTGGGTGTTTGGAATTCAAGGACTTGGTTCTGGGTTTGAATTGCTGATTTTTTTATTTTTTTTCTGAGTTTACGAAGGTAAGAGCTGTGCTGCCATGGGACCCAAGAAGACTGCTGCTGCTGTGGAGGCCGGCGAGAGGAAGAAGGAGAAGGTGACGCTGGAAATGAAGAAGGAGATCATCTGGAAGCACGACGGTGGAATGCGTGTGACGGACCTCGCCAGGGAGTACGGCAGGAACCCATCGACCATCGGGACCATCCTGAAGATGAGGGAGAAGATCCTTGCGACTGATGCAGCCAAGGGAGTCACCAGGATTGTGAAGAACCGCCCAGCTGTTCTGGAGGAGGTCGAGAAGTTGCTGCTCATCTGGTTAGAAGAGAAGCAGCGTGCAGGGGACACAGTGACTGAGGCCGTCATTTGTGAGAAGGCCAAGGCCTTGCACGCAGACCTCATCCGGGAACAGCCAGGAACCTCAGGCGAGCCAGAAGTCTTCAAGGCAAGCAGAGGCTGGTTTGACCGGTTCAAGGCAAGATCTGGAATCCACAGCGTGGTCAGGCATGGAGAGGCTGCCAGTTCTGATGTTCCTGTGGCTGAAGACTTTGCCTTGGAGTTCCTGGAGGTTGTGAAGACGGAGGGCTACGTTCCAAAGCAGGTCTTCAACTGCGACGAGACCGGGCTGTTTTGGAAGAGGATGCCCAAAAGGACTTTCATCACACAGGAGGAGGCCAAGTTGCCTGACCACAAGCCCATGAAGGACCGCCTGACCCTGCTCTTCTGTGCCAACGCAAGCGGCGACCTGAAGATCAAGCCCCTGCTGGTGTACCACTCGGAGAACCCACGGGCCTTCAAGAAACACAAGGTCGACAAGGAGCGGCTGAGTGTCATGTGGCGATCCAACAGCAAGGCTTGGGTCACACGTGTGCTGTTTGTGGACTGGGTCAATCTTGCTTTTGGCCCTGCTGTCAAACAGTACCTGCTGGACAACGACCTGCCGCTGAAGGCTTTGCTTCTGATGGACAATGCTCCTGCTCATCCTAAAGGCCCTGAGGTGGACTTGTTGGAGGAGTTCAGCTTCATCAACATCATGTTCCTGCCGCCTAACACCACGCCACTGCTCCAGCCGATGGATCAGCAGGTCATCGCCAATTTCAAAAAAACTCTACACCAAGGAGCTTTTCAGGCGATGCTTCGAGGTGACTGATTGCACCACCATCACCCTGCGGGAATTCTGGAAGGACCACTTCGACATCGTCACCTGCTTGAAGATGATCACCACGGCCTGGAACGGGATCAGTCAGAGAAATTTGAATTGCGCTTGGCGCAGCCTGTGGCCGGACTGTGTGGCACCAAGTGACTCTGATGCACCAGAGTCAACAGTGGTGCAGGACATTGTTGCCTTGGGGAGGACCATGGGCCTGGAGGTCACAGAGGAGGACGTCAGCGAGCTGGTGGAGGAGCACGACCACGAGCTGACCACCCAGGAGCTGGTTGAACTGCAGGCAGAGGTTGCACAGGAGCAGGCCTCGCTGGAAGAGGAGGAAGCAACTGAGGAACGGCCGTCCTCCAAAGAACTGAGGGACATTTGCCAGAAGTGGAAGGAGGTGCAGGCTTTTGCAGAGCGGCACCACCCTAACAAGCACGTGGCACATGACCAAGCGAACACTTTTGATACGACGGTCATGTTGCCTCTCAGGGAGCTGCTGAAAAGGCGGATGAAGCAGCAGACCATGGACAGGTTCCTCAGCGAGAAGCAAAGAGTGGAAGAGGAACCTTCTTCGAGTGGTCCCCCAGAGTCTTAGAAAATGTATGTACAGTACACTTTGTTGATTTTTAAATGTTTTTCTGTCATGTTTAGAAACTTAATTTATTGTTCCTTCAATTTTTGATATGCTCTTTAAAGTATGTGTGACTTTAAAGAGCAGTTAATAAACTATTGTTGTACCAAATTTGGCTTTGTTTGGACTTTTTTTGACCATAGGAACGCATTAATTGAATTTCAATGCATTCCTATGGGAAACCGTGCTTCGCAAGACGAAAAATTCGCTAGACGAAAAAACTCGCGGAACGAATTAATTTTGTCTTGCGAGGCACCACTGTATGTATTTTCCTCAGAAGAGATCCCTCACCAAATGGTCCCAGGGCAGGTTAAAAAAAATCATAAAACAAAATCACAAAAAACAGAAATATGAGGGGGGAAACAGCAGCACAGAATAGCAGGACACAGCAATGCAGCAATAGGGAAAACATCCACTTAACCAATCTACTAGGTTTGCTTACACAGCTACACTTCCACTTATAGCTAAAAACTTTAATCTGATATGCAGTAAACTGCCACGTTTCTGTGCTTAGTTCTGTTGCATGGACAGGACCATTACAGTGATACCTCAGGTTAAGTACTTAATTCGTTCTGGAGGTCCGTTCTTAACCTGAAACTGTTCTTAACCTGAGATACCACTTTAGCTAATGGGGCCTCCCGCTGCCGCTGCACCACCGCCACACAATTTCTGTTCTCATCCTGAAGCAAAGTTCTTAACCTGAGGTACTATTTCTGGGTTAGTGAAGTCTGTAACCTGAAGCGTCTGTAACCCAAGGTACCACTGTACATTAAAATATTTAAAATATTTATTCACTCTCATCCACTACTACTTATACAAAAAGAAGCCCCTAAGGCTGTGGCAATCAATTATTTATGCAAATATTTACTTGCTTCTTCATGGTGACGCAAAAAAAAAAAAAGGTAATAATCCCATTGTGCAAAATCCAGTGCTGCCATTCTGCTCATCAAATGGCTTTTGGTTCAGGAAAGGTACATGCTAATGTAAGAGAAGTGGACATGACTTTTGCTGATTCAGAATGAGTTTTCTGCCACCGGCGCTCTAGCCGTCTCAGCGATTGTTTCCTCACCCTCAGCTCTGAAGAAAACCACGGGGCTGTCTGGGCTCCATGCAATCGGAGAGGGCGCTTCGGAGCCAGACAGTCAATAGCCCTGGTTAACTCCGCATTCCAGCGGGCCACCAGCAAATCAGCTGAAAGGCCATCAACATGGGATAAAGCATCCCCTACCACTTTCTGGAAACCATTTGGATCCATTAAGCGGCGGGGGTGGACCATCCGAATTGGTCCCACCTCCCTGCAGAGGGGAAGGGTGGCAGAGAAGTCCAGTTGATTAAGAATCAATAATACACACAACCACTACAGTTTAATCATAGTGGAATGGTACTCAGAATATGTGATCGCATAAGCAGAAGGCACTTTCACTATTACCAGGCAAGGTCTTTATTTTCAGATTCCCCACTGCAACCCCTCAAAAGAGTTAGGGACAAGAAGGGATGCGTAGTGCATGGAGCGCAGTGGACTAGAATGAAGTTTTCATTGCACAAAAACTTTTTGCTCATTCAAAAGTCGCCTCTGGATATGAACCACTGTCACATAGTTTGCTATTTCTGTGACGTTAGATGGATTTAATGAACAAGGTAGAACAAGCTACTAGGGCTCATGAAATAAAAGTAGGTTTCAGAAATCTCATTTATACCTCTGTTGCTTGCGTAGCTCGTCCAGTTCTACATTCTGTTCTGTTACAGTCTTCTTAAATACCTGATTAAGCTACAAGAATGGAAAAGTGTTTTAATACATTCCAAAGAACAAAAAATAATAATAATCAGTAAACATAGTATGGTGGATATATTTTTCTTTGACGCCAAGACCTGCAGCAGAAAGTTTTAAAAGTTCTGGTTACACATTTGTACCTCAAGAAGTAAGAATTTGCTTTTCAAAAAATTGTTCTTTGCTTACAGTTGACTTGACTATCTTCTTCACAAGTTCTCCACTTTCCATTTAAATCTCTTAATTCTCTCTTAAATGTAGCTATTTATATCATTTGCCTTTTTTAGTGTATTGTCAACTTATGTCGTACTGCGTTTTCATATCATATACAAAACAACTTTGTACCCTATGCAGTGTTCATGCTCTCTTTTACAACCACTAATCATTTTCACTACCCTCTAACAGAGTTGACACAAAAAGTGAAGGAGAAGTAGAGGAAACAGAAAATTGTAAAATTGAATGATAATAAAAAAACTCTAGGGAATAAAAGTAAATAAATGTGGTTTCACAGACAGAGGCTTGCTTCTTCATGGTGACGCAAATCTGACCTAATTTTCCAGAGCAAGGGCCAATTATGTTATCAAACAAATAAATTAAAACAGATTAAAAATGAAGTAGAAAATATGGCATAGTCGTTAAAAAATAAGGTAGGGTTTATAATATACACAGATAAGAAGTGCCTAGAATCTGCTTTGGAGCTATTTGCATTTGTTTTATATATTTTCCTCTTTTTAATGGACATTCAAATGAGATGGGCTACAACAGTTTCAAGATGTTATTATAATGTTCAGTGTTTCACTTACTGACTCTGTTTTTTCGTTGCTGAAATGCAGTTGCTTTGTTAGTTGCTGAAAGCTTGTCAATTGATCCTAAAAAGAAGATGCAGAGCATGTAATTATAATCTAAAGAATTTATCATCAACATAAAAATAAATGCTCAAGCTTAACATTTTAAACATTTAAGTACTATTACTATATTGTATACATTACCACTGGCTGTCTTCCAGAATTCTCTCTTTGATAGTTAGCCAGATATTTCAAAAGAAATACACAGCAGCAGAAAAAGCAATAATGGTATATTTCAGTCCCTATTGTTTTTTGTGTGTGAAAGAAATGGAAAAATGTACACACAAAGTAGTCAGTCAATGCCAAGCTGTGGTTGAACATTCTGCAACCAGATGCGAGGTATTTGCACCAGAACCAATAGTTGCACGTGTGTGTGTGGTAGTAAATGGGTCCTATGTATAAAAGCTGTGTAAGTTAAAGGGAGGTAACCCTGCAATTAACCCCTGAAAATCCATAGATGGGTTTCAAAATGAGGAGTTTTGAAGCCATACTAAGTGTGCTCCTTTTCTAATATGCCTTAGTTTTTAGATCTTCAGAATTCACCGATGTCACATTCTGAAGACAATCTCTGAAATCTCAAGGAAAGAAGAAACAATCATGTTTTTGCTTTTACAAAAGCAATCCAGAAGTCAGTTAAGTACCAGATGAAGAGCTTATGGAAACAATTAAAGAGCTGCTTTGCCAAAGGACAGAAGCTCTGCCCTCAGGACAGCACTTATGCCCCCCAAATCCTGACAGAAAAGTCTGCTGGAATAGATGCACCATTCACTGGATGGTCTGAAACAGGATGTTACATGGGATGGGCATGATGGGGACAGACCATGAACAAGGACCCAAAGCCTCCTAGTTTCCTGACATGTCAATGGATTGAGTCTGAATTTACACCAGCTACATAGCTGGCATGTCCCTCCCACTGGGACAAAGAGAACAAAATTCTATCTTCCTAATTCCCATCCCAGCCAGAAGGACCCGATATGGCTTTGGTTGTAGCAGAGCAAGTCCCATGGAGTCTCACACCCACCATAAACGAGGACTGAAGTTTTAATCAAATTTTAATACATAGCTATTACAATAAAATGAATTACTTTTTGTTTTTGACTTTCAGCAATATGAATCTGTGCTTCTGTCATGTGTGCATGATATATCTGCTGAAGTCGCTCCAACTCCTGTGATACTGTCTGCCAAAGTTCTACTGCATGTTCCTTTTCCTACAAAAATAAAAGCAAATATAGTATATGAGAAACTTTGTTTCTGCTTAGTGCTTATGATTCAGAAAACTGAAAGCGAGATTGTTATTTTTCTACAAAGCCACTCTGCATTATGCAGATATGGCAATATATTCCCACTTGCCTCCCAAAGCGATGGTACTTATTACTTACATGTTTCCTATATGCTATATATTTAAACAGTAAGAATTCTATTCAATTGCAACCTAGCCGCCAAAAATGTAATTCAACTGTGAAGATTAATTAATTAATTAATTCCCACCTTTCCTCCAAGGGCTTCAAGGTGGTATACACAGTTCTATTCTTTCCCATTTTACCCTCATTACAACACTGAAGTGGGTTAGGCTGAGAGTGAGTGACTGCCCCAAGGTCACCCAGTAAGCTTCACGGCTAAGTGGGGATTTGATCCCTGGTTCCGCAGGTCCTAATCCAACACTTCATTCAATACACCAGAACTTATTATATCATCTTCAACAGACCTTGGAGGTTCACAGATTACCAATAAGATAAAATCCTGAAATTAAAAGCAAGCTTAAAAATCCTGACAAAATTTTACTTTGAGAAGTGCATGTTACCTTCACCAAAAATAAAAACAAAGTAAAAGGAGGGGAAGGGCCAATTCTGAGGAAATATGCTTTAAAACTACATACAAAAGAGTCAAAGAACCAAGGCAGTCTAGATGTTTGAATCCACTCACTTTATTTGCTAGTTGTAACTGGTCTTGAAGGTTTCTTATTATATTTTCATCCATGAATGTACCATCCCCTGAGGTAGGACCAGCTTGTAGAGCCTCCAACTGCTTTTCAACAGCCTCTTTCAATTCTTCATGCAATCTAGGTTACAAATATATAGACAAGCAATTTATTTTTAAAATAGTAATCAAAGCCAATTTGATGGAAATGAACCATCAGCTGGAAAACAAACACTTCTCAAGTTTATAACAATGTATTGAATTATTCTGGAAGCTATAAGCACACTGAAATCTTTCTACAGGATATACACAAGAGAAACAAATGCTAAGAGCGGTATCTGTAGATCCCTTATGACCATATCCTGGCACAGCACCAAAGTGTTCCATGTGAACAGCAGGAATTTTCTGAGGAATTTAAGTTCTTGCTGTGCAATGAAGAAACTGACAAGCTGAAGACAAGTGGCTGCTGCTGTGAAAAATTCTGCAAAGAGGATGTTAGAAACACATCCTATAGCCATAAGACACAATATAAGTATATTGTGGAAAATAGTGGGAGGAATTCAACATTGTGAAGAAATGAAGTATCTTCCCAGGGATGTCTCTCCTTGTTCTTGGTCTGTCCTTTAGGGATGTCTCTACTTCAAAAAATGAGACCCTTTCCCCTTCCCTTGCCAGATCTGATCTTTCATCAAGACAATACTGGGCTCTTAGGGCCTCCAAAAACCAGGCTCTCTGTTGTTGCTGGAGGGACAAGAATGGGAAAAAAGACTGATTCCTACAGAAAAAGAAAGTACACTGCACCTAAAATTCAGCATGGAATTGTTACTTGAAAATTTGGAGGCCTGGGGTACTTTGAGAGGAAGGGCGGGATACAAATTTAATAATAAATAAATGTCACTAAGTTAACATACATCAAGTACTCCAGGTCCCCTAGGTAAACCTCTGACATGCATATATTTTTGTTATGAAAGAAAAGAGTAAACAGTTATGTATGAGTAGTATTATAGATATGTGACCAGGGTTAGAAATATACTAATAATATCCATATAATATTTTGCTTGCATTTAAGTATTTCTAAATACTTGGTGGTTGAAAATGATGCTAGCAATAGTAATGCTCACTCTGAAAATGCATCTGGCAGCATGAAATCAGGGCAGGAAGAGACATTGATGGCAAAAAGAGGAGAGGAGTGTTCAGATTGTAATCCTATACACACTTACTTGAGAGCAAGTTTGATTAAAGTAAGTAGATCTAAGTCAGCTGCTAGGCACCGGTCGAGGCATTAAGCCTGCCTGCCCCTGCCCCATAAGGAGGGCCAGGTGACATCCACCACAGCTGGGATGACTCACAGGAAGGGCCTAGCTAACGTCCAGAGTCACCACCACGTTCCCCTCATAGGCACGGTGCGGCTGGTGGTCCAGCTGCACCCCATCTGGACAGGGATAGTTATCTAACTTCTGTTATCTATGCTCTTGTAACCTCTAGGTTAGATTACTGCAATGCATTATACACGGGGCTGCCTCTGAAGACGGTTTGGAAGATTCAGCTGGTGCAGAATGCAGCAGCCAGATTGCTCATCAGGACAAGACATATATACAATGCCAATCCTGGCCTGACTGCACTGGCTGCCAATTAGTTTCCAGGCTCAATGCAAAGTGCTGGTTTTGACCCATAAAGCCTTAAAAGGCTCGGGACTGCAGTACCTCAAGGACTGCTTCTCTCCTTATGAACCAACCTGGAACCTGCACTCAAAATCTGAGCGACACGGTGACTTCCCACTTGTGGAATGCTCTCCCCAGGGAGGCTTGCCTGGCACCCTCGTAACGTATCTTTTTATACCACATTTCTCTTATGCCAGGCTGATTAAACAATCTATGGCCTTTTAAACTGTGGAGGGGTTACTGTTTTTGTTTGCTACTATGTTATGCATTTTTGTGTCTATATATTGTAAACTGCCCTGTGATCTTCAAATGAAGGACTGTATAGAAATCTAAAAATAAATAAACAAGCAAACAAAAAAACACGCCACTCAGTGCATCGACCTTTCATTTTCCTTGGTAACTTGTTCAAGTTTTAGTCGCAATTCCCTCATCTGCACCTAAAAAAAAAGCAATAAATAACAGTAAGCATTCATTTTTTAATAGGTGTCACAAAACTGTTAGATTAGACACACTAAAATTAAATCTCCCGTACACCATGTATATACACAAACACCAGTGACAAAACGGAATATAAAATACTTTTTGCTAGTTCAGCTACAGGAAAAAAAGAATTATATCATTTTATAACTTAGAACAAAAACTGTTTTTAGTATTGACAATATTATTCATAATGGGTATTCAATGACAGACATACTCAAATTTATTCACTATTCAACTGGTCTACTCCGAGTAGATTTCAACTGCACATGCTACTATGTCTTAAAATTTGATCTTAATAAGTTTGTGTGAAGAGCAACAGGAAAACATTTGCACACTGGTGTGTATGATTCATACCTGACAGTACCTCAGCTGTTCATTCATTTCCTTCAGATGTCCATCATAATCAGCAGCTAGAGGAGACAGTCTAACGTGGAAGTAAAAATATACAAAATAAAGACATTGGTAACACTGACTGAACATTCAATTAGTTTAAAGGTGGTGATCTGTGGCTTGATACACAACACAATCCTTCCCATTTCCTCAGCAAAGTGCTTGTCAATAGAGGGGGATGAATCACACTGTGCCTTGTTTGGTGTAAAGAAAAATCTATTTTCATAAAGGGATGGCCTGCCTTTCAGTGGAAGCTCTACTGCATCCAAAATGGTAACCTTAGAAAAATTTATATCCAGTGAAAATTCCATGCAACATTCACACAATTGTGCAAATAGATATAGGAAGAGTGAAAGGACTGGTCTGGTGCCTATCCAAGAGCTTGGATACTCAGACTTGCTATGGTTTCCCACATTTTAATTCCTAAGGCATGAGGCACTTGTGGTATTTTGACCCTGTTTAAGAGCCATGGGTTCTCCAAACACAGCTAATGGCATCACTACCATCAAGGAAAGCCAATTAACTTAAAGTTGCACAGCATGCTCCTAAACATGTTTATTCATGAGTATATTTCACCAAGTTCAACTGGACTTGCTTCTTGATATTGTGGGTATAACCAGCATGCTTAAGTCACAAATGGGTTAATACCATATGCTATCCTGCCAGGTTTAGCTAGAGGAAGCTAACCTTGGAAGGAAGCTAATAAAGCCTACTGTTGTATCCCAGTCAATCAGAGAAGCGCAAAGCCACTCTTGAGCTTCAAACCATTAATTTAGGACTTTCACCACAATAACTAAGCCATGTTTTACTGCTTCTGCAACTTTTTTGACAGATTTATTGAAAAGCACATGAACCTGACATTTGGAGGGTTTGTAAGCATTTTTTTAACTTACCAAACATGTGGCCTTTTCCTATACTGGGGGAAGAGGGGAACTTTGGAAGGAATTCACAAGGACATATTTTAAAGGTCTAACAGCATAAATTTCCATGCTTTACTTTGCTGCATATTTTGTGACTTTAAACCTCTGCTGGGCTTCTCTCACCAAAGAGTACTTGCCCCAAACCTGGATCCTGGCATCCAATAATTCTCTCATTTCTATATACCATTTTTTCATCTTTTGAACCAATGCTAAAATGGGTCAGCACCAAATATTAATGAGGCATAACACAGTGTTGTTGTTTTTTAAAGAAAGGTAAAGCTCCATAGAGCACTATCAGTATACACAGAGACTTCCTTTCAAATACAGATCAAACTGAGAAAGAAAAAAAAATACATTGTTTCCTTTTTTTTATTCTATATTTCCAAGCTTGAAAATAACATTTAAAAAGTGGCTGACAGAAAACAAACCAAATAATCAAACCACATTCGAAACACGGTAGTACTTTAAATTTAATTATAACACCAAAAAAAACCCTTTACCTTTGATTCGTCAGTTCAGGCTCCATTTCATTGTTACCTCCTAAGAAATTCTTCTGAAATGAAACTATTTCCTTTTAATACTGTTACATATTACCACATATATTTAAAAAGTGAAGCATATTTAATCCATTCCATGTGCACTGATATGTAATTCCATATTCTGCTTTTACATTAAAATGACATGTGTAATTTCAGTTCTTCTGGAGATAAACACAATCTTTTTCCACAGCAGAAAGAAAGTCTCCATCTAAAATGACTAGTACTGCTCCAAATGATGATTCACATACCACCTTTTGAGCGGAAACTAGAACAGGGTGAAATGTTCTCATCTAAGCCCATGTAAACATATTAGTTTCAATAGTATTACAAATCTGTGGCACACCTCTCACTATAAGTGAGAACCAGCCTCTTGTTGTACTATGAATTTCTGTTTTGTTTTTTAAAAAAACTGTGGATTAGCAATTATTGTTGATCTATAAAGTTATAACCTGGAAGCATCAGTAAAGCTTTTAAATTTGTAGTAGCATCTGATCAATATACGGTTATTAAAAGGTTTTACTTTTCAGTATTTCCCCAGTCAACCTCAGAACAATTACAAAAAGGCCTTTTAGACTTTAGAAATATGATATAATATTGTGGTTCGAGGACCCGAACCCCGCGCAGTGGAATGAAACACAAGGACACGTGATATAAGGTTAATGGGCAAGAAAAGGCCACAACTTTATTGATTACAGCAAGTGAAAAGGTATTGGCTTAGGCATTGGATTACGTCAGCTGACTCCACCCACTCGGAGAGGGTTGAGTCTAAAAAACAAAGGGGGGTTTATTCACCAGTAGGTGGAGCCTGTTGATGCTAATCCAACTATAAGCTCTCCCCTGATGTCACCGAGGGTCGTGCCATGGCCTCCCGCCAAGCAGGCATCGGACAGAATACACGATCGCCGGATTCCTTTAACGGAATACCCAAAAATTGAAGGCGCAGGCGATGGCCACACCTAGCCCTTCGACACCACGACACATTATTCCATACAGTATGTAATACACACATGTATATACACACTCATTACTTCACAAGGCAAAACACCATCTCAAGGCAGTTCATAAATAAAGCCATACAGCAATTTTGTATTACATAAAATATTTATAAGCTACCTTTATGAATAAAAGTCATTAAAGGAGGCTTGCACAACAAGAGAGAAACTACAATTCAGAGATCATGACAAGGTATGGTTTGGTCCAACTAAGACAATAAGGAAGGAATCAGGGTGGATGAAGGGGATAAAAGGCTAAGAGGAGCAAGTGTATGAATCCATAGCCCATTGATGTCTATTGTATGGATTCTGTTATTTTAATCCACAATTCTGCAGATAAGTATTTATGGGAAATATTCTAAAAATTAGTACTGTATAAAATAGTGGTTTTCAACCAGTGTGGGTTGGCACGGCACCCTGGGGTGCCTTCAATGATGGTCAGGGGTGCCGTGGGCAACCCTGGCCTCCATCCCTCATTCTTTCCCTTCCTCCTTGGATCCCCTCTCGCATCTCTGCCTCCAAGGGTCTTGAATGACTGTTTGTTGCAGCATGTCTGGCTACATGCTATGCTGGCAAATAGTGCCTCTGGGGCTGGCCAGGGGGTGCTGGGTGCCAGAAGTTAAGGCAGCCTCAGAGTAAGCAAGCAACCAAGCGGGCAATGGAGCCCAAACAGCCGGTCTGCCAGCCCTTGCTGTTGGGAATGGGAAGACAAGTGAGAGGGCAGGCAGGCAGGCAGGTACCGTTCTTGTGCTTGCTGTGTGCAATGCCTGCCTGGGAGCTGAGTGCTTGGTGCTGAAGAAGAGCCTTTCCGCCATGCAGGCCCGGCAGCACCCACTGCTGCCTCCCAAGGTAAGGTGCTGGCCTCATTCAACTTTGGCCAGTCTCAGTTGGGTCACTAAGGTTGGGGGCATCCTCTTCCCAGACTCCTGTGGGGCACTGTGAGGAAGCATCTTTCTTTGGGACAGGGGGTGGCAGCTCAGAGACCAGGAGAGGCAGCATTGGTTGCCCAGAGGACTCCCAAGGAGAGGGGAGAGGAAAGGAGGCTGAATGAACACTCCACAAGGGAGTATGTTCGAAAACAGGTGAGAGGCTGCCAGTTCTGCAGGCAAGGGATGACGTAACTGGGCTCCTGAGCCCCACAGGGGTGCTGCAGAAAGAAGGTAGTTGGTCAAGGGAGCGGTGTGCTCAAAAAGGTTGAAAATGTCTGGTATAAAAAGTTCCCAAATAAAAAAACCTGGGTAGCTTCTAACTACAAACAAACTTTTAAGCTCCTCCATGCTATAGTGTCAATAATATATGCAATAATATATGAAAACTTGGATTTGTAGAGAGGTCTAAAAAATAGTAACCTTTCCAACATCTTTCTACAGTGCATCATTTTGGTGACTTACTGCAATGTAAACAACCAGGAAATAAATTTACCTGTTCAAAGGTAGTTCTTGTTAGATTCTCTGTCTGAAGTTGCTGGGGCACATCATTTAGCCTTTGATCTGAAACAAATGAATCCCTTAATTTGCAGGACTGATAGTTTACGTTATGAAATTCAACTAGAAATATTCTCTCCTAATACATTTGCTTCCTGACCTTACCTTATGAAGACATTTATTTTGACAACATATAACTTAAAATGCAATTTAGTTTATAGATCACAGTTTTAATCACTTTTCACTGTGAATTCCCTTTCCTTTATTGTTATAAAAGAATGCACTTTTTCAAAAAACCTTTAGACACGAATTCAACAAAGAAAAGTTTATTGCAATCCATACATACTTATTTGAGAGTAAGTTTCATGAAACACAATGGACCACTTCCAACTAATAAGGCATTGGCTTGCACAGTAAATAGTTTTGTTCACCAAATTTTATTTACCAACAAGTTTGTTGAATTCCACCACCCAAAATCTAAGAAGATAGTAAAACATTATTTGGAGTCACCTTATTCATCTTTGCTACCAATTTACCTAAAATAAGAGTTCACTTGACAGATTTCAAATTGGTTGGACTTTTCTTAAAGTGGGGTTCTACTGATTATCTTGGAAGTAGATTTTGATGTATGTTGACTCTTGTACATTATCCATGTGATATTAATTCAGTCATTTAAATAACAATATTTTTACATGTTTAATTCATTTCAACACATATATGCTCCTTTCCTGTTAGACTGGTGCCTTCTAAGTCATTTATAAAACATATAAAACTTTTAAGGAGGACAGTTTTAACAGTTTTTCAAATGGCTATACATCCAGCAGTGCCACCTGGGGAAGGGTGCCCTAGAACCCAGGTGTTACTGTAGGAAAACCATCAATTTAGGCTTCTGATACAGGTGGGAGGCAGAGCAGAGACTCTCTAGATGATCTTAACAAGCAGGCAAGATCTCAGTGAGGAGTTCTACCCTAGGCCAATGCATTTATGGCTCTCAAGGTCATTATCTGCACCAACATATTGGAAGAAAATGGAGACTGAGTAATACTGAATAATATCCTCAGAATTACTGACAGCAGTATTCTTGACAGCATCCAAACATGCTTTGGAAGCAGCTCCACACTGAGGGGATTTCAATAATTCAACAATGATGTAGCCAAAGCATGTGCAGCAGTGACAAGAACTGTCTTATTCTGGGAAGACTGCATTTGCTGCACTAGCTGAAGCTGAGTAAAAGCACATCTGGCAACAGCAGTATCCAAACCCTTAAGGAGCAATACTGGCTCCAGAAGTATTCCCAAAATCTGAATATTATCATTCTCCTGCCCTAGTTAGCTCTCACTTAAGGGTGTAATTGATACGTCACTGAGATGAGAGTTATCATTTTGGGGAACATTTTGTCAGGTATTTGTCAATTCAGAGTGACAGTAAAACTGTATTCATTTATTTACTGCCTCTCCCAAACATGCCAGGGAGGGTTACATATAAAAATATAAAATATATGGAACCTAACATTACAGTAAAAGTAGATGCTCCTTTGGGTCTGAAAACTATCTTTCTAGATTTGCCAAGTTGAAAATTTTAAAGGAATGTCTGGGGCAAGAGTTATGCAGGGGAGGAAGTTAAAATGATGTAGTAATGGATGGCAGTGAAAACAAACAGTTTTTCATTTATTGTAACCCATTCATCGGCTGTCAGTATTGAGTTGATTAGGAATGCTTTGGAATTGCAAAACACTAGTAGGCAACTATATTAAGAAGCTGCAGTAGACCAAGAATAAATGTGTTTTCATATGTTAACACCTGGCTCCCAGTGGTGGCTATTAACATTTTCTGAGCATGTTAGATAAATGAAATTTAAACAGAACAGAAGTATCACAGCTTTTTCAATGATGTAACAAGAGCACCTTTGAAACTCCCTGAAAACAAATGCTTAGTGTTTCACTTTGTGATGCTAATATTCCAGCACCAATTTGATTAAGCTGTCATATGCAGCGTATTCACCAGATCTACAGTGCTAGTCTTTATGAAACAGCCACTGTGTTTGCTCTATAAAAGGAGGAATGTTTATCTTGATGTTGAAGTAACATTTTGCCTCTTCTCATATTTCTGTTTTATATACATTATTACTGTTTCATTTGATGGAAATGAACATGAACTTGAAAGAGTGAAAGATTTACAAAGCATAAGAAAAATGTAATGGAAATTCTCACAATCCCATGCATGTTACTAGAAGCGGGGGTTGTCCAATGAAACTCAATGTTGGAAGAGTCTGAACAGAAAGTACTTCACTCAGCACAGAGTTAAACCATGAAACTCACTCCTACAAGATGTAAAAGCAGACACTAACTTTGATAGTTTTAAAACAGGATTAGAGAATTTTATGGAGAATAAGGCTATAGCTACTAACCACGATGGATATGTTCTACCTCCACAGTTTGAGACAGTATGCCTCTGTATGGGGATGGGATGACAAATTGGGGAAATGCTATTGCACCCAAGTCCTTCTTGAAGGTTTCCAATAGGAATTTCGTTGGCCACTGCGAGAACAGGACACTGGACCAGTCAGGGGGTTCTACTCACTGTGCTCCATGAGCAGTGGCCAGCAAGTCTGGACAGACAAATACTTTTGCCCGATCCAAACCCTCAGGTGGTGCAGAGGTTTGGATTACAGCCTAAGTGAGATAGATAGATCCTCTTAAAGGACAATGAGTTCACAAAGCACTTTCCAACCATTGATAAAAATAATTACAATCAAATAGAAGATACAACTTAAAATTAAATACATCACTCCCAATGAGGGAAATTCAACCAGAAAGACAAACGTAACAAATAACTCAGGAAAAGCTAAGTGAAACATATTTAGAGTTCATTGAAAAACAATCAAATAGGGGCCTGACAAAGATGTCTGAGAAGGAAATTCCACAGATGTGGGGCACATCTGGTGGCTAGTGGTATTTCCTCAAGGACCATAAACCTGACTCTGAGGCTGATCTTAAGACATTGGCAGGTTCGTGACAGTAGGCGATACTTCAGATAACCTAGTCCAAAACAATGTAGGCCTTAAAGGGCAAAACCAGTACCTTAAACTAAGCCCAGAAACAAACTGGTAAGCAATGCAAGTGGTACAGGGTTGGTATAATTTGAGTTGTATAACTCCTGCTAGCAAACAAATAACTGGAGTTTCCAAACTGTCTTTATAGACAGCCCTATGTAGACACTATTACAATAGTCTAATTTGGACAGAATACATGTTAAAATAACAGACACCAGGTCTGCTCTCTCCAGATAGAATACCACAGAATACCACAAAATATATGCACAGAATACCAGCAAAAGCAGGTAACAGGCACTTGTGGTCTCTGACGTTATCTGCACCTTCATATAGAGCAACAGGTCCAGAAGAACACCTAAGCTGTTATTGGCCCCCACTTTTTTTTATATAAAAAGAAAACTTCTGTTTAAGCTTTTCAATGAAATACATCAACTAACAGTATAGATCTTAATGAACTCATATGCAGAACTTACTTTGAACTCTTGGAAAATCAGTTGCTCCTTCCATATTTTAACCTGGAAGGTTCCACAATAAGGTTTCTGACCAAATGAACTCCCTCTCATCAAGGTAAATACAAAACCTGTAAAAGTCAGATAAATGTAAGCAGCAAAACCTACAGTTATTTACTTCCATTAATTTCTAACTGTAGTTTCTAACTGAATTCTCCTCAGAATCTACAAGTGTCCTATTTACAGAAAGATAGGGCATGTGGAAATAATTCTGAAAGAAAAATGCTCTATCAAACATCATAATGGAAACTCACTTTTCAAAGCTATAGTCCCATGCATGGGTGCAGCGGGTGGGGGAGCAGCTGCCCTCCAATAAATAAAAATGCATAGCAAACTGAGGTTCTGCCTTCCCTAACAAAAGGCCTTCCTTCCCTCGCAAAATTCTTGGCTATGCCCATGGTCCCATGGATATCAAATATAAAACTCCAGCCTACAGCAGCTCATCAGTGTACCATTATAAAGTTAAAAAAGATAAAAATAAGAACAGTCCTTCAACACATCCTTTTTATTGCATGTTCATGATTATTTGTGTCCATGATGTGATCAGAATGGTCATACACCGTCCTTCATTCAACACTATTCACACAAAAAAATCCACAACCATTTGTCCATGCAAAAGTTTTGGGGTTGTCCTACTGCTTCATTTCCAACCGGTACATAAGTTGTATAAAAAGTTATGGGATATCAGCAAAAAGTTACAACAAATGTTATGGAGCAAGGGGCTTTTTTTTTATCCCGCCCTTGTTGTGTTATAGTCTCTCCCAACAGAAATTATGTGGAAACACTGGGGGAAAGCATTTCATAACCACTAATACTAAAACAGAACAAACCCACCCCTAAATGCACCATTATTGTGCAAAAGAGCTTATTGCAATGAAAAACCCCGTCTGAAAGGATCTCTAAAGTAGACATGGATTATGCCAGGCTGGAAGGTTTATTCTGGCATAAACCCACAGGAGAAATTATTAATTTAAGAGGAAGCGTTAACTGAAGAAAAATGCCTCCCCACACCCGCCGACAAGTGTATGTAATACACACGTTTCTTTTCAGACGAGGTCGCCTGTTGCGCGTCACATTGCTCTCTTGGAAGAAATGCGGGGGGGGGGGCGGAACACGCGACCCTCTCTCTCACTCTCTTCCCACACACGGACCGGGACTGACGGTTGGAACCCCGCCGTGCGCGTGAAGCCGCAGCTGCTCCCCGTCTCGCCTAATTCTCCTCTCTGAACCAATCACAGGCCTCCCCACCTCCCCCGTAAGAGACCGGCGCGAGACACCTGGTTAACTCGCCACCTCAACGCCGCCGATTACCATAACGACCGACGGACAGGAAAAGAAGCAAAAAACACAAGAGGAGTAGAAGAAAACGGAGGAAGAGGAGACGGGTCCGCAGATGACGCGGCTGACTCAGGCCGCCAATCGGAATCTAGGCGAAGGAGATGACTTTTCCCATTGGTTTAAAAGGGGAAAAGAAAAAAAAAGCATCACGTGCCCGCCTCTTCCTTCAGGCTGTGCGAGGAAGCGGCTGAGAAACAAAACTGAGCGGTGAGTGGGCAACCGCTGTGTGTTTGTATGCGCGCTTACGCGGAAGTAAGTATCTCCATCTCCCTGGGACCAATTACTTCCTAGTAGACCTGTTAGGCTGCAGTCCTAGCTGGGAGGGAGCCCCATTAAATCCAACGGGGCCTCCTCCTGAGCAAAGTTGACTGGCAGCCACCCTATGCCCGGTCGCAGGGCTGGATTTCCTTCCCTCTTCCTGGTTTCCAAGCAACTTGCCTCCCCAACGCTCCTCGGTGTTTTTAAAAGGGTGGCGCGGGGAGCTGAAATGGTGGCAGCTGAAACTTTTTCGTCTCGCGCGGTTTCCAGAGGCAGAGGGTCCTCCCCGGCGGAAAACGTTGGCAACCGAACGGGGGTGGGGAGAGGGGAGAAGGACCTGGTTTAAATCGAAGAGGGCTGCCCTCATCGACTGCCCAGAATAGTCATTGCAATAGATTTCTACTCTGCAGAGAGGAGATAAGAGATGCTCGGGATGTGTCTCACTGTCCTCTTCATCAGTACAGTATGTCGGCATCCTGCGGAAAGTGTGATTCTTGCACTTACACACACAATATTGTGTTAGAGAGTGTATATTCCAAAGTGTTAATGCACATATGAGTCAGGCAGATCTGATTTTTCCCCCCACCCACACATAAGCACTCTCTATTGAACTTATAGCAGTGTGACCTACCCACAATACTGGATGGTGATTAATGAGATGTGTTAACACTTTGTGTTGCCCCTTCTCCACTGCTAGTAGTTCCCAAGTTCTGGAAACCTGATGTCCTTTGTGGGCATGCAAACGCTACAGCAGCATAGAATTGTAAAATTGTGGGGTTGGACAAGATCCCATTGGTCATCTAGTCCAACCCCCTGCAATGCAGGAATCTTTTACCCAACGTGGGGCTTGAACCCTGAGTTTGAGAGTCTCATGCTCTACTGACTGAGCTATCCCTCAATTGGGCTACAACTCGTATTCCCTCCTAGCCCACAAATCCAACATCATGGATCGATATAAAGCGGGACTAATTTTCTTTGTGCCCAGCAGTCTAATCTCAAAATTATTTCTCTCCAGCCATGTAATAATATTGCCCAGGCATTCCTCCCGAGCTCTTCATACTTAGTTCTAATCATAATTAGCATATATAGCCCCCCTTGCCCCAACAAGCAGACATTGCCAGGTTATTGGAACCAACTCACATCCTTTTTGGAAAAACTGGAGGCCAAATTCCCTCCCACTGACCCGCCAATTGCAGGCAATTTTAATGCTGGAGCTATCCTTCAGTCAATTTGCATTCAAAGTTTCTTTTTACCACAGGCAATTAGTTAAGGAGGGAAATAGTTAAATAGAGCAATATCTCTGCAGGTATGGACAGGAAGATGTATAATTTAGACAAGGTGGGGAAACTGGTTCCTGGATAAATTGGATGACATGTAGGAATTGCACCTCCTTTCTTGATATGCTCAACTCAACTTGCCGCTCAGCTTAACTCCTTTAAACTCTTTTCTCATACAGTATTGAGAAAAAAGTTTTGACTTTTATAGTAGTCACACATTTGAGTGTCTAAACTATTGTCTTTTGATTGCTTTGTGGGTGGATTGATGCTGAAGTATGAACTGCACATTACTTACAATACCTTGTTTTGTGTATTGTGTGTTAAAGTATACTTAAAACTGCTCAGGGTGATGATACCTAGAAGGCTACAGGCAGCAAGTGCAAGTTGTAGAGCACAAGGATAAGCTGATGGACCACAGAATGCCAATCAAGGGAAACTGCTATGTTATGTACCAGTTGGAGGCAGCCATGTAGAAGGAAATATTACAGCATTTAGGGCTTTTTAGTTCAAAGAAAATAGTAGGTTCTGTAACAGAAGTGTATAAAATTATGCATGGTCTAGAGAAAGCAGAGAGAGCAAAGTTTTTCTCTCTTTCACAACACTGGCACTTAGGGACATCCATTGAAGCTGAACATAGAAATTTTCAGGGCAGACAAAACTATGAAACTATGACATTTGTTTCCATGAGAGGCAGTGATGGCCACCTACTTGGAAGGCTTTTAAAGAAGATTCAACAAATTCTTAGAGGACAAGGCTATCAGTGGCTACTTTCCCTGATGGATGTGTTGTTCTTCCATTGTTGGAGGCAGTATGCTTCTGAATACATGTTGCTGGAAACAACAGAAGAGGAACATGCTGTTGCCCTCGGGACCTGCTTGCAAAGTTGCTTCCCCAAAGCATCTGACTGGCCAGAATGCTGGAATAAATTGGCCACTGGTCTGATTCAGCTCACTCTTAAGTTCTTAGAAGATATTGCATGAGTAGATTTCCAAGACTAATTACAAGGAAATTTTATTTTTATCATAAGTTTGCAGAGGATATATAGTTGTATTTCAACTTTAACATGTTCTACTTTATCCGTAGGCAGGCCATTTGTTCAGCACCAGTACTGCTGTGGAAATACAACTTTATTTGGAGGATGACAGTGGATTTGCATATTTATACAAGTTAAAGTTGAGATCACTGTGGACACCCTGTGGTGAAAATAGGCATGAACAGTCAGGTACTGAAAAAGGTATGGTGTTGCAGCAAGTCATTTAATTCTCCTGCGTATGTAATATCTCTATACCAAGATCTTAATGGAACTTCCAGTAACACATGCAATTGGTTGACTTGCATCTCTCCGTTGCAATAATGTTGTGTCGCTTGCAATAATGGGTAGGAGTTGGGAGATTATAGAATGCTATTAAAGTTACTAGCAGTTGTGCCCCTGTCTGCTCCATTCACCCCCCCCCTACTATTTTCCCCACATTAACCCCCTAGAGCAGTGGTTTCCAACCTTTTTTGGGCCATGCCCCACCTAAGCATCTCTAAAATCCTGATGCCACCCCCCCCCCCGTGATATATAATTATTAAAAAAGTGAACTCCTGTTCACATGGAGGAAGCCTAAAAGGCCATTCAGGGTTAATAACTCATTCTTGATTGCCCCCCTTAAAAATCAAATTGCCCCCTTGTGGGGCATGTGCTCCACATTGGGAACCACTGCCCTAGAGCTTCCCCTTCCCACTGCTACTAAGCTCACTTTTCACCTTCCCAACCCTATTCCAGAAGCTACTTCTCTCTTCTACTCTATTGTGCAACCACACTTTGCATCCCTGTTTTCACCCTTGCTCCCATGTCCATGCCTCCTCACTTACTTTTGTCCGCCCCCATTATAACCTCCTGTAACCTCCTACCACACTACTAAGCACCCTTTCTGCCCTTTGCCCAGTTATGAAGCTACCAACCCGGCCTATTATCCAGACTCTTTTGCACCCCTGCTTTCATCTTCAACCCAATTCCCATGCCACCTACTCCATCTTATTTTGCAACCCACTTTGCACCTTCGTTCTCTTTTTTCCATACCCCTTGTCCGTAGTTTTCTCAACTCTCCTTGCACACAGACAAGGGCGTAGGAAGGGGTGTGTGCAGTCCACCCCGGGTGTCATCCCAGGGGGGAGAGATAACCCCCCCTGGGCGGATCGCGCTGCCACGCAGCGATCGGCCCCCCGCCGGGAGGATCACGTCACTGTGCCATGATCGCCCCCCCCAGAGGATCGCGGCACGATTGGTCCTCCCCCAGGATTGTGCTGCCTCACCGATTGCCCCGTGGGCAGATCGCCCCACCCTGCTTCTCTGGGTGCCGGAGCAGCTAGCTTCGCCACTGCACACAGATCACCCTTATTTCCACACCTTACCCTCTCTCCTATTGTGCATTTTCCTTTCCATACACACACCATTATCTCCCACTCCTCCCCTTTCCCACCTTGTTTTTTCAAATCCTTGCACAAAGACCACATCCCATTTCCATGCCTCCTCCTTTCTTCTATTCTGCAGCCCCTTTTGTATGCATAACCCATGCTGATATATATTACTGTATCTTAAGAGCAAGCCCATCAGTTTGTTCAGTTAGAGAGTACTAAGTTCAATTGATGAATGTTGTACATATATGGGTGTCTGTTTGTTAAGAAAACATTTCTGCTAAATTACTACTTTGAATCTAGAACTTCATGTTGAAAACAACACATGGTACCAGGAGTAAAATACATTGTGAGAAAGTACTATGGAATGTTTGAAGGCTCCTCATCCTTTGTCTCTCACGTGAGGCAGCTGAGAAGTTCAGAAAAGCATTTCTGCCCATTTCAGTGTTTCCCCTTTTCACTCCTACAATGGCAGAAGTTGAGTAGAGCGGGGTGGAAGGACATACAGTGGTACCTCTGGTTGAGAACAGGATCCGTTCTGGAGGCCCGTTCACAACCTGAAAAGAGTGCAACCTGAAGCGCCGTATCTGCGCAGGTGCATGGCGCGATTTAACACTTCTGCGCAGGTGCGATCAGCGAAACCAGGAAGTAACTCCAGTACTTCCGGATCACCACAGGACGCAACCTGTAAGACGTAACCTGAAGCGTCCGTAACATGAGGTATGACTGTAGATGAAAGCTGTGAGTTTAAACAACAGCAGAGGGTTGAATGAAGCAGGGATATAGTGACACTGCAGGTTGGTTGGTTTTTTAATGAAACAAAAAATATATATTAGTGGAAAACTTCTTAATATTAAGCAAAAATAATCATTTTAAGTTTACAATATAATATTTAGATGGAGTTTAAAATTGAAGATACATGGAACAGCTTACCAGTGAGTCATGATCCAGTAACAATCAAGTTGACAGGTGAAGATGCTGGAATGATGATAGAAGTGTGTGCTCCATTTTTTAATGATCCTCCAGCTCCTCCTGGTGAACCTGGAAAACCATTCAATGGACTGTGGGACTATGAGGGTAAGTGAATCAATATTTTTGCAAGGTTCTGTCATGTATATTCTGGCAGCATGTCTTGAGTACAGGCTGGCATTCCTGTAAAGAGAAATGCTGAACTTTGTTTAAAGAAATGCAACAACAGGTTATGCTCTTGTTCAAGCTTGCAGACAGACAACTCTGCCATTTCTCAGAGTATTCTATTCCACCTCAGCTTTCCATTTTTCACCCCCAACAGATTCATCACTTTGTGCCCACTGAATATGCTGAACACTAATTATGCTGTGAGGGGTTGTAGGTCCCCTATTCCCCTCCCACCGCCTCTCCTTTTCCCATCCTCTACTTCTGTAAAGCTTTGGGTTACCCTGAGCCTGCTGATGTGGCTAGATGGTGCTGTTTTGGTTATATAAAGATCTACATTGAGAGAATGAGCTTTCCATTAGTATTATGCAGAATCCTGTGACTATCAGAGAAGCCAATTCAAAACAGAGAAATGCATGAAGCCTAGTTGGGAGTTCCAAGTGCCCTAAACATTCAGTTTTCTTTCCAGTATTGATTAATGTCTAATTTCTATACTGCTTAATATATTAAATATATATTCTTAGATATTAGGGTACAAAAAACTGAAGCAACAGCAAACAACTTAAACATAATATTACAAAAATACAGAGTTACATATAAGTGCTGCATTAATACGTAGGGCTGTTTTTGTGTATATAAATAAAGTAAAATAAAATATATTCATTTTCCTTTGGTCACACCCTAACATCCTCTGGGTTTCTCACCAGCAAACTCTGAGCTTACCCACAAAGGTTTCACAACAAAAAGATACTTGAAACAGCAAACATCAGCCTAGTCTCTTGCTCTAGACTTGCTCTTTATGCGTAGACCCAAGGCACTGCCTTAGACCGCCCACAGCTATGTCCCATTCAGCTGCACTTTCCACAACCAGTTCCAGGTGCAGCAGCTTTCCCAGGGGTCCAAAGGATGGGGAGAGGCTCCCCTTCCACCCACAGCTGTTTCTTTCACCCTCTGTCCTCTTCTAGCTGGGATATAATGTAATATAGTGGGGCAGAAGGGTCATTTAATTTTTAATGGGAAGGCTACTTATTGCAAATTATTAGGGGTTATACAACCGGAATAAATATTATAACTGTGTTGTAAACATCAATTACCATTTATATATCGAGTAATCTATTTTAGGTTATCTCAAAAGGCAGGCAATTTTCATGAAATCTGTGTTCTTTTTTTGAGCATGCTCTCTGCAATTCTGCCTCCTAGGTAAAGAAATATATTACTATGCTTGTCTTGGAATTTTATGGTAAACAATCATCTAATTATCCAGATCTGAATCAAAACTAATGTTATTAATGCCAGGTTCTTTGTAGAAATTGCCACACAGCTTGTGAAAACCTAAAGAAATACAATACTATGAAACCTACAGGGGCATTATTATTATTATTATTATTGCCAGTTTATATGGTGTAAACAGTACAAAAGGACAGGCCCCTGCCTCAAAGGGGAAAGTGGTTTTGCAAATTGTTATGGGGATATGCTACAACATATGCTCATTAGCACGTGTGTAAATGCTAGCAATAGGCTATTTATAGCACAAGCTGCTTATTCCATATACAGAGTGTTACAGTGGACAAAATGGTAGTACAGTGGTACCTCGGGTTAAAAATGTTTCAGGTTACAGACACTTCAGGTTACAGACTCCGCTAACCCAGAAATAGTACCTCAGGTTAAGAACTTTGCTTCAGGGTGAGAACAGAAATTGAGCAGCGGCGGCAGTGGGAGGCCCCATTAGCTAAAGTAGTGCTTCAGGTTAAGAACAGTTTCAGGTCAAGAACGGACCTCCAGAACGAATTAAGTTCTTAACCCGAGGTACCACTATACATGACAGTGATTAAGGACTGCCTCTGAATGATCTTCCCATATGGTCAAGTACAAAATGAATGAAAATCCATATATTTGTCTCATCAATAAAGTTTGGTAACTGTATATTGGTTAGGGCTGCCATATGTCCAGATTTTCCTGGACATTACTGGGATTTCAAAGGCGGAATTGATACCTGGGGCAGAGGGATTTCCAAAAGGTGGTGCTTTGTCCTGGATCTTAATCGATTGAAAAATCACAGTTTTTGTAGAAAAAAAATCTGAACAACTTTCGGGGTGATTTTTACTTTTTGAAACATGGCAACCCTAATCTCGGTGCATTAGCTTCAAGGTTTTTAAAAGATTCACATGGTAGGCTTAACTTTCCTGTGTGATAAAGACTCTTATGTACATCTTTTAGAGAGGAGTATGGAGGTATAGCATTAGAATCTCTCATTTTTTATGCTGGATAAATTAATTTTCACTAAATGAGTAGTCCAAAGAACTTTTATCTTATAATACAAATTCCAACACTTCAGCACAGCTGCCACTTAAATTCACTGGTTTTCTTACTGGCAACTGTTTCTTTAAGGGATCTGATGATAAATCAACTGCTTCAAACTAATACCATAATACAGATTTTCAAATAGCCACCCACTTTGTAGTCTGTATAAAGTAAGAGTGATGTTCACTGTAAGACATGCTCAGTGTAGACCCATTAATTGCAGTGTATCTACTCTGAATGCGATTTAACTTGGGTGACATCCAAAGTACTGAATATCATCAGTCATAAAAGCCTTATAAAACTTGGTTCTCTCATTTTATAGGCCACATACTGACGCAGGGATATCTGGATAAGACGACTAAAAACTACCTCCACTGTTGAGCTCAGATTCTGCTTTCAATTTTACATAGGCATCTATGGGAACAGGATAGTGGGCTAGATGGGCCATTGGCCTGATCCAGTAAGCTCTTCTTATGTTCTTAAAACATTTTTGATGGACCAACAAATTTTGTGGTCTTGTTTGACATAGCCACTATGTTTCTCCAAGTCTAAGTAGCATAATCTCTCCCCATCTCAGCTGGGCTTTCACTGTAACTTCCCTGATTTCCATCACTATGGAGATGGCTACTAGATAGCTGGAGTTTCAGTGTTACCAACACTACTTTGATTCTATTTTTCTTAAACAGGATGATATATCAGTGTGAAGTCATCTGGCAAGTTTCCTTGGCTATGTGATCTTCACATTTTAAACTTTTTTCTTATGCCATCAAGCTTATGTTGCTTTATCTTGCATTCAAGCTCCATAGGTTTCTAAATTTTATTATTGCAGCATTGTTGCCAAAATAACATTCATAGCATAATGCATTCAAATTGGCAGTGCAATAAATGTGTATAGTGTTTAAAATATTCACTAATTGGCTATGTTCACATAGCATTCTAGAGGAGAATCTAGAGTAATAGTTGAGTATGCTGCTACCTGCTAGAATAATGCCAATTTTGTATTTAAAAAAACTTTAATGTGCTGTATGAGCATCAGTTGGAACAATTTTCCCCATTCTTTTTCTTTTCTGCTCTTGAAGGTATGAAGAATTCATAATTTATACTTCCCTAGGTGGAGGAGAAATCTTTTTCTGGGAGCCATTTGTATTTTATTCTTATTTCTTGCAGCTGTTTCCGTTGATCAGTACTGCATTGGAAAGTAGCAGCAGGATTCCTGAGTAGCTTTTTCATACATATGAATGAAATTCTTTCCCTGCTCTCTCAATTGTTTCACATTCATTCCATTGCTTTAGGAGTATATTGCATCAGTTTCTTGCACTTAAGGCTTTTCCTTAGGGCCAGTGCAATGAGTGATTGCTCAGTTCTGTTCAATTTTACCTACACAGGCATCCCATAAAAGTCCCTAAGCATCACTTACCTGATTGACAGCTAATATCAAGTAGAAAAACTGTTATTTTCCACAGCTGTTTCCATCCTTATCAAGATGGAAGAATCAATCTTTTGTTTCTTCCCCCTATGTACATACACACACAAAATTTGTAAAACACTTTTTTGTAGTAGTTTTAAAAGCAATACTATTCTATATTATGGTAATTATAAGCTATTTTAAAAGTGTTTTCAAAGCACATTATGAAAAATATATACAGTTAGTGGGCTGCTGAAAAAATTAGAGCACAAATGAGATTTTGCAGCATTCTCCTATGTGTATCCACTCAGAGGTAAGTCCCACTGAGTTCAATTGGGCTGTACTCCCAGGTAAATGGATATAGGATTGTAGCCTAAGTCTGCAATCCTAAATGCAGTAGGGAATAAGTTATATTGAGTAAATGGGATTGAGTTCATGTAACTGTCTGTAGGTTTGCACTGTAAATATAAAAATGATTTAAAATGAAGCAGCAATGTTTTGTTGGTTTTCAGTTGTAGAAGCTTTCTTCTTGAATCACCAAACTGAGCAGTACTTAGAAGTGGAGTTTTGTCCGTAAGTAAACATTTCAAAATCCTTTAATTTCTTATACAATTATGTTGCTTGAATCCTTGATGTGTACGTTTGTATTTGGGAGATTGCTAGAATTCCAAGAGTGCTTTCAGCTTTATGCAGGTGAAGAACAGGATTTGCCACTAGGGAATCCCATTCAGACCTTAAGCAGTATAAGAAGTGCCTTTCTGCTTGGAGTTGTTCTGTGGCTTTAGAAGGTAGCTGCTGATTCTACAATGTGGCTAGAAAAAAAATATTATAGTTTCTCTCAGTCTGTATATTTTGGCAGTAAGCTAAGGAAGAGAGCTGTAAAGTTAATGTATATTGACATGCAGTGCAGTATCATATATGTTGTAAGCCGCCCAGAGTGGCTGGGGAAACCCAGCCAGATGGGCGGTATATTACTATTACTATTAATAAATTAATTACTAACACTGTATTAATATTATACAGTGAGATGGCAAGGTGCAGCATAGGGACAGAGACTTTAAGAGCAAAAGCACCTGTATGTTTTCCTATGCGATTGCCAATACTCTACATGTAAAGCTCTGTAGGAATCTTTAATTTGCAGCTGCAGTATTATAACATTAACCAATGAATGAATTTCTGTATTCTTACAGAATTGGAGTGAGAAGAATCCAAGATAGGATAAAGAGTCCAAGATAGGATAAAGGCAGTGTACGTTTTTATTGTTGAGTCTATTCAGGGAGGCAAGCTCTGAAAAATATACAAAATTGGGGATTTGAGTGGTGCTGTAGCTAGGGTGGGGGACCAGTGAAAATGATGGACAATTATGAGTGAATTTAAAAGCAGCCCATAAAGATGTGTGTGTATGTGGCTGTGGGTTGGTAAAGACTTACTTCAGCAAATGTCTTCTTTGTAAAGAAAGGTAAAGGACCCCTGAACGGTTAAGTCCAGTCAAAGACGACTATGAGGTGTTTTGCTCCTCTTGCCTCAGGCCAAGGGAGCTGGGGTTTGTCCACAAGCAGCTTTCCAGGTCATGTGGCCAGCATGACTAACCCGTTTCTGGCACAATGGAACACCATGTCACTCCAGTGGCACCTATTTATCTGTTTGCATTGGCGTGCTTTTGAACTGCTAGGTTGGCAAGAGCTGGGACAGAGCAATGGGAGCTCACCACTGTCACGCGGATTCGACCTGCTAACCTTCTGATCGCCAAGCCCAAGAAGCTCAGTTGTTTAGACCACAGCGCCACCCGTGCCCCTAGGTTTGAATTCACTCGACTGGGTGGGCTCCTGTTGCTCTGTCCCAGTTTCTGCCAATCTCACAGTTCAAAAGTATACCAGTGCAAGTAGATAAATAGGTACCGCTGTGGTGGGAAGGTAAATGGTGTTTCTGTGTGCTCTAGCTTCCATCACAGTGTTCCATTGCACGAGAAGCGGTTTAGTCATGCTGGCCACATGACTCGGAAAGCTATCTGTGGACAAACGCTGGATCCCTTGGCCTGAAAACGAGATGAGCACCACTTCCCATAGTCGCCTTTGACTGGACTTAACCATCCAGGGGTCCTTTACCTTACCTTTACCTTATTTGTAAATGTAGTCCAGAATGGAGCAAATATAGTTGTGCAATTTAATGGCTTCATGTTGACTTACATAGCAAGTTGCTTAGGAGTTATTTGCATTTTATTGGGTTACACAGTTTTCATCTGAGAACTATAAGCTGCCTCTGGTTTAGAGACATGCTAATGGATGTATTTCTGGTATGACTATATTATGTTTTTGTAGGCATGGGCAGTATCTGGTGTTGCTGCTTTCTGGGAGACGGAAAGTGTGCAAAGTGAGTGAACCATAGGACTCCACCACCACCTTCCCCAAACGCACAATTACTTCAACACTCACGGGACTGGGATAAATCTGCATATCTTCTTTTAACACAGGAAGAACTTCCTTTAATGTTTGAAGTGTTGAAAACGTGTGCCAAATGGAATGGAAAAGCTCATCTTCCTTGGAGTTATTTTCCACCAGCTACTGACAAATTTAATGCATTTGCAATTCATGGGTCAGGAGTTAACAGAACATATGAAGCCCTCTACCCTGTACCTCAACATGACATTGTGGCAAAACAGAAACCTGATTTGTAAGTACATCTCTGTTGTTGCTTTTTTTGGTTTTTTTTTTGAGGGGGGGTTCTAAGAGACTGGTGTGAGTGGGAGAATATGTTATTGCCCTTCAAGTTAGGAGGGCAAGTTATATTAGGACCTAAACTGCAGAATCTAGACAAGAACTTAAATGCAGTGATGTTGCTTCTGCTGGTCAGGCTGGTCAAGGATGCTTTTTATTTGGCTTGTAGCAATCTTACTATTGAAAATGTTAACACATTAAAGGAGTTCAAACAAAATAACCTTTAAAGATCATTCTCTCACATACACTGCTTTGCTAAGCTTATCCTTTGGGATATAATGTAATACCTGTATACTTTCATTGGATCAAGAAGTGCATTGGGAAATGTGAATATATGAATGATGGTGTAAAATATTATAACAATGCTTGCTCTTCTTTCCCCTGTGTTCTTTTGAATGGTTTCTTGAGTCTGGGGTAGCTTGCTGTGCTCCATATTCATTAGTACTTGCTGAAAGGAAATAGCTGGTAGTATGTGTGCATTACAGCATTTCAATCTGCAAAACGTGCGCTTCTGATATGCTGATAGAAAAATGCTTTATGCCTGAACTGAGACTTTGTGAGAAGTCCACTTGAAACATAACCTTGCATACAGTGGCATGTGCTCTCTGGGTAGTTGCACCACAAAACCTCCAATCCTATCTACCACCTATCTATTTATCTTGGTGGCTACTTTTTATTCTTTATTTGACAGAGTGTTATCTGCACACCTTACTTTCATACTTTTCCTTGCATGAAAACTCAGAAGGCAACAAGGCACAGACTGTAATTATTTGAATCAGTTTCACAATATGAATGTGACACACACACACACACACACACACATATATAAACTACAGTGTAATTTCTTGGGATGGTGAAGAACAACACACTTACGTTAGTTCTTTAATACGTAGTTACTGTACTGTAGTTTTGTAATACAATAACTTTTCTTCATACCAATTTAGCAGATGTGGAAAGGGGTAAGTGTAAATGTTTCCAACTCATCTGACTCTTTTGCTCCTTTCTTTTGCAGCCATCGCCTAGAATATTTTAAATGCCTGAACCTGAAACTGTTAATGGGAGACGATTGGAAGCAACCAGAATCAGACTTGTGGTCATCATGTAAATGCAACTAAATAAAAAAACCAAAAGGTAGGCTACCAGATAGCTTAAAGTAGGTGGTTAGACACTGATGACCACTGCCTAATTGTAGCACTTATAAGCATTCAGTGGATCAAATCGAAGTGTTGACTTCAGTTTGCTGCCATAGTTGCATTATATATCTGCATCTATAAAAATATCTGTCACCAATGTCTGGGTTGGAGAAAAGGTTTTGTTTCCTCTCAACTGGGCCTTTCACTGTTGCTCATTTGCATCCTGATCATATACTTTTATTTAGTTATCAATAAGGAGCTGGGTAGGTTTAGCCTGTAAAAGAGGAGACTGAGAGGAGATATGATAGCCATCTTCAAATATCTTAAGGGCTGTCACACGGAAGAGAGACCATGCTTGTTTTCTCCTGCTCTGTAATAAAAATATAATTAACAGTAAAATAAAACATATTTGAAACACTTCTAAAACATGTAGAAACTGTTAAAATCATATAGAAACACTGAAACACAACAAAACATGTAACATATCATGTATCTAAATAGATCTGCTGAAACAGAAACATTTTCAGCAGATATCAATAATGTCAATAGGGAGTTTCAAAATACAGGCGCTAAAGACATGACTCCTGATGAATGCAATATAGACATTGTGTGGCATTTACAGAAGTGTGAGTTTTGCAGATTGAAGTGATCAAGTTGGCACATATTGGGTAAGGGGACCCCTTAAGGAAACTGGTCCCCAGCCATTAAGGCATTATATACCAATATTATTATGAGTCCTGTGGATGATATTGGAGACTTTACTAACTATTAATGTTGGGCCAGAATTTGTTCTGGATACTGAGAGTCCAGGCCTTTGCAAATAGTAACAATGCACCCCAAAAGCCCTTGCACCTTATGTGTCTAGTCCAGCCTCAACCCTTCCCACAAGTTGTTGCAAAGGAGTAATTGACTGTGACTTTACTTCCTCATTTAGTCATGTTATCAGCTTTGTGATCTTCAGCTGTCAGGCATCTAATCTTATTCAAATCCCCATATTGATCTACTTTCTTTACAGGTCACTTGAGTATTGCTCTTTTATTGGTTCTGTTTCTCACATTCCCTCACAGATTGTCTCTGTAGTAAAGTATTTCATGTTCTGGGGGTCTTAAGTACCCAACCGCTTCAAAGATTACCTGACTGGAATGCAAAAGATGGAAGGATACCAAGAAAAGAAAAGAGATGAGATGAGAAGAATCCTTCTAATTCCAATCTGAATGCATTTTGTCCTCTCTTCCCTTCTTGCGAATTTCTTCCTAAGTCAATTATAGATGCTGTCTGATAGCTGACATTATTTCTGCAGTAAAGAAAATGGGAACTTTCCCCCCTGAAGCCAGACATGTGTATCCTAATGGATAAGAAGTTGTGATATAATCAAGCTGTTTTCAAACAAAATCCATGATTGATGCTGCTTGCAAGAATGAATTGAGAAACTAAGCCAATCGCACTCTGCTATACCTGCTAGATCATAATTGGACTTTAAACATTTCACTTTTCCCAACACAAGCATGTGCTTATTTTATTTACAGTGACCTCCATTGAGATAGCTGCAAAATTATTTTGTTGCTCTGTTTGCCACTTGCACTTTTTTCAATGCCCCTGTGATAAATGGACACTTTTTGGGGTGTTGACAACTTGCCTTCATGGAAAATCTGTGGAACTATCCACTTGGCATGAGCAGACAAACGTTGTAATTCCACTAAAAATATGTTCTATTTAACCAGAAATGGGTATTGTCTCAATGTATTTAATCTTTAATTATTGATTAACGTGGGATAAAAGTAAATGGCGTACCTGTTCACTGCGTATATCAAGCAGGTTTTCATTTCTCACACCAAACTGATTATGACTTAAGTATAAAGGAATAATGAATGGAACAATATTGATCCAGGTGCCTTTTATCATCTTTTCCCATTATACATAAAATTAAAATGAAAGTAGCTAGACACTCCCTTTCGATGGAAGAAAATTATTGTTTTTTCATCCAAGGCAATGTAATATAATCTGAACTGCAAGTTATTACAGAAGACATTTGATGAAATACAGAAAAATCTCTGGGTGTGATATGTATGTATCTCTGTATATGATGCTGGCTAAAATGTTGCACCCACCTTGATCAACACAGATCTGTTCCTGTTTTATGTGTGTCTTTGAAAGTATGTTCTGGGTGGTATTCAACTAAGTTTTACTCAGAAGAAATTGAAATTAATAGGACCTAACAAACATTTTCATTCATTTCACTGGGTGTATTCTGAGTAACGCAGATGTATTCTGAGTATTCTGAGTAAGGGACGCGGGTGGCGCTGTGGATAAAACCTCAGCGCCTAGGACTTGCCGATCGTATGGTCGGCGGTTCAAATCCCCGTGGCGGGGTGAGCTCCCGTTGTTCGGTCCCAGCTCCTGCCCACCTAGCAGTTCAAAAGCACTCTTAAGTGCAAGTAGATAAATAGGGACCGCTTTATAGCGGGAAGGTAAACGGCGTTTCCGTGTGCTGCGCTGGTGCTGGCTTGCCAGTGCAGCTTCGTCACGCTGGCCACGTGACCCGGAAGTGTCTTCGGACGGCACCGGCTCACGGCCTCGAGAGCGAGATGAGCACGCAACCCCAGAGTCGGACACGACTGGCCCGTACGGGCAGGGGTACCTTTACCTTTACTATTCTGAGTAAAACTTAGCTGAATATTGTTTGATGTCTGCTTGTTGAATCAGGCTCCAGGAAAACAACTGCTACACAGGTAGCACTCAAAGTAAAGTGTGTAGCAGTTGCACTATGGCATACAAACACAACCCCACTCCCCCATTGCTGTGGAAGGTACAGTTGCTTAGCAGGCAAGTCATTGCATCTGTGCATGCTGCTAAAATAAGTGAAAGGCTATCATGCTGTCAAAGAAGACAAGAGGCTATGGCAGTAATGACTCCACACTTATCCTAGCTACTATTAAAATACAAGGAGTGAACCTTGTTTTAACCATCCCAAATTGAGACAAGGCCACAAATAAATAGCACAACTACCACAGCATATCGGAGGACACTTCATGTTTGTATTACCCTTTGCAGGGAGGGGTGTATCAACTCTAGGTAGAAAGAATAGGATTTTCCTAATGCATGAAAGGACAGGTGCTAAGATTGAGGTTACTAGTGATAACTCACAAATATGTATTGGAACTGGAGTTTCTGCAGTCTAAAATCTGTTAAAGGCAGCTATGCAAACAAGGCTGTCATAACAAGAGATCAAAATAAGATTTCGGAATGTGTTTGGAAGCATACAGTGCCTAACAGAATATTGCAGAATCAATAAATGATGTGATGCTAATAACATAAACACACGGTAGTTAATAAGGAAGGATAATGCAGAAAGAGTATGGTGCAGTTGGGTATAAACAAACGAACCATTTTATACGTCGGTTTGACATCTGCTGTAGACTGGTGTTTTGGGTTATATGCTTGATCTAAAAATGGTTTGGGGGAATTGCATGAAAATGTCAACATACAAACCTATTTGCCATTTTTACATGTATAGTAGTTAACATATTCTGTATCATTTTAAATATATTTTTCAAAGTTTCATAATCCGGCATTTATTTCAAAGTGGCATTTTATACGTGAGCAAGCAACCAGCAGCATGACATTCAAAATGATATGGAATTTCTCTTTTCCTAATCTTCGGTTAAAGACCTCTGCAAGAATATAGACAATAGGTTAATGACCCTTCATTGTATTGAAACGTTGCCTTTCTCATTTAATAAAATGAGAAGAAACACAGGGGATGATGTCTATATGAGAAATGTGATTATTCTGAAAGAAAGCAGAAACAGTCACTGAAGTACTGCTGTCAGTTGGCAACTTTGTTATTGTTGAATTTGAGACACAGAGATGGAAAAGAAAAGTTGTGGACCAGGTAGTGATGTAAAGTCGTTTTTTCTTTCAGCTTCTAATTTTTCCAATCTTAAATTGCTCCAGCAGTTTGCAAATTCTAAAATCTTCATGAAATTCACCAGCATCTTACTGTGACTTTCTACTAATAAAGACAATGGGTTGAAAAGAAACAAATCATTAGAGTATTGACTGAGCCAAGTCAAAATTCCTTTGGACATTGCAACTTCTCAAATGGATTTGGTGCATACCTGCAATTTGTGGATGCAAAGTAAAGTGTCATAAACACAGTGTCTAGCTCTGAAGGCATTTATTTTTATGTGTTTGTCACTGAATTTTATGTGTTATGTACAGGTCATATACTGGAAAATTTTATCACAGTTGCCAATAACAGTAACTGTGTATATTGCTTACTGGTTGATTTTTTTATTCATAATTTTAGAGAATATAATTGTTTTAAGGTCCAGATAAATTCTTGTGGTTGTAAAACGGTTGTGTTAGTCACAACTTTTAAAATACAATAAAAAGAAATCACATAAACAATCTGGCATATTTCTTTATTTTTGAAGGGAACATCAATCAAGTTAACACACAATTAGTTTAATAATACTGGCCAATACAGTCATACCTCGGGTTAAATGTACTTCAGGTTGAGCGTTTTCAGGTTACGCTCCGCGGTGACCTAGTAGTAATGGAGCGTGTTACTTCCGGGTTTTGCCGCATGCGCAGATGCTCAAAATGACGTCGCGCGCATGCGCGGAAGCGGTGAATCGCGACCCGCAGATGTGGGTTGCGTTTACTTCAGGATGCGAACGGGGCTCCGGAACGGATCCCCGTTCGCATACACAAAATATTATGTATAGAAGATTACAAATATTATGTTGTTCACTATGGAATTACCCTTTTGTGACAATATTGCAATTTACATGAATTAGAAGGACTCATTCACAACCTCTGCCTTGGATATTCAGTGTTCTTAACTGGACAGAATCAAATCAGATTTGATTAAAGTCTCATAATGTCTATTTAGAGTGAAGCCAAGACCTTTCCGTAGTTGAATGCAAGAAGCAAAGTTGCTTATGTAGCATACTGTTGGCATCAAAATGGCAACCTGTATTTTTTCACCATTTAATTCAGCTTCACCTTTTCCGCTGAAAATCCTATACTTTAAAAAATAAAAACCACCTTATTGCCCTTTGAAATATTAAGCCCCTTTTTATATACACCCATGATTGGGTCCTTTGTCCTTTTTGTCGTACTTTTATTTGGGATTAAGTTGTGCTTGTGGGTGGCAGTGCAGTCCCCCCCCCCCATTTTGTTAAGCACAAAATTTAGGAGAATTGAGTGGGGGGAAAGAACATTTTGTTCCAGTTTCATGCTGCATTAGCTGCAGAACTTGTTGGGCCTACGCTCTTCAGTCGGCTTAGGAATCTGTTCTCTCTTAAAGTTTGTAAAGGTGATGTTTAAGTGGCTGTTCCTTGTTATGTGTGCTAACACTTATTGATTCAAAGTCATTTTGCCAGTTCAGTATGGACACTCTGAAATACTGTTTACAGTTTTGGTAACATGAATGGAGATGGCTTGAGCCTCAATAAGCTATTGAGCTCTTCAGGTTATTGCAGATGACAAATTTGAACTGGTTTGCGACTTCTGCTTTTGAGAAAATTCCCTTTGAAGTATGATCTCAGAATGTTTTGTTCTACTTCCAGAAGGCTCTTTGTCCCCTGAAACAGGAAACCATTTCAGCAAAGTAATTTGACAGAAAATGAAATAGTAGGCTCTAGTGTTTGACTTACAATTGCTTTTATAGGTTTAGGCTGATGTTTTAGAGCATTCTAGGATTCAAGTCTTCAGACCTGATGAGATTTAAATATTAATCCTAACTAATCTGGGTTTGTTTATATTAAAATCAAGAGAAACTTGTGATTCCCTATTAAGTCAGGCAGATTTGAAAACGTATAGTAGAATTAGCACTGGACTTCAAATATTGCAAAAGTCTTCACTCAAGTTTTTTCCTTTTAAAAAATGTATCGGGTGTTCTTCTGTACTGTATATATTACTAGATACTCTGTTAACTAGACAGTGTTCACCAGGAAAAAGGCAGGGAGAGTGTGATCCTGCTCATCGTTCTGGATCTCTTGACATCTTTCAGGATCTTTGACCCATGGTATCCTGTTGGAATGATTGACAAGGATTAGGATGCTGAATTCGGCTCATTAAGTACCAGACTAAAATGCTTCTCTTTAACATACTGTAACAGGTAACAAACTAAAGTCTTAGTCAATTATTAAAACATTGCCAAGGCCAGGATGTGTTATCAATTACCTCTTCTTTATATAGTAAACACCCTCCAAAGCCAACGGCTATTCAGGTTTGTTCACCTAGCTGGTATATAAAACGTAATTTTTTGTTCTGTCCGATAGCTTTTAAAAATGAATACTTTATTTGCTGTGGCTTTTATTGCTGCCTGCTTTCCTGACTTTGCCCACCACTTCGTGCTAAGCAGGTACTAGTTAACTTTATTTCTATATCATTTGTTTCAGTTCTCCTCTGTAACACAACTGAAAAAGAAAGCCTTGTTTAATACGTATGGTTGATTTTTCCTTTCTCCAGACTGCCTATCTACCTACCTATCTATCATCTATAAAAAAGAATTAAGTGGATTGCATAGTGATAAAGCAGAATCTTCTCTATTGTAAGAAGGGATAGTTGGGAGACATTTCAATAAAAGGGAGGAAACTGAGAATGGCAGAACAAATCTGTTCTTCCAACACAGAGATGGTTACAGTGCAGAGTGGATGAAAAGTTCTTCACTAAAGAGCCTGGTTTAAGTTATAAGCTCTTAGGAGTGATCTAATTGGTTTGGGGGAAAACAAACCCTCAGCACTACTGTACTAATTCAGTGTACACCATATGCAGATGTTGTGAATGAGTATTATTTGAGTCCTGAAATGTCATGCTTCTCTTTTTCTTTTTAAAAGCAAGGGTTTTTACTTACTTTTCTGCTTAAACACCCTATTTCATCATCATCATTATTATTATTTATTATTATTAAAATTTCTATATCTGCCCTTCATCTGAGGATCAGTTTAGATTATAAAAACACAAAAATGTTTAACATAGTACCAAAAAACAAAACCCATTATCCCCCCACAGTGTTCTTATTGCATATGCAGGAAGGTGTACACTAATCTGCTAGGACTCCCCCCTCCCCACTTCATCATTCTTTTAAATATATCTTTTCCCAACAGCTACAAGAATATAACACAAACCAGTGCAATATTTTGTGATTTTTGTTCACAAATTCCAGGAGTCATCCATCTACATAAGATCTTTGTTGGCATCCAACTATCTTGAGAGACAATGGAGTGTACCTCTGGGGGTGAAGTCAGACCTCTGTGTTTGTAACCAAAGTGACCTCCCCAGAGCACAAGCCTGGGCAGTGTTGTATGGTGGTCCTGGGCTCCCTAGACATAACCCCCCACTTGACCTCACTGATGTGAACCAAAGGAAAGCAGAGCAATATATTTGACACCAGCTTGGCTGCAGGAGTTGCTGGAAAGAGGTGTACAAGACACCATCCAACCATCTTACAGACTCCACTCCGGATTTGTATAGGGTTTACTCCTTAGCCTTTTCTTTTCCTGAAGGTATCCAGCAAGGTAGCAGAGGTTTAGGGTCAGAATTTTCCTTCACCTAGATGGACTACCTTCCCAGGTTGACAAGCCCCACCTGCTCCTCACTCCCCTCTATAGCACATGCAGAAACCACCTTCTTTACTGTTGGACCCACTGTTGGTCTCATCCACTCAATCTGCTTGAGTCTGTCTTCAAACGCAGAGAAAATCCCTAACTCACCAAGGGTTTGAAACTCATCAGCTACCCTCACCCAGTTTAGCCGGAAAGGTGAAGGTGTTCCTGGGGTGTGGTCACTGTCACATGCTGACAGATTTTAGGAACCATGGGTGACATCTGAGTGCTGCGTGGGGACCAAAGGTGGACAAACATCGTGATAAGACCTACAGCCATTGTTTTAAGTCTTCCGGATCAATCCAAATGAGGATTTATCTTGCCTAATACTTCCTGAAGGGACGCAGGTGACGCTGTGGGTAAAACCACAGTGCCTAGGACTTGCCGATCATATGGTCGTTTCGTCTTTCGGTCCCTGCTCCTGCCCACCTAGCAGTTCGAAAGCACCCTTAAAGTGCAAGTAGATAAATAGGTACCGCTTTATAGCGGGAAGGTAAACGGCGTTCCGTGTGCTGCGCTGGTGCAGGCTCGCCAGAGCAGCGATGTCACACTGGCCATGTGACCCGGAAGTGTCTGCGGACGGCGCCGGCTCCCGGCCTCTAGAGTGAGATGAGCGCACAACCCTAGAGTCTGTCAAGACTGGCCCGTACGGGCAGGGGTACCTTTACCTTTAATACTTCCTGAAATGTTTCCAAGGTTTTGAAAATAAGAATTTTGTGTTGTTTTATCATTCTTATAGTCGTATATATAAAATTCAGGTGTCTTGCTCCTCCCGTAATTATTGTGTTAATAGGCTTATCGCAGAAACTTTGACTCTTACTGCTTTTTGCCACTAGATGGGAGACTAAAGTTAACAATGTTATGCTTAGGAAATCCCTACTAAGTTTTCTTCTAGAAGTTGTGTTTTTGTTTTTTTCAAAATAGAACCTCACATTGGTTCCATATAACTCTAATGGGATTGCAGCTTCTATACTGATGTTTTGCATTTCGAGAATAAAACAATGTAGTGCAATAGTACAGATTAATGCAGGTGGATTCCATTCATCTATTGTTACCTGTCTTTTCTTCCCAAGTGAAAGTGCTGTGTTCAGTGATCATGAGGCAAAATTTCCGAGGGATGAAACAAGGCAGGTGAGAATTTATATATGGTTACACAAAATGCTGCACTTTTAAGAGAATGAGAACATTGTGAAAAGTATTTTTTTTTAATTTCATAGAAGTTACTGAGATTAAATACAATGCAATGGTGAAGTCTCACCTGCTGTTACCTTTTATATTTCGTTTTCTTGATTGCATTAAAATGTTAAGTGCAGTGATGCTGTGCTTCTCATCTAGTCTCCTATTCACATTTTAAAGGAATGTAATCTTGCACTGACTTAGAATGTTGCAAGATGAACAGCTGTTAGCTGTGTTCTATTGCTTCTCAAAAGCGTTCTGTTTTGGCTCATTTCAGCAGCTGAAGTTTAGCTGTACTGTACCCCTGAGATTGCCCATTTTGGCAAACCACCTTTTGGTTACAGGTGGAAATAGATTTGCTCTTTACTTTCCCCAAGACTATTCATTTAGCACAGGACTGGTCAACCTATGGCTCTGTAAATGTTGTTGGGATTCCAACTCCCATAAACTTCTGCATTCTCTTTGTGTATAGTAAAATAAAATAAAATAGATTGCACTTTCTACTGAGATGACAGGCTGTATGGTGCATTGGTGCTCCTTTGGCAGCAGAGAGGAGGGCTGCCACTGGGGCCAGATGTCCTTTGCTGCAGGAAGTCAGCTTTGCCAAGGTGGCAGAAAGCTACTATTACTGGCAGCTGTCCTATCAGCAAAAGCAATCAGAAGCTCTGAAATAGGGAGACTTCCGGGTTGGCGCCTCTGGCAATGGCGGATTTCCTCCAATCGGGAGGAACCCGCTCCGTGAAAAACAGGGTCTGAACCGCCACAGCGAGGCGGAGACCCATTAAAAACCACAGGCGGGAGAAGCCTGTGGATGTGGGATTCGGCTGGCACCTTTGCGCCTCCCCTACTCGCGGGGAAACCCTGTTTTGGGGATCCAGAGTGACGTGGGGTGAGTGGTGCGGTGCTTTGAATCGACTGCTTCTTTCACGGAGTGAAGCCGCATTGCTGTTGCCAGAGAGCGCTGACTTTTTCCTGTGGACAATTGGATTTTAGACAACTACTCGTGAGTAAAACGGAAAATTGGATTCTTAAATACTTCAATTTGGCACTGAAATGGGAAGGTTATAAACAGGAAGTCCGCCTCCCGTTTTTGTAAATAGTCTGAAGCAAAGACGTTACAAGTAAAGCCTTTGAAAGCTTTTGGCAAAGGATTAAATTTCCACCGGTTTAAAAATACAAAACCCCCCTTGGAAGCAGGAGAAGAGAGGGAAATTTTTGGATCTAGTGAGCCTGCAGGAGAGAGTGAAAGAATCAAGTTGCCACTGCTCTGAACCTGGGAACAGGCTGCCAGATGACGTTTGGAGAGAGTGCTTTTGACAAAAGGATTTGACAGCTAGCTAAACAAGAGTAAGATACTGTTTCCATTGTCCCTTTCTGCATTTAAAAAAAAAGAGGAAAAGTAACTGAAATTTTATCTTTAATGTTTGAAATTGTGCTTGAAAGAACTGATACAAGTGGAGACTGTTTCCCTCTAGAGGAGCTTTTGAAACTGTAACAGGACTGTAACTGGGGGATTTCCAGCTGCAGAAAAGGAGTTTGGGAACCAGAGAGCGACTTTGGACTATTTCAAAATGTTGACAGGAGAGGCCATTGTGACTGTTTTATGTAAGATAAGCTGTTCGCTGGGACAGCTTCACAAGAAGATGGATGATATGACTCTCAAAGTTGATAATTTGGAACAGAAAGTGACCAACTTGAGTCAAAAGCGAACACTAACACAGAAATAATTCAGGACTTGGTACAGGAACCCACTTTGGCAGGACAAATGGTGGAGGAGAAGGAGGAGAAGGAGAATGCAGCTGTTGTTGAACATAAAATAATACAAGTGAGATCTGGGGATTTACAGAAGCAAATTGGAGATTATAAGTTGAGGCCTTCTATGATTGAATCTAGGAAAAGCCAGACTCCGAGGAATGGATCCCGGTTTGGATTAAAGAAGGAAAGTTGGAAAGAGCCCTCTATGCAGGGACTAACTGACTTTTGGGACATGGACTCGGGTCTGGAGGAGATTGAAGTTTTGGGGGCCTTTGGAATTGGAGGAATCTTGAAATATACCCGGAAATACTTTATGGACTGTAGTTTTAACTATGGAAATTCAGCTGATCTGTTCAGAAGGAAGAAAAGGATTGACAGGTTGGAATTTCCCCGAGATTGGCTATTTAGCATTAAAGAAAATGAAGAGGACCTGCAGAAGGGACTTGGAGGAGAGTTGGGAGCCTCGGACATAAGATCTCCAGGTTGATGGACTTTATGGAATTGACGGAAAGGACTGGCAGAATCCGAGACCTGGGAGAGGAGATGGTGGAAGATGATTGAAAAATTTAAAGTTTATATATAGACTTATGGTAAAATGAATGAGTGATAGAAAAATGGTGGAATGGTGGAATGATTTTTTATTATTTATTATTTATGGGCTTAACAGAAATGTTATAAGGAGTTAAGCACATATAAGTAATTTAGCTTTAATGGAAAATAAGGTTAAAATAATACGTTATTTACAATATCACAGAAAATGGAGAAAGATGGAAAGGATTTGCTGAAACAATTAATAGAAGTGGAACACAAAAAGGGAGGTGTGAGGAGGTCGAGGAAACAAGGGAATGAAAGATAGAGTATGGAAAAGAGATGATGTATGTTTTTAAATTGTTTTTGTTTTGGGAGTGGGGTTTGTTTAGTTCAGCTTAATGTGTTTAGTTTTGAGTTTAGGTTGTGTTTTGTATTGTTTATATATTGTATTGTATTGTGTTTTTCCTTTTTTCCCCTTTGTTCTTTCTTCTGTTTTTTCTATTTTTTGCTTTTTTCTCTCTTTTTGTAATCTATAAAAGGAATAAATATTATTTAAAAACAAAACAAAACAGAAGCTCTGAAATAGGATGCTGCAGGCTGTTGAATCCAGAGCCCTTGGAGGGGCCCAGTCTTCAGGCCCCTAGGCTGTACTGGTCTGGAGCTGGAATAGTGAAAAAGAACAATAAATCACCTGCTCACCTTCTGTTGTGGCCTGGCTCAGAGGACTCGGGATGTGGCAGTATATTCCCCCACATCACTTGCCCCCCCCCCACTTATGATTGATTTGATATTAAATGAATGAATGAGCACAGTACCAGCTAGACTAGGGAGTTTAAAAGTTTTACTGTTTCTTAGGTGACTGTACCTAGAAAGCCTATGTTGTTTTGAAATGTAAATTGTTCTTGTTTAGTCGTTTAGTCGTGTCCGACTCTTCGTGACCCCATGGACCAGAGCACGCCAGGCACTCCTGTCTTCCACTGCCTCCCGCAGTTTGGTCAGACTCATGCTGGTAGCTTCGAGAACACTGTCCAACCATCTCGTCCTCTGTCATCCCCTTCTCCTTGTGCCCTCCATCTTTCCCAACATCAGGGTCTTTTCCAGGCATTCCACATACACAAAATATTCCAGAAATTATAGGAAAATATATGCTATTGAGTTGTCATGGCCTTAAAATGTTTGCAAGTATTCCAGTAAACAACCACAGCTAAAACTTTGTAACATTTAAATCACATAATGTGCACTTTTAATTTTTGTTCCTAATCTAATATTTTGCTTCAACTACATTTGCTAATGATAGTTTTGTATTAGAAAATTTTATTAGTATTTTTTATTAGCCACTTAGGCAGCTAACATGCATGTACTTCTTTTAAAATTTTGTTTTCTAATTATCATGCTTAATTGATTTGGATCTGATTCAGCACATTGGAAACCTTTGTGGGGAAAAGTTTGTCCCCAGAAGACTACAGCCACATTCACTGCAATATCTTGGTTGCCCAAATAGCACAATATGGGGAAAACGCCCTTAATGTACTATGGAAATGTAGCAGTAACAGCCGCAGACTAACTCTGTTGGAACCAGATAATATAAATCTTTATCACTTTTAATGTGTTTATGTAGGTAGAATATAAAATTGTAAATACCTGGAACAGCATACCGGTTTTGCATGCTCCAGTGACTATCACATTTAAACCTGGTGTTCAAGGCTTAGTAATGGAAGTGAACTCCTTATTCTTCGATGATCCTCCAGCTCCACCTGGTGAACCTGGAAAGCCTTTTGATGGCCTTTGGGACTATGAAGGTGAGGTTTTATGAAGGGTATACAACACAAAAAGTGGTAACGTTTCAGGCCTAGAAAAACTAATATTGATTCAACTGGCAGTTTTTTCTAGTAGTATTAATGTGTATCAAGAGCTCATGTGTACAGTGCTTCTTGAGATGAAGCATTTCCTGTTAACTGTATTGCCAAACAAGTTCAAAATGAAGGAACATTGTGCATTTCTTTTTAAAAGTGGCATGAGCACAAACTGGAATAGGTGGGATGTTGTAGAGATGGATCTCTGCTGGCAAAGGGTCATGCCTGTTGAGGTTGTGTGTGGGGACTTGCTATGCTGTAAATAGTTCAATGGGTATATATCTAGAGATGGCGGCTCTTTCTTTCACAGTAGCCCAAAATGTGGCTTGGGCAAACTGGATCTAAGGTCCCTTCATTCATTGCAGAGACCCCAGGATCATGCTCCCCCCTATTTCAGCCTAGAGTTGGCAAAGCCAGTCCCTTTGAAACCACTGTGGGAGAACTGGATGTCTGTACCTCATGCCTCTTCCACTTAAGGTTGCACAGTCCGATCATTGTTTAATCCTGGTCATTATTTACATTTGCCCTATACACACAGCTTTATTCTTCACTTACTTCAACCCCCGAAAGCTCCTACTAAACATAGTAGGATTTTAACTTTTTGTAATAACATGATAACATTTTAATAGCCAAGAGCATTTTGTTTTTGTTTTTTAAAACAAGTCAGCTAGTTCAGCATGCTGGAGGAAGGACTTTGGGCATTCCAAACAGCAGTTCCACATGAAACACAACTAACCTTTTCTAAAATTGATGGGAATTCTCAAAGCAGTTTGTGGTATGCTATGAAGGTCTGCTGTTCACCAGGGATGAAGTAATAAACAAAGCATGAAATATGTCATGGATATGAATAAAAGCAGATACTGGTCTATAAAAATACAGCAACTCCTGGCATGAACTTTAGTGTTCGAGATACAGAAACCTAAAATGTCTGCAGTCATCATAGAGCACCCATAGATATGGCAGGACCCAAAGAACTAAATAATTAGTCCCATGAACCCCAAAGAGCTTTGAAGGTGAGCCCTTCCTTCCCCTCACACGCATGTAACATGGCAAACCACTTTTGAAATTGAGGGTTTAGAAGATGGTTTGTTGTTCAATGGGGGAAAAAGTCAACAGTCTTACTCACTGCTTATGCACAAGGTTTTGGACATGACTAAGTCAACATGTTTTTTGAATCACAGTGTATGGATTACATGGAGGTGAACCAGATTCATCCAGACATGAACCAGTTTGTTATATCATTACAGAATCCATAGAAAGATCTTATCTGAAACAAGAACCCATGCGCTTTTGAGTTAAACTGTATGTGAAACATTTAATAGATGTGAGAGTGAACTATGATAAAGATGAAGAATTTCTTGCCTTTCTGAAATAATAATAAAATTCCTTGGTTAATTCTCTTTCCCTTTCCTTCCAAACCTCACACACTAGCATTCTGGTATTATTTTTTTCACAGTGGCTGAATCCTTCTTTTTGAATAGTGCAACAAGAAACTATTTGGAAGTGGAAGTCTGCCCGTAAGTTTTGCCATGTAAACAAAGCATTGTGTCTATTACTTTAGACTTTGGTTTATAGATGAAGTCCCACACTGTTACATTCTCCTGAATGCCTATCAATGAAGTTGTCATCTGAGCATGTGCAGTAACTATCTCAATGTACACACCTCAGCTTAACTGTGAAGTGAACGTGGCTTCTGTTTTCACACATCAAACAGCAATATTTCTCAAGAACCTGTAAGTTAGCTATAGATTGTGGCTAGCGTCAAGTTTACATGGCTTCAAACACCAGCAGTGGGAGCGCACTGGAGCCGGAGTAAACAGCAATGCATACACAGCCTGAGCTTTCCTAGCTCCAGAAAACAATGGCTAAGTCCACCCAAAGTGAAGGCAACATACTCCATTTTATGGCAGCACTCACGACATTTTGTTCTTTTCTATAATCTGCTATGGAATTCATTAAATTGTTATGTTGACTGTTTTGTATTCCTATGAAACCTGTTTTGACAATGCCATTGATTCCCACCCACCCCTCATCCTCATGATTTTGTTTTGCTAGGCATGGCCAACATCTTGTATTACTTCTTTCTGCAGGAGATTGTATTGAGGTAAGTAGAATTCTGCATGAAAATTTTCTGTTGTTAAATTAAACAAAACAAGCATTTAACCAAGTGAGGTTTGATTAGGATGCTCCCTGTATATTTCCTGTTTTATGAACACAATGATTCTCACATTTGTGTATGCTGACGTTATAGAATGCATGTATAAATCATTAACATGACCCCTCTGCATCTTTGTGGGTGGCTTCAAGGCCGACCGTGCCATTAGGTAGAGTGAGTCAGTTGCCTTAGGCAGCAGATGCTATGGAGTGCCACCCTCTACCTTTTTTCATCATCCTGAGTACATAAAACTTGTGAATATTATTATATGCACATTGTGCACCCAGTCTTCTATTACTGTGTAAAATGAAGCAAAAGAACACCATGTGTTCTTCTTCAGAGTTGCAAACAGCTGCGTGGAATTCTATGCATGCCAATTTAAAAGTAAGCCTGCTGAGTTTAATGGGGCTTACTCCTAGGTAAGTGAGTTTAGGATTGCCACCTAATGTGACTATCTTTAGTTCACTGCAGGGATTAAGATGATGAGTAAAACTCTGTAAAATTGTAGCTCTTTTTATACTAATATTTTTGCACCAAGTTATTTGATTACTATATGTCCGCTATTTAACTTAATGGAGGTCCTGGCCATGGCATCATCTAAAATGCATTCATGAATAATTTTCAATGGATGTTCAGTGGAAATTACTCATAAATGAGTGTATGAAATAATGGGACCTAGTTTCTCCAGATCAGATAAGGTCATTTTGCTAAAGAATTTTGCAAGCAATTGCAAATAATGGTACAATTGGTTGCTGCGGTATAATTAAATCAATGGTTTTCCACAGTTTGCTTTATGAGCAGAGTTTAAATAGCCATTCTCTGTGTTCAAGGTTTTTTGGTTTTGTTTTAAATCTCGTTTTCCTTTCTGATCGCTTTTTTCCCCCTGTTGTGGTAATTACAGACAATAAATTCATTTCATCATCTGCGTTAGTGTTAAGTAACATAAATCATGGCAATACAGTTAAGCAATGCCAACACATCTGCAAATCATTTGCAAATTGGTTCCATGGAGCTTATTCGATCAAATTAATTTAAAAAAACCTTTCACCTGTTGGCACATCCTGCATTTACATCAAAGTTTTTATTATGCTATAAATTTATCTGAGACCATTTCCCTTTCTATTTAGTGCTGAGCAATTCAGCATTCCTTAAAACCATTATAAGCAATGCATATATATTCCCATAGAAAGGCATTTTACATTTAGAAGCTAATAATCATGGGTTATGCTATGGAGATTCATAATAAATTATTTGCATACCATCATATTTTAGAATTTTGTACAGCATCAATATGTTACTGTTTCAGTAGGTTTTTACTGTTTATCATGAGTCAGTTTATATCTGTGCAATGTGAACAGAATAGGAATTATATGGCATATATTATAATGATTAATTTTTTCAGTTTTTGATATACTTTCACAGAAGATCTTAGATAAGTAAGAACATCTTATTCTAAAAAACTTTTCATGCTATAAGAATGGAATTGGGGAACACATTATTTACTTCTTCGGCAAGCAGTATCATATAATACGAGAGCAGGTGTGTTATGGGGAATAGAGTGTTGGACTTGGAATGGGGAAATCTGGATTGATATTCCCAGCTCAGTCATGAAGCTGGATAGTCATCAAGTCCAATTCATTAAGTATCCATAATTTGGAGGATCATAAATGGGGATGTGCTTGCAAGCTCATGTATTTCCTCCTCCCTTCTCATCTGCTGATTCTCTTCTCCATTTTCATGTTGCTCTAACCACAGTTTGCTGTGATGTCCAAATCAGGCAAACTAAGGTTAGTAATCCCCAAAGTCTGGTTTGCAAACCTACTTCAAACCCTGCATTGGAAGTTAGTACTATAGTTAGTACTAGTTTGGGGCATCTCAGCAAATGTTGGATAGAGGAAACCAAGGAATCAGCACTCAAGGCTATAGGTTTCCGGATTAGGACATGATATCTGAAAGCTCACCTGGGTGTGTTCTCAGTGACTTTATGTCAGGTAAATGTGCAGTAATTGCACTGAAATTAAATAAGAAAAAGAAATTAATTTTGTGGAATCAAGCCTAGCTTTATATTTCTCATTTGTTATCAAGAAATATGTTCAGATAACAATGTTTGTACAGATGTGAAAGGTATATGAGGGTGGGGTCTCAGTTTCCCTGTACTTTCTTAAATCAGTGTTAAACCTGAGATGTTACGCAAAATATATGGAGGACAGAGTGAATTCACACACACAATTTTCCTTTTTATGTAGTATACTACTATTTAGTGTTATAGCAACAAATTTTAAGAGTTATATCAAACAATTATTGTGATATTTTGTTTAGGAAACCATTGAAGTGGAAATGGGAAGTCTGATTTAGAATCAGCAGCTTAAATCAAACTTTCTCTTTGTGGTTTATTCATGATTTAAGGCTGCAATCTTATATACATTTACCAAGGAAAGTCCCACTGAACTAATAGGGCTTAAGACTGTCCTTTATGGTAATCTTCATTTAATTCACTCCAGCTTGGTTCAAGGTGACTTGTGAATTCTGCTTCAAAGCACACACAATTGCCATGTGAATCTTATCTTCTGAACAACAGTTTTGATTGCATTTAGACTTTAATATACAGCATAAGATGCAGCATCTAAAACACAGATGAAAATGTGGCTGTATCATTGTTCCCAGAAAATGAAATAAGCTATCTGGGATGCCAACACCCTCTGGGTTCTATCCAGCAATATACTTGAGGTGAGGAATACTGAAAGCAATTCACAGCAGAAATCCACAGCTGACAGAATATTTATTGAATAACCTATTTACTATTGGAGCTGAACAAATAATAATTCTGTGTTTAAAACCAGTACAGACAGAGCTAACAGGTGTAGGGTGGTTTGTTTGCTTTGCCATCATCACTATTTAACTGTGATCCTTAAACAAAGGGTTGTGACTACAGCCCCAAAATTCCAGTTGCTTTGTCACCAGGAGCAAAGTTATTATTAGATCTGGCAGTTGCTGGAGAGAAGAGTGATGTTCTTCTTCCCAGCTTCATAAACAAAATTAAACTGTGGGTGTTAGGATGGTATTGAATGTTAGTCCCATTCAGAGTAGACATGACAAACTTTAGCTCATTAATTTCAGTGGGTCTCCTCTGAATAGGGCTTAGTTGAATATAATGTTCAGTTTTGCCTGCAGTTGGCATTGTGCTTCAGGTTACCTTCCTTGCTGTTTGCAAAGAGGGGAGCAGCAACTTCTACTTTGCTGCTAAAGTTTATATACGGAAGCAGTAGGGAGAAACAGGTTTGGGGGGAGAGAAAAATGGAGACAAGAGCCCTCTTCAGTTAATCAAAAGTCTGTGAGAGACTGCATGGAGATGGGCGCAGACATATTGGCCCAGCCCCCTTTGTTCCCATGCACACTCATCATACCCCCTCTTCCCCTGAACTTTGTGTGTTCAGTGCAAAGGTTGGTAGAGGGAGTCTAACCACATTCAGCTGAATGTAATTGGAATCCTGGGTGGGCCTGGTTTCCTGATTGTAGGGAGGATTCAAGCTATATTTAGCTGGTTATAATCCCCCTGGGTGCTGAATGTATGGCAGTCATAGGGCTCATGTGCATGCTCATTCCTCACTCTAAACCCACAATGTTCTTCTGAATGCCTGAAGAGGGCTTTAAAAAGGGAGTCAAGAAAAGAAGAAATCAAGGAAGCAACGGAATGGAGAGAAGGAATCTGTTCCAAATACAATGACTATTGAAAGATAATCACCGAGATCTGGTGTGAGAGTTCTAGGGATGGTTTTATATTTTATGTTTTAACATTAACATTTTTTCTCCCCTATCCTATCCCTACACACTTGAAAGACCAGTTACTATTATTCCCTGCTAACGGGAGACACAGAGACATGTCTGATGTCACACTGTGTGTCCATGGCAGATCAGGACTTGACTGCAGAACTTCACATCTATGCCCAGAGGCCCTAAATCAACCTCTGTTTGGGGTTTCAAATTGTTTTCAGTGGGCCCTACCCTGCTCCTGTGCCTTGTAATGATTGCTTGGCATACAAACAAGAGCAGGTGATAATGTTGACCTAGATGGAGTCAAAAGCTTCATCTGTTGATTTATGCAGATTAAGTTGCTTTAAAAGAACACAGGTTGGGCTGTTGGGTTTTTTTGCTGGTCAGTTTTGCTGGTAGCCTGACACATTTCTGAACATCAAATATTGGCACTTGTGGAACAGTGCAAAATGTATGTCTGTAAAGACATTTTATTCTAGAATCAATGGTGTCTGAGCTCAAGTTAACCCTTTCATGCATACAAGTATATTACAACATTCATTCATTCATTCATTCACTTCCTCTTTTATTCACCTGAGGTATATGCAGGGAGGGAAAGATGTAGATAACCAAATCAAGGGGATGTTTTTTAAACTGCACCCATCCTTGTGGACAGCAGGATCTAGAATCAATCTACAATGAAGGCAGCATGTTGAGGACAAACATGAATAATACTGGATTGAGAGAAACTGCATTTTTGTGCTACAAGCAGATTAGTGTGTACATAGCCAATGTCAGTCTACCAAGATATGGCCTTCTGGAAAAGGAAGGAATGGATCTCTGAGGGATCTAGCTGGCTCCTAGAGTGGCAAAGATTTAATGCAAATGCTGCCTTTGGCACATTCCTATATCTAAATTATTACCCGTCTCCTTTGATGTTAATGTTACAACTTCAATACCAATAGTTTCAATTAGGGCATCTCTGTAAAGAGCTAGTGTAATTGCTTTTGCAAGCAGCTGGTGGTTGCCTCTTTACAAATGAAATCCTGTAATTCCTGCTATTTATTTGAATTAATGTTGGCTTCAGGGATTTATGCTTCCTTTTTAATCCGTTCTGTCAGATGGTTACTCAGAGGACATATTGAAATTGAAACTGAATAAGAAGTCCACTTACTTTTTTGTATACTACCTGAAAGTCTTCCAATGACATGAATATCTTTCTTTGTTCATTATATTAAAGCACTTTCTAAAACTCAAAAGTTGCACTTCTCTTAATTGAACTTCTGTATTAAATTTTTGAATAGATAGAATGGTATTATAAATGTTTAAAACAACAGCTGACATTTTCACAGAAGCGCTAACAGGAACTTCAAGTGCAGCAATTCAGTGTTATCTTGATAATTAAGTATTGTGCTAAACTTTGTTTTAAAATGGTTATGTGGCTTAATATCTTGTACTGATACAACTTTATGTGAAAATAGTGATGTCGTTTTTAGAGTGTATTTTGTGTTCCATTGTGCAGAAAGGACTTCCGTTGACATTTAAAGCTGATATAAATGGGGGCACCTGGAATGGCACAGCAATTATTCCTTGGGACTACTTCCCCCCCGGTGTGGACAAGATGAATTCATATGCAATCCATGGGTCTGGTATTGGGAGAATGTATGAGGCACTTTATCCAATACCACAAGAAGAGATCAAAGAGGGGCAGGGCCCTAACTTGTGAGTACAAAACACCCACGTCTCTCTCAAATTGCTTTCCAACTATTCCTGAAGCTTCTTTTTATTCTTGACGGTAACTGCTTACGTAACACATTTAGAAAATCCTTCATTCTTTATTGGGATATACTTGAGTATTTATGCTGTTTACTCTTCATATTGACAAGTTCATAGTGTACTGCTAGGACCTATTTTATGAAGTGTAAAAGTGGTAAATACAGGAACACTGGTGACTGGATCATGGGAGCATAGGCCAGTCCTCATTTTTCCACAGTGCAGTGAACATACCTTTTCCTCAGCTAACGCTAGAAATGCTTTTGTGGTGAAGGATAACTATATATTATCAGCCAACATCCATTATGTCTTCTTGTGGATTCTAGAAGGCTTGTTCAGTCCTGTATTTAGCACATATGGCTACCAATTGCATAAGTTGTTGTGGTTGTTACATTTATATTCCACCTTGCCTCCAAGGAACCCATTATAATATCGCCATAACCCTGTGAGACAGGTTTGGCTGAGAGACTGTGACTGGCCCAAGGTCACCCAGTAAGCTTCTTGGCTGAGTGGGGACCTCCCTAGTCCTAGTCCAACCAATCTACCACCCTAGTTCTTGTCATTATGGAGGAATCACAACTAGCACTGCCAGGGCCGAATTTAGGTTTGATGAGGCCCTAAGCTACTGAAGGTAATGGGACCCTTTATATGTCCACCTGTCCTTTGTCAACAACAAATTGTCACTGTTTTTTGTGTTGAATATATGCTATATGCTATATGGTAATTTATGGACCTAATAGGTATCTAAAGCCATTTGCACATAACAAATAGGAGCCTACACAACACAAAATACTGTTGCTGTATGTAGGTTCTATTTTATTTGTTTTTTATCTTAGATTTTGGAAATGTGCATCCAGTTTTTTTCTTTTAAATTTTGTGGGGGCCCCCAAGAGAGTGGGGCCCTAAGCTATAGCTTGTTTAGCTTATATGTAAATCTGGCACTGGACACTGCTAAAAACAGTATGAATTCCCCTTTGGGAATGACAGGTACTGATGATGTTCCATTCTAGGGAAAACTACAGAAAAAGGCATTGGTACACCATTGGATTGAATGGGGAGGGGGCAGCCATTTATCTCTCCATATAATCTCCTGAGATTGTACAAGGAGAAAATGAACACAAAGAAGAGACCCAGTGCTCAGCCACCTCAATGAGTGGAATACCAAGCAAATTTGGATTCTGAAGATGGCCTGCTTCTGATTTGCACTTCAGCCCAGGAGGTGCAGATCAGGTGAATCTACATTAGATGCTCCTATTCAAAACAGTATTACCCTAAAGCTATCATTATTACGTATGTTTTTCAAAAAAACTTTCTATATATATTAACTACTTGTGCTGATATACTTATGTTTTGTTGATAGCCATCTTCTAGAATATTTCAAAGATTTCAGTCTGAAGGACATAATGGGAGAAGACTGGAACCAGCCTCCATCAGATCTGTGGTCATAACTTCATCAACCTCTAAAGTGAAGTCAATCATTGAGAAAAATAATTACAAAACACATAACAATGTGTTGTGCTTCAATATGAGATGTCAAATATTTGATTAGTTGTGTCGTCTCATGGTGTTAGTGAGTCAGCCAATTAAAATAAATGAATTGATTGGGCCTTTCAATGTTTAGCTTGTTGACTTGCTCTAAATAGACTTCAGGTGTCAATATATATCACTATTTATATATCATTGTTTCCCTCATATTCTTGTTCTTTGGTTTAATACTTTAAACCAAAGGTCAAGAGCTTGGTCATCATTTATGTCAGGAATTTATATCTCACTCTTCATAAATTTCCCCCGGATGACTTACTGTAGTAGTATACAAATACAAGAATAAATATAATCAGAACACAGTAAAAAGAAGAATCAGTAACAGATGAAAGAGCATCATAGTAACCAGAAACTGTAGAAATATCATGACAGTACTCAAGAAAATGAAAAGGTATTTGCCTGGCACTGAAATAATATAAAAATAAATGCCAAGCAAGTCTTCCTGGGGAGAGTATTCCTTATTCAAGGCACCACAGGAGCCTGTTCCCATATTGCCACCTGCCAAAGCTGCGATGCTGTAAGAATGACTTTAAGGCACAGCTGGATTCATATGGAGAAAGATGTTCCAATAGATATCCTGATCTCAGGTAATGAAAGCCTAAAAAGGTTAGCATTATGTCAGCCATAAAGTTGGGAGGATCATAACATGCTTTCACCCAACACTAAGGAAAGTTTTATTTTCTATCTCTTCCTGGAAACCTTGTTGAATTCTGTTTTGGCACTATTGGCTAAGCATAGTTTTTGAATTCTATCATTCACATGGTGTCCCAAGAATGTAAAAGGAGCTCTGCGGGATCAGACCAAAGGCCCTTGTAGAATAGCATCCTGTTCTTGCAGAGACCGACCAGATGTCTATGGGAAGCCCACAAGCAATATCTCACACTTGTGGATTCCAGCAACTGGTATTCAGAGGCATACTGTCTCTGACAGTGGAGATAAAACATGGCCATCTTCATTAGTCACCAGCAGTCCCTGACAGTATTGATTGCCATCAGGGATCACACTACTGAGTGAGGATAATAATTCCATTTGGTAACAAAAGAACAGTCATACGAATTTGCCTGAATTAAGCTATTAAATATTTACCCTTCTTTCAGCTTCCTTTTTTAATACCCCCTTTGACCATTGGAAGCAGTTATTGGCCTTAAAAATGGCATTTTGCAATGTTACTTTGTGCTGTTTACCTAATTGACATCTTGATTGCATACTATGATTAATGAAATTAGTGGTGATCATTTTGCTCTCCATCATTTATGTATATTGGGCCCTCTGCAACCCTGGTGCCCAAGGATATTGTAGTTAACATGCTGGTCATCTATCAATGTGGTAAAATGGCAACACGGTGTTGAATGCAATTGCCTGAGATCAAACACTATTCTTAAGAAAATGGTTGCAATTCAAGTAAAATGAGCTCCGGGGATTAATTTGGTCCATCATCCCTTAAGCCTTCACTAGCATCCCTTTTTAATTTGTCATGTAAAGTGTGATTTCAGGAACTTTAAAGTGTGCAAAGTTTGCTTTGCAGAGTGTTATTAACTAGAAGGATTCTGGATTAATTTAGCAGCCAGGTCTGCTCTTTCAGCCATAAGCCATGCTGTCAGGGAAACCTAATTACACTTTAAGTGGGATGCAAATGAGTTGTGACACTACATCATTTCACATGAAAGGTTCATTACTTACATTAAGTCGAACAATGCTCTTTCCTAAGCATGGGCTCATTACAATTTTTTGTATATTTTAACATGGTCAACTGTGAGTATGGCATTTTCTCTTAATATGTACCTTCCTAAATACAACTTATTTCCTTAATCATTTAAGCTTTAAGTTGTTGAGATAACTGAATCTGTATAAAGTGAACTAGTTTTGGCACTGCTAAATACGAGCTAAGCTTTTCCTTTAATATGTTTCTTCTTAACTTCATGGTTTCATTTTAAGCTTTTTGCTTCATGAGTTACACATTCATGCGGACATGTGCACACATGAACACACACGTACACAGAGTTATGAAATAATTTTTAAAACCTGTTCTAAAATCATCTACCTAGTTCAGTGGAATGCTATGGATTCAGATTTTCCTTCTTTTTGGTGTATTCAGCAACAGAGGTATGGCACATTCCTCTAGTATTATTTTAAACACATGAGCCTCATTTGGAAAATATATACCCCAGTCATTTATGTTTGAAAAAATATTGATTGGTACCATTTCTCACCTGTGCTCTTTGGTAGGTTTTTGGCAAAAAAGAAAAGAAAAAGAAAAGAAAGACATTTTGTCTGGCAATGTTTTCAGACCTAGGACTCACTTTTAACCCAAGCATGCATTTGGGAACCGATTTCTTAATCTTTTACCAAGTGAATGCAAAGTAGTAGCGCTCCTGATGCGAACTACCTTGAATGAGGCTGCGACCCACTAGTGGGTCTCAACCCACCAGTTGAAGAGCAATGCAATAAATCACTCCAGTGAGGCAACAATCCTGGTCAAAAATCTCCTAATGACAAAACTCTTGTTCACATTCCATGAATTCAACACAAGCCCAGGCATTGAAGCCACTGAATTCTGTTTAATTGAACCCAATATTCCCCCATAAACAAAGGTTTAAAAAAGCCCATAGAAGAATATAAATTGAAGCACTGCAAAACTTTAAATGAGAGCCAATGTTATTCATACTCAAAGTAGACCTAATAGGCTTCCAATTAATGTCAGTGAGCCTACCCTGAGCATGACTTGGTTGGAAATCACCCACTGAATTGTTTTCATAACTAGTGCACATGCAGCAAGTTAGAAAAGTTGAAGAGAGAGAATCCCTATAAATCATGTCACTGAAGATAATAGAATACTGAATCATTTCCTATCAGTGAGACTAAGATTATATATACAACTGAAGATTAGAGCAGAATAGTTGCTTATTTTTTTAACCTTGCCTATAGTGCACATTATGGCTAGTGAGAGGGAAGCCAGGCTTTGCTTAAGCTTTGAGATGCTTTAATTGCCATGCCTTTTTCTCAAGGGATCCTAGGAAATGTAATCCAGGGAAGAGATGGCGCTTTCTAACAGAAGATTCTTGCCACAGTCACAGAACTACCATGCTCAAAGTTCCTTGTGGAAAACAATGGCAAAAGATGTTTAGAACCTACTTGGATGTGTTGCAATGTTGTGTCTTAAAAACCCAGAAAAAGCTTCCTTGTGTACTAGTTGGTTTCATGGTGAGCGTAATAGTCTGAGGTGGGCCCAACTCCAGGTTTCAGGGGAGTAAATTGATGAGGGAGGCCTGTGCTTGCTTGTCAATAGCAGAAGTACTTCACAGCTGACTAGGAGCTGGTATTTTCATTTCCCACAATGTCTTGAAGCACTCAGTGTATTGTCAGTCCACAGCATTGGAAAAACCAAGCTGACGTGTTGCAGACCTAGCTCACCTGATGTGGAGAGCCTAGAGTTTTGAATGCCATTGGAAAAATGGAAGCATCCACTCAAAATAGATGTATGATGAGGCATGGCAGGGAGTTGGGGGCAAGAATCCCAGATTTGCAGACGTACAAAAAATAGGGGGGAAATGTCAACAGGGAGAACTCGCAGAACAGAGTAATGAGGACTGTGCGCACTTGGTACAAAAAGCTGACTGACTGAAGAGAGGGGGAAATGAAATTTTGCTGGAATCTTGAAAAGCAGCACCCTGCACTGCACCATTTTGTTGCAGGCCCCATCTCCTTGTCTTTTAGAGCAGGGATGTCTAACGCCACTTTCTACTTGCACAGAATACTTGAAAATATTGTAGAATGTCATCACACAGAATAATAAAGACTTTGTTGAGACTACCGTGAGAAGGATAACTGAAACCAGGCAGAAAATTAGAATCTCTGACAAATCTTAAAACTGTTGACTATAAATATATTTTGAAGCACTTTCAGCCAAGAAGTATTTTTGAGTGGGCAGCTTGATTGGCTCAGTTCTGGAAATGTGAGAAATAACCAATATTTACATTTCAAAGGGAGATACCTTGAAAGAAACTGTTCAGTATCTCTGCAGGCAACAGCCAAATTGGAATTATTTTCCTATAAGATTATGAAGCAAAAGTTGCAGGATGTGACAGATGAAAGGAAAATTGATCATGCAGTAAGACCAAATTCTCACAATGGCATTCACAAATATTGTTGGTGAAGTGATTCCTAAAAGAGCACTCGGCAGAGTGAGCTGCTACTCAGGGTGTAAAATGGGCTCCCAATCTTATGTGCTTGTAATAATTCCCCTCACCTTCATTTTGAAGGTATAAGGCCTCTTTAATCAGTATAACATTTATGCACATAAATGTAAATTTCCATGTAATGCGAACCAAATTTAAAAATGCAATGCATTAAAAAGATGAGTATTTATCTTTCTGCACAACATGCAGCCACATAGACACATACATGCAGTCCTCCTGGGAGGCAACATGGTGTTCTCTTCTGCTTCAGGACAGCCTCCTTCCACGAACACACACAGGTCAGGTCCCAGAGTTTAAATTAGTGATGCCTCATGCTCAAGAACTTCAGAAAGATTTGATTGGATTGAGAGGATACAGTGACATGCCCCTAGTAATCTAAAGGCAAAGGGAATCGACCAGGGTCTCTTACTTTCAAAGCTATGGATAGATAAAAAACCAGATTGTGGTACCCCAGATGTATCAATTGTTTATTCAGGGATTCCTATACCTCCTTTTAGCAGCTGCATGAAGGAGTGTGTACACAGCCTAAGGATGACGAAACCGGCAGTCAGTGCTGGGCTAGTTGTAAGAAAGAAGGCAGGTAGATGAGAGCTGACTAAAGGCAGTCTGAGATAGGTGGGGCAGTGCCCCATTCACTCCAATGGACCAATATTCACTACCAGCATATTCCGCAATGTGTTGATTTAAAGCAGAGTCTGTCGTGCCCAGCGGAAGGATGAGGATTACGTGCTACATACTCTATATTGCTTTATTTACAGTTCAAAGCTGGTATATTACAGAAAGACATCTTGCCTCTGCAGGAGCAGAAAATGCATCCTCTCTCCTCGACAGCTCGGAGAGAATCACACAGTGAAAAACAGGAAACCAGTGTACGTCACATCCAGTCTCCCTTTCCCGTGAGAAACTCCAACAGTACAGACTGTGGAATGTAAACACCTGTCTCGTGACAAGCAGAGCTGCACAGTGAAGGAAAGCAGAAACCAACATCCTCCCCTTTCTGTGAACATCACTGGGCAGCGTGTTTGCACAATATCAGTACAAACCCAACTTCTGCACATAGGTACAGTGTTGATCCCTTGATACAATCTTGGACAATACATCAGCAGGAATTTCATTACCTGGCATATAGGACACCGTTACGAGTCCCTTCTGAATACATTCCCTAGCATGCTGCAACTTTAATTGCAAGTGCTTTGTGCTTTGCTTACAACCTTCAGACTTCAGCAAAGCCAAACATGCTTTGTTGTCCTGGTAAACCTGGATTGGACATTTGACAGGAATTTTCATATCTTTGCACAATTGTACTAACCATTCACAATCCTTAAGTGAATAAGACAGTGCATTCAGTTCGGCTTCACAAGTACTTAAGCTAACTGTTGTTTGCTTCTTGCATGACCAATCAAACAGACTCTGATTGTACATGTAGCAAACTCCAGACGTACTTTTCCTGTCTGTAGTGTCACTTCCAAAACTTGCATCTGCAAATATCTCAAGACCACCAGACTTCTGATTGTTAAATCTCAGTCTGTAATGCATAGTGCCTTTCAAATACCGCGCTATGCGTTTCAGAGCTTTCCAATCCTTGACACTAGGATTGTTGACTTGTCTGCTTAGCAAATTACAGCTAACAGCAATGTCTGGTCTTGAACATCTGGCAATGAAGTTTAGCTTGCCTAGCACACTCCTGTACAGTGTAGTGTCAGAAAATGCTTCTTCAGTGTCATCTACCTGATAACCTGTTGTCATCGGTGTGTCTACAGGGTTAGCATCCATCAGATTTAGTTTGCTTAACACATCAGCAATTTTCCGTGACTGGTGTACTAGAATGTTACCATCTTGATCTCTCTCTATTTCCAGAGATAGGTAGTTGTTTACCTCACCAAGATCTTTCATGTCAAAGTGCTCTTTCAGTTGAGCTAGGGCGTTATTGTACATTGCGACATCTTTCCAAAAGAATAATAAATCATCAACATAAAACAAACAGTACAGTTTCTTTTGCCCCTCCTCTTGACAAATACACATGGATCAGCTTTCCCTTGCTGAAAACCTAGAGAAAACAATACTTCAGTGAGTTTTGTGTGCCAACACCGTGCACTTTGTTTGAGACCATAAAGGGATTTCTTCAGAGCACAAACAAATCCCTGTTTTACCTGTACGCCATCAGGTGGAAGCATATAAAGTGATTCATCTAGAGATCCGTACAGAAAAGCTGTATTAATATCATGGTGACTAATGTGTAGATTTTCCTCTGCAGCTAGCTTGAGCATAAGCCTAATGCTTTCATATCTCACTGTGGGTGAATAGGTCTCGTGATAGTCTTCACCTGGTACCTGTGCAAAACCTCTGGCTACCAATCTGGCTTTGTGTCTGACTATCTTGCCATTTTGATCTGTCTTCGCTTTGAAGACCCATTTGCTTCCAAGCAGTTTCATTCCTGGAACTACTGGAACTAGCTCCCATGTTTTGTTCCTTTCTAAGGAATCAAGCTCAGCCTTCATGGCATTTAACCATGGCTCAGCTTCCTTTGAATCCAAACCCTGGATTTCTTGGAAACTTGAAGGTTCAAATACCTTCTTGGAGCTTTTAACAGCTGTTACTGCTATCTTAGCAAACTCATCAGCAAATCTCTTTGGAGGTTTGCCTTTTGTGGCTCTCTGTGACCTACGAATTAGCCTTAAGTCTTCAACACTCTCCTCTTCCTTCTTAGGAGAAAAACGACCTATTGTGAACAATGGTTCCTCCAATTCTTGATCAGAGCTTTCAGAGGGTCGCATAGAGGCTTTCGCACTCTCGAAATCCTCTGAATCACCCGATTCAGTTTCAGATTCAGACTCAGAACCTTCATCAGTGGGTGTGGGCTGTTGTGGTTGCTTTTGACTATCCTCAGTCTCATCACCGTCATCAGGATAACATTGGAAAATTCCCACATTCTCCCCCACTTTGCATTGTACTCAACACTTCTCGTGAGCTTAATTGTCTTAGAGTCAGTCATCATTATTCTGTAAGACCCTTTCTGATAACCTAGAAAGATACCATGCAATCCACGCTTGTCTAACTTGGAGTTTTGTGGTGAGCGAACCCACATGTCAGAACCAAAATCTTCATGTGTTTGATGTATGGCTTCTTGCCAAACATCTTCTCATAGGGGGTACAACCAATCGCTGAAGATAACCTGCGATTGTAACTGTAAACAAAACACGAGAGAGATTCGGCCCAATAACTCTCTGGAAGATTGGCATCATGCAGCAAGGTTTTTAACCCTTGAAGCAATGTCTGATTTGCCCGTTCCGCAAGTCCATTCTGCCATGGCGAGCGAGGACTAGACAAATCGTGTTGAATTCCTTTCTCAGTCAGAAAAGCTTCAAACTGCTGAGAAGTGAATTCCCCCGCGATCACTGAAAAGAGTCTTTATCTTCTTACCATGCACATTTTCCAACCAAGCACAGAATTCCTTGAACCTAGGAAAAGCCTCCGATTTCTGCTTGAGATTGTACACAAAAATATATCTAGAAAATGCATCAATGAGAACCATGAAGTATCTATTTCCACCCAAAGAGGGCGCTAGTGGTCCAACCAAATCAGCATGAACAACCTGGTATGGTTCTGTAGCTTTCCTACTAGACACCTTACCTTTCGCAGCCATTTTCACTTTGTTTGCTGCGCATGCTTTGCACTTCATGTGGTACCTGCAGGGTTTAATAGTCATACCTTCAACCAAGGCAGGCATTTTAGATACTGCCTCAAAATGCAAATGACCAAATTTTCGATGAAAATCGTGAATACATTCTGCATGCAAACTTTTGTTAGAACCTGCAATGCAACAAGTGTCATCCTGCACCACATCATCATAATACAAAACAAACAAATGATCAACATATTCTGCATGCAATACATAATCATTTTTCTTTGTGATGATGCACTTCTTGTTCTTGAAGGAAACGTCAATGTTCCGCTCATTCAGCTGTCCAACGCTGAGCAGATTATGTTTGGCGTCTGGCACGTAAAGCACATTCTGTATCGATAAGTCCAAACTGTGAAGAACAACAGTTCCGTAGCCTTTACTGGGAATAGTGTGGTCATCCGCCTGGTGAATCGCACCTTCCTGCGGTGTAAAAGACACAAACAGTTTCTTATCGTTGCACATGTGGTGGGTGGCCGCTGAATCAACAACGAAGAAAGATCTAGACGTCTTCTGGACCTCTGCAACCTTTGGAGTGAAGCGTGAAACCATAGCCTTGTGCTGCGTTGTCCTAGACACCGGACCTTTGCCTTTGCCTCGGCCTTTTCCGCGCGATGAGCTCGCTGCGCTGCTCTGTCTTGGCCCTGGGATGTCTGCATTCCCTCTTCATATGGCCTAGACGTCCACACGAGTAGCATTTCACTGCCTTCAAAGCTTTGGCGCCATCTGGTGGTTCCACTGCACTATGGGATGACGTCTGTGAAGACTCCCCTTGCCCATGCAGCTAGCACCCCGGCGATCTGCTTCATTTAAAATCACGGCAGTAACAAAGTCCACTGTCAGCTGAGCAGTTGGTTGCACAGCAATCTGGGTTGCAACAGACTCCCAACCTGAACCCAAAGATTGTAGTATCATGAAAGAATACACAGCCTCTGGAAAGTTGAGTCCTCTCTGTTGCAGCTCATGTCTCAGATTTTGCATCTCCATCAGATGTAAACGCACATCTCCACCTTCAGCAAGAGCCATATTATGCAGCTTGTTAAAGTAAAACATAGTGGATCCAGCTTCTGTCCTTAAGTGAGCCTCTCTCAGAGCGTCCCAAATTTCTCTGGCTGAGGTCTTATCACGCAATAGACAGAGCTCTTCTGGGGATACTATCAATGTAAGAGTTCCCTTGCTTTGGAATCCTTAGCTTCCCATGCATCTGTAACTGGAACTGGGGGGGTTTCTGTAATCACCTCAAACACACCCTCTTTCCGCAGAATTGCCTCTGCATACAGGACCCAGTCGCTGTAATTTTTCTTGTTGAGCTTAGGAATCCCACAAGCATCCTGAAGGGCCATCATGACTCTGGCATTAGCCTTCAGCGTCATATGCTGCTTTAAATCTTGCTGCGTCACTGCTGCAGCTGCCTCATTACAAAGGCACACTTAAAAGTTACTTTCGATTTCCCCAGCATAGTGACTTGTGCCTGGGAGCCTTTTGCCTATTCCCGGCAACCGGCTTTAAAAGTTCAAAGTCCAGCCATAAAGCCATTAACTTGAAGCTGGCAGGCTGCCCGGAGCAGTAGCACATACCTCATCAATCACCTCTACGCGCAGAGCAGATTCCTTTCCGATCCGTCCCTCTGCATTCCGATCCTTTGCCGGCACTCCGATTCGACCTCTGGAGCCCATAACCACGTGTTGATTTAAAGCAGAGTCTGTCGTGCCCAGCGGAAGGATGAGGATTACGTGCTACATACTCTATATTGCTTTATTTACAGTTCAAAGCTGGTATATTACAGAAAGACATCTTGCCTCTGCAGGAGCAGAAAATGCATCCTCTCTCCTCGACAGCTCGGAGAGAATCACACAGTGAAAAACAGGAAACCAGTGTACGTCACATCCAGTCTCCCTTTCCCGTGAGAAACTCCAACAGTACAGACTGTGGAATGTAAACACCTGTCTCGTGACAAGCAGAGCTGCACAGTGAAGGAAAGCAGAAACCAACAAAAAAGTGCCACGGGCATACAGTTGGTGTTTTGTTGCAAAGTTTGTGATAAAATCCACATTATTCCTCTCCCCCTGGCCCTGTTAGATGCTACTTGAACTGAAGGGTCCACAATAAAAAAATATTGTGCTTACCCATGTTTGTTAAATATTGCCAAGGACTGAGGCTCTTTGATTGCACTTTCCACTACTGGTGGTGAGTGTGCTGTGCTTTTAGCAATGCTCCTTCAGTCCTTTAAGCCATTTGTACTTAAAGACAAAAGAACGTTCAGCAAAGCTCTTAATAATGACAATTTAGTCTCTATTCATCCCCTTGGTGTTTACTGCATCAGCGTTAATCATGTGGTATGCATGTGTGCTGTAAATATTTTTATTGAATTCCCACCATAATGAATTGAGTAAAATTATAGCCTATTATTGTAAAAGTACCATTTCCCCCCCAGCTTAACAAGCAGCCTGCAGCTTCTGCATCTGTGAACTGTTTTCATCTCAATGGCTGTTGCTCTTTTGCATGCAAACGTATGTCAAGGGAAAAGGGTTGTCTCTAATGTGCCCAGTGCAGTTGTATGTAGTCTTGTACTGTACTCATTTCTGCCGCCGCCACCCCCACCAAAAAATAAACCACAGTATCCTGGTGGTGGCAGCAAAGTACACATAAGCAGCCAAAGCCCAGAGCTCATAAACAAGCAAAGAGATTAATGATGCCGTGCAAAAGTCATGATGACTCTGACTAAATGCATCAGACTTTCCTGGTTCCAAAAGATAGTATGGATAAAGGGGTAGGATGGGGAATGTGTGATATATTTATCGGCTGGGTTTTAATTGTACTGTGCTATGTCCACATTTTTTTAACATAATTGCTTCTAATCGTTGGGCAGCAATTGGATGGGAAACGTCTCTTATCCCCCCCCCCCATTAGCACAAATGTTTAGTAAAAAATGTGTGCTTATAGCTTTCTGTCATTGTCTGTCTGTGGTTCTTCCCTGTTTTTATTTTCAACTGCTTTCTTCATGATCTTGAAATCCCCTCCCTCTCTCCCTCTCTTTTCTTCTTCTAATGTCTTCACTACCCATAAAGGTGTGATTAACGAGATGGGAAATGCATGTTCTAATAACAGATTGCAAAGGAGATCATATTAGACAGCCGGCGAGGCTCCTTTATTCCAAAGTGTACATACAATAACAGTCTGGCAGACATGAGTTATGGATGCGGCACCTTGAATAACAGCCACCGTATCACCTGGGAATGCCAATGGCAATATTATTAAAATGGTGGTGGGGGGGACCCTCATTGCCAAACTGTAGCTGTTGCTTTCAGTGTTGAACTTGTTTGTCAATATGCTCATTGGGAGGAATCAGTACAGCTTCTGTCCATGATGGTTTTCAAGTTAGCAACATGGTGTGTGAGGTTTTTTGTTTTTGTTTTTAAAAAGTTTCAGTTTAAATAGATGACATTTTCAGAGGGCATTGCTTAAGGCTTCTAAGAAGACAGATGTTGGGCTTGCTTCTATTATTATATTTCTACTCACATTTTAGCCAATTTTGGCTCAATGTGGCTTACTGTTGGGATCTATACATAGGTACAACTATGAACCTGATACATAAATCCTGGGTACCCAACATGGCACGGTGCACCCAGAAATCTACCATGATTACTTGTCCCTTTCAATTTTCTAAAGAGAAGGGTTTGACATTTTAAATTGTTTTTTTGGGGGAAGGTGTTGCATATTTGGGTGAGGTGTCACCTGCATTTTTTTTCGTGTTGTTTCCAGGTGTGTGTCTGTGGTGCTTTGCCTGGTTGTTGTTGTTTTTTTTTTTGGGGGGGGGGAGATGGAATTTAAGCATCAAGCTTAAAATAGGTATTTTGTGGTGCCCACAACAATTCCTTAGATTTCCAAATGCTTTCGACAGGCCCAAAAATGTATACCTCTTCATCTTTGCATTTAACAAGCCCTCTTCAGGTATTCAAAAAGCACACCTATGAGGGCACAGTATTATTATTATTATACTGCCCTATATCTGGAGGTCTCAGGGCGGTTCATATAAAAAGATCACAGTATATAAAATAAAAATGAAAGCAATAATCCAATAATACCCCCCCCAAAGAGCCACATTTTAAAAGGGTATGGGATGTTGATCAGGTCAACCAAAGCTTGGTTAAAAAGCAATGTTTTTGCCTGGCGCCTAAAGGTGTATAATGAAGGTGCCATGGAATGCCATGCAGGTGTGTGAATTGTTTTTTAAAAAGAGAAATACAGATAAAGAAGTGAAGAGGAATGATGACAAAGGGCTTAGCATACAAAATAGGAAATGCTGCATGCAATTATTCCTAATCCTAACTCAAATCAAGACTCAGGTAGGTAGCCGTGTTGGTCTGATGCAGTTGAAATAAAAAATGGGAAAATAGTCCAATAGCACCTTAGAGACCAACTAAGTTTGTTCTAGGTATAAGCTTGTGCATGACTGGGGTTGTTTTTAAAGAAAAAGAAAAAAGAAAGAATTAGGAAAGAAGAGAACTCTTCAAATAGAACATAACTCTTGAAGGCTTTCCTGCAAAAGGCCAAGCATTGCTAATGAGGCATGAGATTAAGGCAGGCCTACAAAACCTCTGACTCACCAAGCCGGACAGAGCTCATTAGCCATGGTTCATGCATGCATTGCTTTGCTTTTTCATGCAGCACATGTTTAAGCTATGGAACTCCCATAGGTGGCAGTAATGGCTACCAACTAGAAAGGCTTCAAAAAACTAGGAAGGCACATTCATGGAGGACAAGGCCATCCATGGTTGCTAGCCATGATGACTGTGCCCTGCCTCGGGTGTCAGAGGCAGGATGTCTCTGAATACCTGTTGCTGGGAACAGCAGGTGGGCCAAGTGGTGTTGTGCTCCTGTCCAGCTTGCAGGTTTCCTGATTGGCCACTGTGAGAACAGGATGTTATGCGAGATGGGTGATTGGCCTGACCCATCAGGCTCATCTTATGTCCTTATGTAGAAGCTGCCTTATATGGAGCTACACAATTAACCCATCTGGTTAAGTCCTGGCAGAAGCTCTCAAGAGTATTAAGCAGGTGTCTTTCTTAGCTCTAACTAGAGCTGTTGGGGATTGAACATAGAACTTTCTGCATGCAGAGCCTGTGCTAAGTTCCCTCCCCTACGTAGAAAGGTTGCTCAATTGTAAAATATTAACTAAGGGTTCCTAATGATAGGAACATGAACACTTGTCTGGTAAGGGTGCGGTGATCTCCTTTAAAAACTTTTTTATTATATGGGAAAATACGTAAGGAAAATAATATTGCATCTGGAGTAGTTGGCCTTTAAGCTCTCGTTTCTTGAATATATGCACCTGGAATATGTCTTGTGAGGATAGCGTAGCAAGATTGTGTTAGATAATGTTACGAGCACCAGTTCGCTCAACAAGCCTGCGTTTGGCTCTCTAGTTCACCTGTGACCAACAATTTAGCGAGTCTAGCAGCGAGCAGAAAGCGTGAAAGCACATAGAATGGTCTGCCAATTAAACTATAGGGCACTAAAATGCTCCAAAATGAAAGTGTTCTGGCTTCTCTTGAAATTACTTGCAATTTTCAGAAAGCTGAAGCACTAATCTTCTGAACCTCATTCCTGCCACAAAGATTGTAACAAGATGAAAAAGTTTAACTTTTTTTTAAGCGAGAAGAAAATACTGAGTCTGAAATAAGGATGAAATAAGGATGAGTTGTTCTTCTTACACTCAAGTCTGTAACACAATCTTCATTCTCTTTGGATAATAACCAATTTCTATTAGATTCTGTCTGCTGAAACTCATTTATACATATCTTCCGTATTTGCAAATGCACATTCCAATTTTCCACATTTCTATTAAATTGCTTTTCCCTGCAAACAAGTGACAAGTTTGAGCTTGTATCTATCTTTGCGCAAGTGTAAGGTAGTTTAAGCAATCAGTTGCCCCCTTCCCTTCCTCCCTGATGCAGACCCTTGTATCTTCAGACAACCCCTGCTTCTGGGGTTGGGGAGACTCACCAGATGTTTCAGGCTCTGTCTTATGGACTGGAGTGGGGAGGAGGAATCACCTGAAATCAGGTAAAGGAATCTACCGCTGCTCACACAAGGTTCCAGATTATGCTACCTTCCATTATCACAACATTTGATGCAATCCACAGACTTTCAATTCGACTTGACAGCTATTGCCACACAATGCTAGGCTTTATGTATCCATCACTGACTGAAGGTGTACACAGCTTCTCATGTGCTTGAACTAAGGAGTGGCACACATCTACCCCCTTGAGGAAAAAACCCATTATGCCTGCATTAATTTGGCCCCATTGACAGGACTCTGGAACTGTATATAGTTCTCTTTTTGCAAACCTGTATTTCTAAATTTCTTTTGGTTGGAGCGACAGTTTGCATAATTCAATGCCATGCTTCTAATAACAGGGATCCTTAAATACTATTTGAAAACTGCACAGCAGCACAAGGCAGCTACAGTACGGATGACAGTGGCCTGTATACACGTTTTGGAATAAGATCCAGTTATTTCAATATAGTGTGAAAATCCAGGCTGTCTAAGCATCCTCCATTTAACAAGGAATGACATGGATGGTTCCCCCCCTGCCATAATATACTGCCAAAGATGAACCAGTTTCATTTAGAAGTCATCCCAGTTACTGAAGCCTAAGTGTTAAAGGACTATACTGAGTAGATAGGCAATTATTGCTACTATTTTCATGGTGAAGAACTTGGCGTTTATTTCACCTGCCCTGTGGCCCTAAGTAACGTATAAATTCCACACCTAGGCCCAGTTCATACAATTTCCCACCCATCAAAAAATGGTCCGGTTTATTTACTGGAAGATCCTCCTTGCACAGTGGCCCTAGAGATGCAGTCATGTAGAGGAAGCAATGCTTGAGGCAGAATAGCCCTGTTGACAATTGTTGCTTCCTAGCATCCATTTGCTAGGAAGCACATTTTCAGCTGTGAAACGTATGTGTGAATTATGTTGGTGCCTGT